TAATTGAAATTTTAACTAATTTCCATTTGGCCAAAATTGACATTTAGCTAAATTTTATTGTCAATTGACCAAATTGTAATTAAGCAAAACTGATATTTAGCGGAATTTACATTTAGAGAAATTGACATTATTATCAATTTGTATTTAACAAAATTGCCATTTAGCCAAATTGACACTTTATAAAAATGTTATTTAGCAAAAAAGTCATTTTTTCTAATATTGTTATTTAATCTAATTGTCAATTTGCAAAATTGGCATTTATTCTAATTTTCCTTTAGCATAAATGTCAATTAGCCTAGATTGACAGTTTATCTAAATTTTATTTAACAAAATTTTTATTTGGCTAAATTTTCCTTTAGCCAAATGGTCATTAAGCCGAATTTAAAATTGACTTAATTGTTATTAAGAAACATTGACATTGATTAAAATTCTGTTTAATGACAGTTTGGCTATATGTCAATTTTAATAAAAACAATTTGGGCATTTGGCAGTTCGGCTAAATGGCAATTTGGACAATTGGCAGTTTAAGCTAATTGTCAGTTCTGTTAAATGATAATTTCTTTAATTGTCTGTTCAGACAAATTGAAATTTATGTTAAATTAAAATTCGGCTAAATGAAAATGCAGTTGAATTAAAATTCAGTTAAATGACAATTTAGCTAAATGTAAATTTTAATAAAAAAAAATTTTGGCATTTGGCAGTTCGGCTAAATGACAATTTGTACAATTGGCTGTTAAGCTAATTAGCAGGGCAGTAAAAAATTCTGGTAAATTAAAATTCGATTTAATGCCAATTCGGCTAAATGACAATTTCAATAAAAAACAATTTGGACATTTGATCGTTCAGATAAATAACAATTTGCTCAAATTGCAATTTGGACAATTGGATCCTAAGCTAATTGCCAGTTCAGAGAAATGAAAATTCTGTTAAATAAAAATTCGGCTAAATGGCAATTACAATAAAAAAACAATTTAAACACTTGGCAGTTCGGCTAAATGTCAATTTCTGCAATTGACTGCTAAATTAATTGTCAGTTCTGCTATAAATGATAATTTCCTTAATTGTCAGTTTAGCAAAATTGAAAATTCTGTTTAAAAAAATTCGGCTAAATAAAAATTCAGTTAAATTAAAATTCGGTTAAATGACAATTTGGCTGAATGGCAATTTCAACAAAAAACAATTTTGACATTTGACAGTTCGGCTAAATGGCAATTTTTACAATTGTCTGTTAAGCCAATATTGTCAGTGAAGTGAAATGAAAATTCTGTTAAATAAAAATTCGGCTAAATAAAAATTCAGTTAAATTAAAATTCGGTTAAACAAAAATCCGCCCAATTTGCAATTCATTTAAAAATTCCATTTCACTAAATGGACATTTCCCTATAAAAATTACCTCTCCCCCTAAAAATAACACCAAAAAAAATAGAATGAGAGAGAAAAGGTAGAATTTAAAATTGAAAAAAGAAGAAATTTGGAAAATTAATGTGAAATTTTATAAAAGTAGTTATAAATAATGTCCCTCATTAATTATTTCTCTACTTCTCTCCCTCTTCTTCTTCTTCTTCCTTTTTTTCCTGCCCTCTTATCGAATCGCGTAAAATTGCGAGTGAAATGAGATCACGTTGGACTACGGGAGCAATAAAAGTGGAAGGGTGGTGTTAGTTGAAGGGGTAGGGGGGGGGTGAAGGTGTATCAGAAGGAGAGAATCGATAGCGGGGCACAAAAAGGAGGTTGGTACTCGAATATCTCATGTTGTGACCCCCGCCCCCATTTACACCCACGACACCCCACCCCCCTCTCCACCCACTTGACCGTATAGTAGTTTAACTAAAAAATTGGTCGCACGTTAAATTCCATTTTTATATTTCGCGAACAATCAATATTATAGATTGTAAAATTTTTTCTTTAAAACCTACAATGAATATTTAAAAAAAAACAAAATATTTACAAAATATAATAATAATAAAAAAAATAGTCGACGGGATATTTTTAAATTCCTAATAAAAAAAAAAATAAATAAAATAAATAACGAGTAACAGAAAAATAATTTTTTCTATTTTTGTATTATTTGCAATATAAATATTAAATTTCTATTGTTTGCTAATGGATTGAAATCTTTAAAAAAAAGTATAATACAACAAATTTTTTCTATAACAATCATTTGTGTTGTATAAAAACTATTTAAAAAAATAAAAAAAAAATTATTAACTTGATTTATTACTATTTTAAAATAATTCTGGAATAATCAATTCAATATAATATTTTTTTAATGGCATTCTTGGAATATTCCATAAACATTTATGAAATATTCCACTGAAGCATAAGGGAATATTTCTATGGAATATTACATCAACATTTCAGTAATATTCCACTGAAGCATAAGGGAATATTTCTATGGGATATTCCATCAACATTTCTGTAATATTCCACAGATACATATGCAAAATATTCTCATAAAATATTAAATTGATATTCATGGAATGTCTCTCATATGGAATATTTATATTTATTTATAGAAAAATAAAGAATATTCCATTTAAATTCTTGAAATACTCTATGAAATAAATTTCTGGAATAATCAATTCAATGGAATTATTTTTTTATTGTCATTCTTGGAATATTCCATAAATATTTCTGTAATATTCCACTAAAGCATAAGAGAATATTTCTATGGAATATTTCATTTAAATTCCTGTAATATTCCACAGATATGTGGGGAATATTACCATGGAATATTTTAATTGATATTCCTGAAATATTCCATCAGTTATTCATTTTTTTGGTATAATTTACAGTTAATTTGAATGTAATATTTTTTTGCTATTAATACTATTTGAACATATAAGGAATATTTCAATTGATATTCCTGGAATGTTATATTAGTTCATTTGGTTGAAATTACAGTTCATTTCGAGTAAAATTCCGCAGAGAAATGATCTGATAGAACATTTAGGGAATATTTCAATGGAATGTTTCAAGTGATATTCCTGGAATATTTCTGGAATATTCCTATGGAATATTTCATTTGTATTCCTGAATTATTCCTAGTTATTCATTTATTTTAATTTACATGTGATTTCAAGTAAAATTTCTTAATAAAAATTATATTAAAACATAAAGGAATACTTCTTTATGGAATATTGCATTCATATTCCTGGAATATTTCATTAGTTTATTTGTATAATTTACATTAAAGTAAAATTCCTGCGAAATATTCTATTATAGAACTTAAAGTGAATATTACTATGGAATATCTCAATTGATATTCCTGGAATATTTCTATAAGATATTGCATTCTAATATTCCTGGAATATTTAATTATTTTTGTTAAATTTACAGTTCATTTAAAGTAAAATTCCTGAGGAATATTCTATTAGAACTTATGGAGAATATTACTATGGAATATTTTTTAATTGAATATTCCAGGAATATTTAATTTGATATTCCAGGAATATTTCTCTGAAACTTTGGGAATATTCTATTTGATATTCCCTGAACAACTTCATTGATTCATTATAAGAAATTATTGAAAAATATTCATGCTTGGAATATTCCTTCAGAAATAATTTTTTAAAATATTCCATGGGAATATAATAGAAATGTTTAATTTTTTTATTAATATACGCTACAGAAATTATATTATAGTGTTAATAATATAAGAATAAAAATAATAATTTAAAAAATAAAATAAAAAAATGTCAAAATATTAAAAAAATATTCCTGTAGAATATTCCCTAATATATATTATTTGTGAGGAATATTTTTCAATATTTCCAAATAACTTCAAAATTTACTTGAAATTTTTTTTTTGTGAGAAATATAAAAGCAAAAAAATGGCCCTATATCACCCCTATATAAATGGCTGAGATTATTCGGTTCGCCACTCAACTTCTTTTACTGTCATCCCTATTGAGTTCGATATAATCTCTCGCTAGATGTCGTCACCTGTACAATCGTCAATTTTTTTTGTTTCCTAATATTTCGTTCTTTAAACATTATACGTAAATAAATTCATTTCTATTATATGTAATTTATTTCTAATTCAAGAGAAACGGAAAATTTATTTTTAATATAAAAAAAAAAATTTATAACTAAAAAATAATGTTTCTTTTTATAAAAATCTTAATCGAAGGTACAAAATATCACCGGCTGATTTTTGGTGTTTCCAAATAATATGCATTTAGCAAAAATAACAGCAATTATTGACAGTATGTTGTAATAATTTTCCAAAAATATTGTTAATAATAAAAAATATTACATTAATAATAAATAATTAAATAACTAATAAAAAGTTAATAATAATAATAAAAAATTAATAATAAAATTAATATCGAAATAGTTATAAAAATAGTGAACAGAAATATAGTACCTAATAATGTTATAAATAAATAAATAAATATTAAATTTTAAAAAATTACAAAGTTAAATTAAAAAAGTATAAATAAATAAAAAAATTTTAATTGGCAATAATAATAATAATTTTAATAATAAAAAAAATTTTAATTGTCAATAATAATAACAATTTTAATAACAATAAAAAAATAAGAAACTTATGAAAAATTTAAAAAAATTTACAAAGTGCAAAAAAAAAGAAAAACAAATTTAAAAAAATAATAAACAAAGTACTAAACAGAGAAATATAATTTTTGTTTTAAAAAATAATAACAAAAACAGTTCTAAAAATAAATATTCAATTAAAAAAAAAATTAATAAATGAAAAAATAACAGATATAGTAGAAAAAAATTATTAAATAAACCTTAACAAAAATTAAAAAATTAATTAATTAAAAAGAATAGTTAAAATTATAAAAAAAAAATATTTTTAAAAATTTCTTTCCACCGAATTTTTATCGATTATTGCAATAATGTATTAACACAATAAGAAACAGGTATGAAAATTATTTGTTTCTAAACATTGTTATAATAATAATTTTAATAACAATGAAATTATTAAAATATAAATTTTTAATAATAAATAAAATTATTAATAAAAAACTCACCCCAAAGAAAGCAATAATTTTTCTTCTGTCCTCAAAAAATTCGCACAAACATTTGAGAAAATCTTCACTGAATATAAATTATAATCCATACACTGTTCTTTTTTTTTATTCTTTCAAAAATCACACTATTTACAAACAACTTTTTTTTGTTGCAAAAAAAAAATTTTCTTTTCACAAATTAATATTTTATAGAAAAAGGGAGGGTTGAGGGGGGGGGGGGATGAATTTTTTATTTTATAATTTCACACCATAAAAAAATGAAAACAATCACTATTAAAAATTTTTTTTTTTTACCTGCAAAATGAAAATTAGGTGAAAGAATCAAGGGCAAAAGGGGACCACACACAAACACACATAAATATATATATTTATATATATATATATATATCTATATACACAAACACGTCTATCACGGTGAACCGCGTGTCATGATCAAAGCGGTATTTTTCACTAGACGCAATTTTGCTTTTCGTAATTCGTATATAACTTGAATACTGTGAACGCTCCTATCGGCGATTTGATAGTGCGCATGCGCGAGAAAAAGTATATACCTTGCGCACGCGTTTCCATTAAAACACCAATTTCGCTACGTTTGTGTCTGTGTGTGAGTGTCTTTTCTTATCAGCCATGACGAGAAAACCCTGTACGCTACACTTGTTTACTTTGCGGGGGAGTGAGGGAGAAAGAAAAGTGGGAGCGAGAGAGAAAGTAATATTGGTGTGAGTGAGATGGAGAATTGCGAGTGAGAGAGAGAGGGAGAGAGAATGAGCGAAAAGGAGAAAGAGAAAGAGCGAAAAAGAGAGAGAGAGAAGATAATGAGAAAAAGTGTAAGAAAGAAAAGTGTGAGTGAGAGAGAGAAAATTACTAGTAATAAAAAAGAGAGGGAGAGAGAAAAGTTTAGAGAAACAGAGAGAGAGAGAGAGAGAGAGAGAGGAAAAAAGAAAGAGAGCGAAAATAGTCTGCGATAGGGGAGAAAGGACGCTCATAGTAAGAACTGAGCATGCGCTCTAAATGCGCAAGGATCGAATCAATCCCAAGAATTAACTCGGGACGAAGAAACTCTAGTGCCCCGTTTTTAAAAAGAAAAATCTTTTTGCAAAAAAGAAAAAAATATAAATACATACATAATCGATAATTTTATATCGAAATTTTCGCAAATCGACAAGTCGACACAAGTGTAATAATCAAGATTAAAAATATAGATATTTTCAAATACATATGTAAAAATGCAAAAAAAAAATCTTATGTATGAACTTAGTTAAGTCAATTTGTCGCTAGGGGCGACATTCACACAACAGGATCGGTGAAAATCTACCTTATCGACAAGGGGACAATTTTTTAATTTCTTACGGCAAAGTTCGCCAATACATTATATTTTGATTCAAATTGTTTAATGTAATAAAATAATTTTTCTATAAAATAAACAAAAATTAAAAAAAAACTTTCTCTATTTTCATTTTTTAAATTTTTGGCGCGATTTATCGAAAATAATATATCGATATTGATTGTCCCTAATTCGATTTGACCACTTTTGGCTAAATTCACAATGTTAATGAAAAGTCATAAAAATACAAACTATAAAGAAATAAAGCGTCAGTAAAAACAAAAATCTGTGAATTCCCCAATGTCTTTTTTCACCAAAGTGTGAATTGACCAGTATTTGCTGTATTCAGAGTGCTCAGCACATGGCAATGTATAAATAAGATATGTAGAGTGCCATGCGTGCTTTAATGCTGTCCTAGTTCCGGTCTGACGGAATTTTCAACAGTCGTGTCATTTCTGTCAAAATGTTTTTAGTTCATGACATATGAATAAAAATTCTTACGCCACGAACTAAGAGTATTTGATAGAAATGACACGACTTTTCAAAATTCCGACAGACCGGAAGGACAGCGTATAAGCATTTAGGTGTATCTACTTAAATCATATTTTCAAAGGTTTCCCAGGATGCGCCATATTTTTTTTTACTTTTTCTACGACATTTTTAACTAAAATTCTTGTAAAATTCAATTAAACTTTTTCGAAAAAATTAATTTCAAAATTCAATTATTTTAAAAAATTCACGCTTTATTGCTTTTAAAATTCAATTATTATCTAAAATTTCAACTGGAATTAATTTTTAAATCAATTTTTATTGGAAAATTCTACGAGAATTCAATTATTTAATTACAATAAATAAACTGCAAATAAATAATTTATTCAATAATTTCTTTATAAAGGAATTCAATTAAATTTTTACTGAAATTTATTATATTAAAAAATTTTATAACAATTTTTGAAAATAATTGAAAACTCTTCGAAGAATTTTATTAAAATTTTTAAAAATACTTGAATTCCTGAGCAGAATTTAAATAATAATTTATGAAAATAATTTAATTCGTGGGAAGAATTTTATTAAATTTTGTTTAAATAATTGAAATTTTGACAAGAAGTTTATTACCATTTTTGACAGTAATTTAATTCTCGAGAAGAATTTCACTATCTATTTATAAAGATAATTTAATTCTTGACGAGAATTTTAAAAAAATTTTGAAAATAATTTAATTTCTGCAAAGTATTTTATTACTTTTCAAAAGAATTGAATTCTTCTGCTAAATTTTAATACTTATGAAAATAATTGATTTTTGGCAAAGAATTTTATTAAAATTTTACCATGAAAATAATTGATTTTATGGGAAGAATTTTGTTGTTTATCAAGATAATTGAATTCATTTGCAAAATTACTTAAAACATTTTTGAAAATAATTGATTTTCTGCGACGAATTAAAAGTTATTTATGAAAATAATTGAATCATTGCAACGAATTATATTATTTTATTGAATAATTGAATGTTTCTTAAATTTGAATTCTTTCGTCAAGTTTTAATAAAATTTTTAAGAATAATTGCATTTTTCGAGGAATTTATTTAAAATTGTATTAAAAATATTTAAAATTCTGACGTGAAAATAATTGAATTTCTAAATGAAATTTTAATATTTATGAAAATAATTGAATGTTTTCGTAGAATTGTATCAAACATTTTTTTCAATAATTAAATTTTTTGATAAATTTGATGAAAATAGTAAACATTCAAAATCATTGAATTACGAAAAACTTTTGAAAATAATTGAAATATTGCAAAGAATTTTATTTAAATTTTCGAAAATAATTGAATTTTTGGCGAAAAATTGTACTATTTATAAAGATAATTGAATTCTTGATAAGATACCTATTCAACGAATTTTATTAACATTTTTAAGAATAGTTACATTTTTCGAGAAATTTGATTAAAATTGTATTAAAAATAATTGAAATTCTGCGATAAGTTTTATTATTTGTGAAAATAATTGAATCCCTAAGAAGAATTTTATTACTTTTGAACAATATTTAATTTTTGCGAAAAATATTATTACTTTTGAAATTAATTAAATTTTTGCAATAATTTTTAACTTTTACAAAATTGAATTTTCTTTTTCGTGTTTTTAACTAAACATCTTCTATAAATCCATTACTTTTAATAATTTTTGATAAAGTTCTTTAAGAATTTTCAAATTCATTTGTTTACAATTCAATTTTACAAAATTTCGATTATTCGTAAATTCTTCAATTCGATTAGAATTTTATTAAAAGTAATTGAAATTACGCAATGAGTTTTATTATTTATGAAAATAATTGAATTCCTAAAAAGAATTTTATTATTTACAAAAATAATTGAATCCCCGTAAAAATTTTATTATTTATGAAAATAATTGAATGATTGCGAAGAAATTTATAAAAAAAAATTTGTAAATAATGAAATTCCTGTGAAATTTTTATTATTTCTTTGAAAATAATTAAAAGTTTGTGATAGAATTTTATGAAATTTTTTTTTTTAAATAATTGAATTCTTTTGGAAAATTTTATGAAAATATACTATTGAAAATCATTGAATTGATGAAAATTTTTGAAAATAATTGAATTTCTGCGAAGAATTTTATTACTTTTGAAAATAATTGAATTTCTGCAATCATTTGTAATTTCTCTAAAATTATCCAACCTCATTTTTTTCAAAATGGCGTCAGGAAACTCGAAAATTTCAAAAATTAAAAATGGCGGATGTAAAAATTTAAAAATTGATCAGATTCGATTAAAACTTAGTACTCGGGGGTTTTCGGGGTCGCTGATTACAAATTTGCTGTCAGATTTCAAAAATTCAAAATGGCGGATCCAATATGGCGGATGATTTTTAATTTGCTCAAATTTACTTGATATTCGTTACTCGGGGGTTTTCGGGGTCGCTGATTACAAATTTGCTGTCTGATTTCAAAAAGGCGAATCCAATATGTCGGACGAAAAAATTAAAAATCGATCAGTTGAATCGAAGAGAAGTTTCGCTATATCGATTTCAATATACGATAATATATCGGATTTAAATTAAAGAAATAATTTCTTTTATTTATACTTACGTGACAATATTATTTTTCCAATACTAACAATAAACGATGACAAAATGAATATTTAGATGGAGGTTTTTTTTTTTTTTGCTAAAATAGAGTAGAGAAAAAAAGGAAATTCGTTTTGTGAATAACCTTGACTTGGTGAAATTTTGTAATTTCTTCTATATTGATGACACACTGCACGTATTTCTATATATGTACATATATATTTGTATATGTAATAAGAAAGTGAGGAAGACCGCACGAGGGTTAATCTAATCGTTGCCGCGCACTATTATGAGATCAGACTCGAACAAAAATAACTCCGGCATTGAACTAAAGTCACGTGAACCTTGCACATGGTAATGTTTGTACTGTGGATCATTGACCCAATCAGTTTCTCTCTCTCTCTCTCTCGAACATTTTTTTTTCCTTTTGTTAATTACCAACTTGTTTGAAATCGATTATCTTTTTTTGTGAATATTGTTTTTCGTTTATTTTTAGGGAGGAAATGGATAAAAAATATGTTTTGGACCTAAATCTAAAAGTTCTTTGACTCCAGTCCAGAAAATCAAGTACCAAGTGCCATTTAATTGATCAATATTGTAAAAAAAATCTTTAAACTTGAAAAATAGAAAACATTTTTTGTCACTAAAATATATATAGGTATTTAAAACTATATAAAAAAATTAAACATTTAACTAAACTTTCATTTTCTATTTTCGTTAAAACGGATCTGGAACTGGAATTTTTGTCGATTGTCCTTCCAGCATGTCCTTTAGAAGAAAACTGATTTCCTAATGAAGGAAAATATTAATTTATTTTCACTTTAACTATTTTATTATAATTTTTTATAACTAAAAAATAAAAAACAAGAATTTTAATCTAAAAAACCAAATTTTATCAAAACTGAAAAAACCCAAAAGTAAATTAAAAATACAAAAAAATAAATAGTTATTTTTAAAATAAAATTATAAAAATTAAAAAAAAATTGAAGTCAGGTACTTAAATATTTTTTTCTTTTTGAAAAAAGGAACCTAAATATAAAAATACAAAAACAAAAATGAATAAAAATAAATAAAAGAAAAAATTAAAAAATTGAAATGTTTTTAAATATTTTTTATCTCACCTCTTCTCGTTGTTTTCGTAGTCGATCAATTATTGGCTCACTAAAACTCGGATGATTCTCAGGATCCTCTAATTTTATTTCCTCCCTTATTCCCTGGGGAATTCGACTAACAAATATTTGTTTAATTTTCTCAAAATTTAATAATCGTCCGGGAAGATCGAGTTCAATTGCCATAAATGAATCCGTACCGCCGATAATTGTTAATGGTTTTTCGTAATCTGCGCAATTTCCTTTTCTGAAAAAGAAAAAAAATTATTTTCCCATAGTTTTTAAAAATATTTTTTTCTTTTTTTTCAATTTTTTTTACTTTTGATTTTTTATACTTTTTCATTTCTTTTTTTTACTTATTTTTTTTTTATTTTACTTTTCGCTTTTATTCTTTTTTTTAATTTTCAAATATTTATTTTACTTTTCACAAAACTTAAAAAAAATTTTTTAAAAATGTTTCCCAAATGAAAAGAAGAAAAGGAAACCGAACTTACAAACTTTGTGAACCAAAACCGTAAAATGACAATAAATCTTTGGTTCTTCGAACAAGAGCGGAATCCTTTGACGAATGAAAATGTAACGATGCACCGAGAGCGTGAGCGGCAGCTCTCAAAATCCTTCCAATTAATCCTTTTTTCGTCGAATCGAATTCCTGTAAAAAGAAAACAACAAATTTTTTTTACAAACTAATTTTGTATTTATAAAAAAAAAATTGGAATATTTAAACAATTAAAAAAAGAAATTATATGAAAAATAAAAAATAATAAGCGTGAAAAAAGGGGAAAAAATTTTTAAAAATAAAAATAAAAAATATAAATGAAAGAATAAATTAAAAACTAAATAAAAAAATATAGATATAATAAAAATATAATAACAAAAAATACAGAAATAATTAAAATATAGAAACGAAAAATAAAGAAACAATTAAAAATACAAAAAAGAAAAATACAGAAATAATTAAAAATGTCCACATTTTTAATTATTTAACTGTATTTTTCGTAATTAAAAAAAGAAATGAAAAATAAAAAATAATTAAAAATACAGAAAAAATAAAAAAACAATAAAAAAAACTAATAAAAATATATATAAACAATTAAAAGTGTAGAAATAAATTAAAATATTAAATCAAAAAATATAAAAACAAAAGAAAATAATAGAAATAAAAAAAAATATAGAAATGATAAAATTTTAAAAAGAAAAAAAAAGTTTGTTACTTTAAATTCATCGTATTTGCCGCCAATGATACAGAGTCTCATTGGAAATGGTTCGACAGTTTTCTCCGTGTCTTTTCTTTTTTCCTTTAAACGTCGATTATTCATCTCCTCAATTATTCTCTCGTTGTAGCTCATTTTCATTGCGCTTCGCACAACTGAAAGACTTTCCTCTAATGTTGACCAAATCATTTCCGGTTTCGATAAATCCAACATTATCATAATTGTCACATGATGAGGTGAATGAGTTAATGTCGAACCCGTCATTGAAGCCGATATTAATGACGACGATAAATGTCCCACCTCCCACACATGGACCACATCTTTCACCTTAAAAAAAAAAAAAAATTTAATGCAATTTCATTTTTGTTATTTATTGATTTATTTGCAAAATATTTATAAATTCTTTATTATTTATTTCAGATATTAAATAATTTATTTTATAGATAAATAATTGATTATTTATTCTATAGATAAATAAAAAAAGAAGAAAAACAATAATAAAGATTTTTAAAAATGTAATAAACATATAAAAATAATAAAAATACAAAAGTAATGAAAATAAAAAATTACAAAAACAAAAAACTAATGAAAATAAAAAAATTCAAAAATAGAAAACTAATTAAAATAACAAAAATAATGAAAATAAGAAAACAATTTATAAAAAATAATAAATTAATATAATTAATTTAATATTAAATAAAAATAATAAATAAATAAATAATAAATAAATTTAATAAATTAATTAATTTATTGAATAATAAATAAAATAACAAAACTTATAAATAAACAAAACTAGTGAAAATAATAAGTAATGAAATTAAAAAAATAGAAAGAGAAAACTAAATAAAAATAATAACAAAAATACAAAAACTGATGATAATGAAATATATTAAAAAGAAAAATATTTAAAATAAACAAATAATGAAAATAAAAAAAAGAATAAAATTAGTAAACTAAAAAATAAAATAACAAAACTAATAAAAATACGAAAATAATAAAAATACAAAAATAATTAAAAGAAAAAAAACAATAAAAATAGGAAATAACAAAACTAAAAAAAAATGCAAAACAAATAAAAAAATAATAAATAAAAATATATAAATATAAAAGTAATTGTAAAAAAGCAATAAAAATAGAAAACAACAAAAAATAACAAAACCAACAAAAACATGAAACTAATACAAATAAACAAAAGTAAAAATACAAAAATTATTAAAATACAATAATACCATAAAAATAAAAAATTCAATAAAATAACAAAACTAACAAAAATACAAAACTAATAAAAATAAACAATAATAAAAATACAAAAATAATTAAAATAAAAAAGCTATAAAAATAGAAAACAACAAAAAAAACTAACAAAAATATAAATCTAATGAAAATTAAAAATAATAAAAAAACAAAATATTGAAAATAAAAAAAAAAATATTAGAAAAATAAAAAATAACGATAATAATAAAAATTAAAAAAAAATAAAACAACAAAAATACAATGACAATAAAAATAATGAAAATAAAAAAACAATAACATTACCAAAAATACAAAATTAATGAAAATCAACTCTTTGGTAAAAAATGTAAAATTATCAAAAATTCGAAAAAATTCAAAAATCCGTTTTTCTTAAAACTCAACATTTTTTCCTCACTTTTATGGGATTTAGCTTCATTATTTTTGTGCTTTTGGAAAATACTTTACTTATTTAATAGTCTCGACTCTTTGGTAAAAAATCTAAAATTATCAAAAATTCAAAAATCCGTTTTTCTTAAAATTCAACATTTTTTCCTCACTTTTATGGGATTAACCTTAATTATTTTTGTGCTTTTGGAAAATACTTTACTTATTTAATAGTCTCGACTTTTTGGTAAAAAATCTAAAATTATCAAAAATTCGAAAAAATTCAAAAATCCAAATTTCTTAAAATTCAACATTTTTTCTTCTCTTTTATGGGATTTAGCTTCATTATTTTTGTGCTTTTAGAAAATACTTTACTTATTAAATAGTCTCGACTCTTTGGTAAAAAATCTAAAATTATCAAAAATTCGAAAAAATTCCAAAATTCGATTTTCTTAAAATTTAACATTTTTTCTTCTCTTTTATAGGATTTAGCTTCATTATTTTTGTGCTTTTAAAAAATACTTTACTTATTTAATAGTCTCGACTCTTTGGTAAAAAATCTAAAATTATCAAAAATTCGAAAAAATTCAAAAATCCGTTTTTTTTTAAATTCAACATTTTTTCCTCACTTTTATGGGATTTAGCTACATTATTTATGTGCTTTTGAAAAATACTTTACTTATTTAATAGTCTCGACACTTTGGTAAAAAATCTAAAATTATCAAAAATTCAAAGATATTAAAAATCCGTTTTTCTTAAAATTCAACATTTTTTCCTCACTTTTATGGGATTTAGCTACATTATTTTTGTGCTTTTGGAAAATACTTTACATATTTAATAGTCTCGACACTTTGGTAAAAAATCTAAAATTATCAAAAATTCAAAAATATTAAAAATCCGTTTTTCTTAAAATTTAACATTTTTTCCTCACTTTTATGGGATTAAACTTAATTATTTTTGTGCTTTTGGAAAATACTTTACTTATTTAATAGTCTCGACTTTTTGGTAAAAAATCTAAAATTATCAAAAATTCGAAAAAATTCAAAAATCCAAATTTCTTAAAATTCAACATTTTTTCTTCTCTTTTATGGAATTAAGCTTCATTATTTTTGTGCTTTTGGAAAATACTTTACTTATTTAAAAGTCTCAACTCTTTGGTAAAAAATCTAAAATTATCAAAAATTCGAAAAAATTCAAAAATCCGTTTTTCTTAAAATTCAACATTTTTTCTTCTCTTTTATGGGATTAAGATTCATTATTTTTGTGCTTTTGAAAAATACTTTACTTATTTAATAGTCTCGACTCTTTGGTAAAAAATCTAAAATTATCAAAAATTCGAAAAAATTCAAAAATCCGTTTTTCTTAAAATTCAACATTTTTTCCTCACTTTTATGGGATTTAGCTACATTATTTTTGTGCTTTTGGAAAATACTTTACTTATTTAATAGTCTCGACTCTTTGGTTAAAAATCTAAAATTATCAAAAATTCGAAAAAATTAAAAAACTCGATTTTCTTAAAATTCAACATTTTTTATTCTCTTTTATAGGATTTAGCTTCATTATTTTTGTGCTTTTGGAAAATACTTTACTTATTTAATAGTCTCGACTCTTTAGTAAAAAATCTAAAATTATCAAAAATTCGAAAAAATTCAAAAATCCGTTTTTTTTAAAATTCAACATTTTTTCCTCATTTTTATGGGATTTAGCTACATTATTTTTGTGCTTTTGGAAAATACTTTACTTATTTAATAGTCTCGACTTTTTGGTAAAAAATCTAAAATTATCAAAAATTCGAAAAAATTCAAAAATCCAAATTTCTTAAAATTCAACATTTTTTCTTCTCTTTTATGGGATTTAACTTCATTATTTTTGTGCTTTTAGAAAATACTTTACTTATTAAATAGTCTCGACTCTTTGGTAAAAAATCTAAAATTATAAAAAATTCGAAAAAATTCAAAAATTCGAAAAAATTCAAAAATTCGATTTTCTTAAAATTCAACATTTTTTCTTCTCTTTTATGGGATTAACCTTAATTATTTTTGTGCTTTTAGAAAATACTTTACTTATTTAATAGTCTCGACTCTTTGGTAAAAAATCTAAAATTAACGAAAATTATCAAAAATTCAAAAATCCGATTTTCTTAAAATTCAACATTTTTTCCTCACTTTTATAAGATTTAGCTTCATTATTTTTGTTCTTTTGGAAAATACTTTACTTATTTAATAGTCTCGACACTTTGGTAAAATTCTAAAATTATCAAAAATTCGAAAAAATTGAAAAATCTAAATTTCTTAAAATTCAACATTTTTTCCTCACTTTTATGGGATTTAGCTACATTATTTTTGTGCTTTTGGAAAATACTTTACTTATTAAATAGTCTCGACTCTTTGGTCAAAAATCTAAAATTATCAAAAATTCAAAAATATTCAAAAATCCGTTTTTCTTAAAATTCAACATTTTTTCCTCACTTTTATGGGATTTAGCTACATTATTTTTGTGCTTTTGGAAAATACTTTACTTATTTAATAGTCTCGACTCTTTGGTTAAAAATCTAAAATTATCAAAAATTCGAAAAAATTAAAAAACTCGATTTTCTTAAAATTCAACATTTTTTCCTCACTTTTATGGGATTTAGCTTCATTATTTTTGTGCTTTTAGAAAATACTTTACTTATTTAATAGTCTCGACTCTTTAGTAAAAAATCTAAAATTATCAAAAATTTGAAAAAATTCAAAAATCCGTTTTTTTTTAAATTCAACATTTTTTCCTCACTTTTATGGGATTTAGCTTCATTATTTTTGTTCTTTTGGAAAATACTTTACTTTTTTAATAGTATCGACACTTTGGTAAAAAATCTAAAATTATCAAAAATTCGAAAAAATTAAAAAACTCGATTTTCTTAAAATTCAACATTTTTTATTCTCTTTTATAGGATTTAGCTTTATTATTTTTGTGCTTTTGGAAAATACTTTACTTATTTAATAGTCTCGACTCTTTGATAAAAAATCTAAAATTATCAAAAATTCAAAAATCCGATTTTCTTAAAATTCAACATTTTTTCCTCACTTTTATGGGATTTAGCTTCATTATTTTTGTGCTTTTGGAAAATACTTTACTTATTTAATAGTCTCGACTCTTTGGTAAAAAATCTAAAATTATCAAAAATTCGAAAAAATTCAAAAATCCGTTTTTCTTAAAATTCAACATTTTTTCCTCACTTTTATGGGATTTAGCTACATTATTTTTGTGCTTTTGGAAAATACTTTACTTATTTAATAGTCTCGACTCTTTGGTAAAAAATCTAAAATTATCAAAAATTCGAAAAAATTCAAAAATCCGTTTTTCTTAAAATTCAACATTTTTTCTTCTCTTTTATGGGATTAAGATTCATTATTTTTGTGCTTTTAAAAAATACTTTACTTATTTAATAGTCTCGACTTTTTGGTAAAAAATCTAAAATTATCAAAAATTCGAAAAAATTCAAAAATCCAAATTTCTTAAAATTCAACATTTTTTTTTCTCTTTTATGGAATTAAGCTTCATTATTTTTGTGCTTTTGAAAAATACTTTACTTATTTAATAGTCTCGACTCTTTGGTAAAAAATCTAAAATTATCAAAAATTCGAAAAAATTCAAAAATCCAAATTTCTTAAAATTCAACATTTTTTCTTCTCTTTTATAGGATTTAGCTTCATTATTTTTGTGCTTTTGGAAAATACTTTACTTATTTAAAAGTCTCGACTCTTTGGTTAAAAATCTAAAATTATCAAAAATTCGAAAAAATTAAAAAACTCGATTTTCTTAAAATTCAACATTTTTTATTCTCTTTTATAGGATTTAGCTTCATTATGTTTGTGCTTTTGGAAAATACTTTACTTATTTAATAGTCTCGACACTTTGGTAAAAAATCTAAAATTATCAAAAATTCGAAAAAATTCAAAAATCCGTTTTTCTTAAAATTCAACATTTTTTCTTCTCTTTTATGGGATTAACCTTAATTATTTTTGTGCTTTTGGAAAATACTTTACTTATTTAATAGTCTCGACTTTTTGGTAAAAAATCTAAAATTATCAAAAATTCGAAAAAATTCAAAAATCCAAATTTCTTAAAATTCAACATTTTTTCTTCTCTTTTATGGAATTAAGCTTCATTATTTTTGTGCTTTTGGAAAATACTTTACTTATTTAATAGTCTCGACTTTTTGGTAAAAAATCTAAAATTATCAAAAATTCGAAAAAATTCAAAAATCCGATTTTCTTAAAATTCAACATTTTTTCTTCTCTTTTATGGGATTAACCTTAATTATTTTTGTGCTTTTGGAAAATACTTTTCTTATTTAATAGTCTCGACTTTTTGGTAAAAAATCGTAAATTATCAAAAATTCGAAAAAATTCAAAAATCCGATTTTCTTAAAATTCAACATTTTTTCTTCTCTTCTATGGGATTAACCTTAATTATTTTTGTGCTTTTGGAAAATACTTTACTTATTTAATAGTCTCGACTTTTTGGTAAAAAATCTAAAATTATCAAAAATTCGAAAAAATTCAAAAATCCGATTTTCTTAAAATTTAACATTTTTTCTTCTCTTTTATGGGATTAACCTTAATTATTTTTGTGCTTTTGGAAAATACTTTACTTATTTAATAGTCTCGACTTTTTGGTAAAAAATCTAAAATTATCAAAAATTCGAAAAAATTCAAAAATCCGATTTTCTTAAAATTCAACATTTTTTCTTCTCTTCTATGGGATTAACCTTAATTATTTTTGTGCTTTTGGAAAATACTTTACTTATTTAATAGTCTCGACTTTTTGGTAAAAAATCTAAAATTATCAAAAATTCGAAAAAATTCAAAAATCCGATTTTCTTAAAATTCAACATTTTTTCTTCTCTTTTATGGGATTAACCTTAATTATTTTTGTGCTTTTGGAAAATACTTTACTTATTTAATAGTCTCGACTCTTTGGTTAAAAATCTAAAATTATCAAAAATTCGAAAAAATTAAAAAACTCGATTTTCTTAAAATTCAACATTTTTTCCTCACTTTTATGGGATTTAGCTTCATTATTTTTGTGCTTTTAGAAAATACTTTACTTATTTAATAGTCTCGACTCTTTAGTAAAAAATCTAAAATTATCAAAAATTCGAAAAAATTCAAAAATCCAAATTTCTTAAAATTCAACATTTTTTCTTCTCTTTTATGGGATTAACCTTAATTATTTTTGTGCTTTTGGAAAATACTTTACTTATTTAATAGTCTCGACTCTTTGGTAAAAAATCTAAAATTATCAAAAATTCGAAAAAATTCAAAAATCCAAATTTCTTAAAATTCAACATTTTTTCTTCTCTTCTATGGGATTAACCTTAATTATTTTTGTGCTTTTGGAAAATACTTTACTTATTTAATAGTCTCGACTTTTTGGTAAAAAATCTAAAATTATCAAAAATTCGAAAAAATTCAAAAATCCGATTTTCTTAAAATTTAACATTTTTTCTTCTCTTTTATGGGATTAACCTTAATTATTTTTGTGCTTTTGGAAAATACTTTACTTATTTAATAGTCTCGACTCTTTGGTAAAAAATCTAAAATTATCCAGATTCTGTAGGAACCCTGCTTTTGTCTGACTTTCTTCTAAATTATCGAATTCAGTGATTTCTGTGGTCAATTTGGTTAAGTTGTAAAATGATTAATTTCTATTTGAATTCGTTTTTTTTTTGAATGTAGAAAATCTGATGTTAATTTAATTTTTTTTTCGTTATGCACGGCAAAAAATATTTAGCTGGATGAACTACAGATTTCACTTTAGTAGCGAAATTTTTCAATGCTTCAATTAATACTTTCGTTATTCTAGAGAAACTTATCGCTATTTCAAGTAAAACTTTTTTCATTGTGTAATAATTATTATTTCTTTGAAAAGTATTTAATTTAAAATGGCTTTATAAAATAAGCAATGCAAAAGATGACCCAGATACTAATTGTAATTGTTCTAGCCATAGTTTAAGTCTAGTAATGTAAATTCTATTTAAATTGAGACCATTGAGTGAAATTATTTAAATTTTAGTTAGTTAAATCTCTTTGTTAGGTTATAATAATTATTTCTTTAAAATTTTTTAAATGGTTTAAAATAAGCAGCCCCATACAACATTCCCGCGCGCTTGCGCGCGGATAGTTTGGCTAGTACAAAATTAATGGAAATAAAAATGCTATAAAAATAGAAAACAAAAATAACAAAAATACAAAACTAATGAAAATAAAAAATAGTAAAAAAACAAAAATAAAGAAAATAAAAAAAATATTATTAGAATAATAAAATAAAAAATAACGGAAAATAATAAAAATAGAAAAATAAAGATAATACAAAAATAATAAATATCAAAAATAATAAAAATAACAAAAATATTAAAAATTCAACAATTATGAACAGAAAAACAAGAAAAATATAAAAAAATAACATAATAATAAAAATATCTACAAAACTAATGAAAATAAAAAAAATTCAGAAACAATGTAAACAATAAAAATAGAAATCTGAATAAAATAATAAAAAAATAATAATAAATAGGTAAATAGTAAAAAATAAGAACAGAAAAAATAATTTTTTTTATAAAAAAAAAAATTGAGAAAATTCATTTTTTTTCTTTAAAAACTCACCAAACTTTTACCCGCTTTTCGTCCAAATGAATAATCCATGGCAATTGTTGGTTTTGGCGTTTCTTCTTTATCCAAAAATCTATAAATCATTGTTGTTTTACCCTGAAAATTGTATGAAAATAAAAAAGTTGTAAATGAAAATCTTCTTAAAAAAATAAAAAAAAAAAAAGAAAAGAAAAGAAATTACTTACAACTCCTTTACTACCAAGAAGAATAATTGTTCGTTCGTTTGTTTGAATTCCATCATTTTTTCTTTTATTCTCCTCCTCCAATGACAAACGTATCGCCAATTCTCTTGTATTTTCTAAACTATTGAAAAAAATATTCATTCAATTAATTTGTATCAATGAAAAATAGAAACAAAAATATTAACAATAATGCAAATAAAAAATAATTACATTATTATTATTTATTTATTTATCAACGGGATATAATAATATTTATATTATTTATTATAATTTCCTCGCGGTGAAAAAATAACTGTAATAATTGTAAATAAACTAAAAATTAAATGGACGATGTACGAAAATAATAAATCTTAATAAAAAATTTTTTTCTTTGTAAGAATGAATTTTGTCAACGTTTTTTAATTGTAAACCCATTGATACTGAATAAATAAATAAATAATTAAGTTTATAAATAGAAATGTAAACAAAATAAAAAACAAAAAAATAATGAAACAAAAGAAAAACAAACACGAAAAAATTTTAAATAAAAATAATTTTTATTGTTATTGCTGTTGTTGTAATAATAAAAATTAATAATAATAATATTTACAATAACAATAATAAAAATAACAATATAATGCAATAAAAAATATAAATATTTTTTTTATATATAAATAAACATAAAAAAAACTTACGGATATTCCTCGGACATTTTCGGTCAATTGATAAAAAAATAGAGAAATTCTCGTAAATTACGAGAAAAATTCCTTTTTTTGTTTTGTTTTGTCTTTTTTTTTAAAGAGAGAGACAGAGGGCCGTAAAATATCAGATGTTTACCAATGAATTCTAATGTTTTTAAAAACTCCACTTGCCGGTTACTATGGAAACACGCAGTCGCAAAATAAATTCATTTTTCTCCCCTTTTTCCTCTTTCAAATAAAAATACAACAAATTTCTTTTTCTTTCTGACAATAATTTTTTTTCTTTAATATACATATACATATGTATATAATAATAATAATAATATTTCAACCACCTTAAAATTAACAATAATCTTATACAATTAAAATGACTATTAACAAAAAAAAAAAAAAAAAATTGAAAATAAGAACAAAAACAATCGAAGCCGTGAATTCAAATAATTTTCATTTTCAAAACATTTTCTTTTCTATTTTTCCTTTCTAGTCGAAATTATTATATTAATAAAATTTTTTATCTTTTTCATTTAAATCAAAATTATATTTCCATCAAGAAAAATTTTTGTGTCAAAAGAAACGAAACGTTTTTCTTTTTTTTTTTTTTTTGAAAAAAGAAAATGTAGTGAAAATGAAAATTATAATAACAATTACATTGCTTATATTTCTATTTACAAAGTAGACTAGACAATGGAATGTTTAGGTCCATGACCTTTGACAAATAGGAAACACAATACGAGACACAGCTTTTTTTTTCTTTTTTTTTTCCTTTACTCTTTCTATGTTATCCACATTTTTTGGAATATTAAATAATGCATACTAATAATTATTAATAATTAATAATAATTATTATAATCTATCTGTACATTATACAAGCGATAAAAAATTTTTTTCTTTTTTTTTACTGTAACAAAATTGTATACAATTTTATGCATAGAAAAAAAGCAAAAAAAAAGAAGAGGAAGGCTAAATATTTTTTAACAGAGATTATTGCCTATTCTCCCAGTTATCATTTGTTAAAATTTTATTTATTTATTCAAAAATTATTTAGATTGATAAATTTATTTTCGGGAATTTAAAGAAAAAATTTTTATGCTTAATTAATATAAAATTATATTGGAAATAATTTTCTTTTGTAATTCCAGAATTTATCTTTTACGCTCTATTATTTAATTTAAATAAAAAATGAACCAGTTTTTCAATTAATTTAAAAATTAAAAATTTTCATTTAAAAATAATATAAAAATTAATAATTTTCGAATTTTAAAATAATTTCAAAATTTATGATTTTTGAATTTTAAAATAATTCAAAAATTCACAATTTTACTTTAAAAATTAACATTTTTTTCCTTGAAAAAATAGAAAAAACTTATTTTTAAGTAAAAATTTTTTTTTATATAGTAGAAATATCAATTATTCCTGGCAGTAGAATATGGTTAAAAGTAAAAAAAAATAATAATTTATAACTTTTTTTTCCCTTCAAAATAGAAAAAAAAAAATTATTTCGATCGAAAATGTTATTTTTTTCTTTTGGTTTGTTTAGAATATTTTGTTTCGCTTTTATTTATTTATTTTCACTAATGTGATGTTAGTCAGTCTATTTTTTCCCATCGAGAAAATTTGATGAAAGAGAATAAAAAAAAAATTTGAGAAAATTAAAAAAGAGCCTCTTGGGACTATTTAATTAAATAATTTAAACAATATTAAATGAAATAAAAGAAAATTTTTAAAAAAGGATAAATTTAACGGTAAAAACAAAGGCTTTTTTTAAAATAAAAAGAATAAAAGAAAAAGAGTACAAGAGTAAGAAAAAAGCGGAGAAATAGAGAGAAAGGAAGAAAATGAAAAACATTTTTATTTCTATTTTTTATTTTTTTCTACTTTCATTTTTAGAAAATAGAAAAAAAAGAAAGAAAAAAATACGAAATAAATAAAAAAAAGAAAGAACAGAATAGGAAAGAATTAAGAGAAATAAAATGTGGAAAAAAAATTTAAACTAAAAGTAGAAACAATGAAAAAAGATGAAAAGAAAAAGGAAAAAAATTTCGATAAAAACTTCATTAAATCGAAGTTGAACAATAATTTTTCCTGCAACAATTTTTTTATGTATAGGCCATTGAAACAATTGTAAAACATGCTATTTACTATTTTTCATTTACTTCCTTTTTTCTTCTAGATTATATTAACGATATTTTTTTCCTCAGAAATTCCAGAAAGCGCAAAAGTTTTCTAATAATTAATTTATTATTAATATTATTATTATTATTATTAATAATATTTTAAAAAATTATCAATCTTCCAAGTCACATCAAATTATTTATAACTATTATTATAATTATAATAATTATTACTACACTTATTATTTTTATTATTAATATTATTATTATTTCATTTTCTTCTCCTCCTCTCAAAAGAAAAATTATTACTATTATTAAAATTAGTATAAATTTTAAATAATTAGGAATAGGAACTTTAGTTATACTCAATTTTATCGGAAAGCTAATTGAAATCTTTTGTTTTGTTATTCTTAAAGAAATTAACAATTTGTTTCTAAAATAAAAGATAATAATAATAATAAAAATAATAACAATAATGTTAATAATTGTTTGTTAAAACCGTTTTTCTTTATAATTGTGTAATTAAAAGGCTTATAATATTAACAAGCATGGTAATAATACCCAATAAAAATAATAAAAATGAAAATAATAATAATAATTATTATTATCATTACTGCCGTATAATTAATTCCTTTCCTTTAATTATAATTATTGAACAATAATTATAATCAAAGGAAAGGTATTTATTGTAACATTTTTTAAATAATAAAAATAACAGAAAGAAAATAATAAAAAAATAATAATTGTGAAAAAATTGTAATAAAATTGTAATAATAATAATTATAATAATAATAATTGTATTAAAATTGTAATAATAATACTAATAATTGTAGTAGCGTTAAACTAATGGCAATTAAATAATAATAATAATAATATTAAGAATAACAATAAATACTCAAGCATTAGTCATCTCTTGCGGTAAAATTTCACCGCCTCCAAAATACAATAAACCACACGCTCTGCATGTTATCTCTGCCAAACATCATTTAACCATGTGTCATTTAATTCCTCGATAGGCAATACTTTTAAATTTCTCAATGCCTCTAAATAAAATGTTAATTCCGATGTGACAACGCCATGCTGTGGACCTCCATTATTAACAATATTCATTTTCACCAATTGCTCGCGCAGTTTTTCCTTGAACGATACATTCACTGTACGATAGAGCAATTGCACTTCAGTCGGTGGTAATATTCCCGAAACAGCCTCGTGCAATTTCGCCAAGTGCCTGAAAACACAAATATTTTCATTACTTCTCATATTTTCTTTTCTTTTCTATCTACTATTTTTTTTTTTTTTTTTTTTTTTTTTGCATTTCATTTTATTCTTTCCGCATTTGTTAATTTTCAAGTAAATCGAAATTATTATTAAAATTAACAAATGGAAAGTAATGCGAAATTATGATTTTTTTTTTCATCTCCATTTTTCTATATTTAACATACTTGGAAATTGTCCGAAAAGACTGCGATGGCACTGGTGGTTTAGCCGTCCAATTTGAAATATGACTGCTAAGAAGATTATCGACGATCGTGAGAATTTTCGTGTCAATTTCACGCACATGCGATCGAATATCCCTCTCGACAGTGTCCAATAATGCAACGCCGCCAGTGACACTCGAAATGCCAACAATCGAACGATTTGTACTCAATTCCGCCAGACCTTTAAAAACAAAGAGAACAAAAAGAAAATAAATATAAACTTTCATTTTTCTTGTCTATTTAAATAACCAAAATTTACTAAAAAAATATTTTCTGAAAATATTTTCAACAAAAATTAACATCCGCCTTTTGTTAAAACAACTTCATTTTTGTAAAATAATAATTAGTAGAATAATTTTGTTAAACAAATATTTAAATCGTATTTCAGAATTCCCACAAAAATTCAATTTTTAACTAAACTTGATCTCTAAATCAATTATTTTCAATAATTTTCCGAAACTTGTTCGAGAATTCAATTATTTAAATACAAAAATTTAAATTTTTAAAGAAAAAAAAGATTTTTTATAAAATGAAAAGAAGAAAAACCTTGAAAATGGGCCTTGACAAGTGGCATTATCCAAATAATGAGGCGCAAACTTCGCGCAGCGAGAACGAGAATTGTACTCGTTATTGTTTTCAGTCCAGCGACTTTCATGGCGCCAGCACCTAAAACCAATTGGCAGCATCGCGAATTATAGTGTCGCAAAAGTTCCGCCAATTGTCGTCCAATTGTACCCGAAAGTGTTGTCAATTCACTCGCCGTCCTGTGGAATAAAAATAAATATTTTCTTTTAATAAATGACTCTAATTTCATAATTTTATTTTTTATTTCATTTTTTTTCTTATTCTTTTATTCTTTAATTCTATTATTCTTAAATTCTCTTATTCTTTAATTCTTTAATTCTTTAATTTTTTAATTCTTTAACTCTTTAATTCTTTAATAAACAATTATTTCGGATAAATAATAATTATAATTAATCAGAAATTAAATTTAGAAATTTAGAAAAATGACAAAATTAAATCTTCTATACAAATGGTTTTTTTTTTTTTTTTTTGGTTTGTTTTTCTTACCTGCAATATTCGTGAATTATTTGAACGAGAATGAGAGCAGCGCCAACGACAGCAAATTTTTCATCGCCAATTAATATAAAATTCGTTGGATTTTCATTTGTTGTTTTAGAATCAATTTTAAAGAGTTCGGGAAAATATTTATTCTCATAGAGAAATGTGACGAGCGATTGAAATTCAGCAGGTACATCGGCTTGCTTCCAACGTTCAGTTTCAAGTAAAAGGCTCAATTTTGTTTTTCTCTCATTGTGAAAGCGTTGCACAAATTTACTCGCTTGTGCCTGTGAAAAATTTCAAAATGGGAATATTATTTCATTTTTCTATCAAATAAATGAAAATTCTATTAAAGAAACAAAAAGGGAAATAAAAAGTGAAGTGGAAATTAAGAAAGAAAAAAAGTTCCAAAAATGAAAATAAAGGAAATCCAATTTTCAGGAATTTTTAAAAAATTTATTGCAAAATTCAATTATTTTCAGGAATTTTAATAAAAAATTTTGTCTAAATCCAATTTTCACGAATTTTAAAAAAATTTATTGCAAAATTCAATTATTTTCATTAATTTTAATAAAAAATTTTGTCTAAATCCAATTTTCAGGAATTTTAAAAAAATTTATTGCAAAATTCAATTATTTTCATTAATTTTAATAACAAATTTTGTCTAAATTAAATTTTCAGGAATTTTTAAAAAATTTATTGAAAAATTCAATTATTTTTATGAATTTTAATAAAACTCTTTGCAAAATTCAATTTTTTTCTGCAATTTTATTAAAATTCTAATTCATCTATAATTTTAATAAAACTCTTTGCAAAATTCAATTATTTTCAGAAATTTTATTAAAACTTTTGCCAAATTTAATTATTTTAAGGAATTTAATTAAAATTCATTGCAAATTTTAATTATTTTTTCAAAGATTTTACTAAATTTAAATTATTTTTTAAAAAGATTTTACCAAATTTTAATTTTTTTAAAAAAATTTTTAATTGTTATGTAATTGAATTGAAATTCATCTGTACTTATGAAAATTGTAAACGCAACTTTTTTAAAATTTAATTAATTTTGAAATATTTATGTAAAATTATATTTAAAGAATAAACTTTAGAAAATAACAATTTTTCAGGATTCCGATCAAAATTCCCTGACTTTTCCAGGTTTTCCAGGTTTCCAAGTTGCGTGGCAACCCTGTCAATGTGAAAATAAAAAAAAAGTTCACTTTTTCCTTATTTTCACATTGTTTTCTATTTTCTTTCTAGAAACTGAAAATACAGAATAAAAATAAAAAGAAGAAACTATTTATAATTCATTATCAATGGAAATAAAGAAAATATGGAACATAATCAAAAAGTTATTTGAAAATAAAGAGAAAAATTAGCGAGAATAATAGAGAAAAATTTACCCGAAATGCAGAGCGCAATGCAGTCGATTGTTTACCGCATATTTTCTCGCATGTTTCAGTGAATCCATCGACCATATTTGCAAGTCGACAAACCTGAGCGGCAGTCGCTCGATCGCCAAGCCACGAAGATTTTTCACCCCACGATGGACTCTCCTTTTCATTTGATTTCGTTTCCGAATTATTATTATGATTATTATTATTATGATTACTATTACTATTATTGCTTGTCGTCGACGTCGTCGTGGTTGTTAATGTTATTGCCTTTTCTTTTTCCACTGGACTTGCCGACAATAAATTTCCTAAACGCTCATGACAATAATCACAAATTGACGTCAACATATCGGTCAATTTACTCGTTATTCGATTATATTCCTCCTCTGATAATAAATAATCCGTTAATGAATCGTCCATTGAACCATCAGGTAGACGTCCGGATGATAAATCCGCCGTCTCTTGCATAACATTGTGGACTGCCTTTAAAAGAAAAAAAAGAAAATTTAGTAAATGGTTTTTTCATTTATATTCTATATTTTGTATATTTTTTAATTTTCTTTCTGTACTTTTTCTATTCTCTCTTTACTTCTGTTTTTTTCTACTTTTTCTTTACTTCTTTTCTGTATTTTTTACTATTCTTGTCTTTATTTTCTTTCTGTATTTTTGCTATTTATTCCTTACTTCTTTTCTCTATTTTTACTATTCTGTCTTTATTTCCTTTCTGTATGTTTAATTTTTTTTGTATTTTTTCTATTCTTTCTAAATTTTTTTTGGTATTTTTTCTATTCTTTCTAAATTTTTTTTGGTATTTTTTCTATTCTTTTTCTATATTTTTTTGTATTTTTTCTATTCTTTCTTTACTCCTTTTCTATATTTTTACTATTAATTCTTTACTAATTTATTGTATTTTTTTCTGTACAAAAAGAAATAGAAAATTAAAAAATACAGAAAAAATTAGAGAAAGAATAGAAAAAAATAAAATAAAGTAGAAAACTAACAAAAAATAATAGAAAAGACAAAAAATAACAAAAAATTTTAAGTGTAAAAAAATAGAAAATACAGAAAGAATAAAAAAAGTAGAAAATATACGAAAGCAGAAAAAATAAAATTGTAAAAAAAATAGAAAATACAAAAAGTACAGAAAGAATAAAAAGAAAGAAAGAAAGAATAAAAATAAAAATAATAGAATAAAAAAAAATTAAATAAAATAAAAAAATGAATAAAAACAATTTTCAAAAAATGTTCAAATGAAGAAAAACTTTTGCAAAACAAAAAGAGAGAAATAGAATTAAAAAATTGGAGAATTTTTGCCGTACTTTAATTCGATGGAGAAGATGCGTGAGTGATTGTATTGTGTTAAATAAAAGTGTTAGTCTTTCGGCAAGTGATAAACCGCCAACTTCCAATGCCGCCGCTTGTTGATCACTGCAACAATCGCTCGCCGTTAATGCCTCGATAACGCGTTGCTTGGTAACCGCTCTCACTGCAGTCACCGCCTCCTCTTTATAAGTGTCAACAAATTGCAAATGCTTTTGGCGCAACAAACCCGAGATAATCGAGACAAGTTTGTCCTGAAAGCCAAAAAAAACAAAACACATTTGTTAATAAAAAAGGAACTTTTCGATTTTTTTCAAATTTAAAAGAAAAATGTATAAAATAAATAATAAAATCTTAATTCGTTGTATTACCTTTTTAAATAATTTTTCTAAAAATGTTATGAATTTTTAAATTTTCTAAGGGAAATAACCTGGATTCGCGATATATGAAATAAACTGAATTACGAAGAAAAAAAACCAACAAAAATTAATGTATTCCGAATCATTGAATTCTTAAGAATTTAAACAAAAGATTTTTAGAATTTAAATTCTTTCAAGAATTTTTATTAAAATTGTACCTTGAATTATTAAAATAATTCAATTGAATTTAAAATTAATAATTAATTGAATTTTAAGAAGAAATTCTTTCTATTTTTTATAAGAATTGTATTTGTTAAAAATAAAATAAAACTTTTATTTAGAAATTTTATAAAAAAATTTGTTGACGATTGAATTCTTTTCATAATTTTATTACTATTTTTTTTAATAATTGAATTCTTTCAAGAAATTCTATAAAATCTATATTAAAAATAATCACATTCTTACTAAGAATTTTATTAATTAAATAGAATTCAATTCTAGAGATGAATTTTATAATTTATGAAAAATTTTATTGTGAATTGAAAATAATTGAATTCCTACGATGAATTTTACTATTTAAAAAAATTATGGAATTATCCGAGAAAAATTTATGAAAATAATTGAATTCTTGACAAGAATTTTGTAATTTGTATAATAATAATAAATTGATTATCTCGTTTCGCGCATAAATTTTACTAGTAATTAATAATAAATAAACAATATAAATACTAATAATAATAAATAATTAATAATAAAATAAAAGAAAAAAATGTAAAATATTTAAAATATTTTAGAAAAAACAAGTTTTTTTTACAAAACTTGTGCTTATAAAATAGAAATTATAAAAAATAATTTAATTTTTGCGAAGAATTTTAAAAAAGGTTTGAAATAATTCATTTCTTTCGAATAATTTTATGCAAATTCTAATTTAAATAATTGAAATGATGAAAATTTTTATTATTCATGAAAAGAATGAAATGAAATTCTGTTTGGAAATTTTATGAAAATAGCAAAATATTGAAAATCATTGAATTGCGAAAAGTTTTTTAAAATTATTAAATTTTACAAAGAATTCTCTTAAAAAATTTGTCAATAACTGAATGTCTGCGGGAAATTTTATTAAATTTTGTTTTGAAAATAATTAAATTCCTAAAAAACATTTTATTATTTATGAAAATAATTGAATTCTTGCAAACGATTTTATTAGAATTTTTTTAAATAATGGAGTTTCCAAGAAGAAATTTATTATTTTTAAAAATAATTGATAATTGATAATTGATTCCTGTAAAATTGTATTAAAAATAATTGAAATCCTGCGATGAATTTTATTATTTATGAAAATAATTGAATAGTTTTTAATTTGAATAGAATTTTATTAGATATAATTCTCAAAAATAGTTGAATTAAAGAGAAGAATTTTATTATTTTTAAAAATAATTGAATTATTGCGGAAAAGTTTATTAAAATGTTTAAAAAAAATTGAATTTCTGTAAAAAATTTTATTATTTTTGAAAGTAATTAAATTCTTCATTAGAACTTTATTAAATATTGTTTTAAATAATTTTTTTTTCGAAATATAATAAATATTATGAAAATTTTATTATTTTAAATAATTGAATTCTTGTGGAAAACTTTATTTGTGAAAATAACTGAATTTTTTGATTATTAATTTAAAATAGTATGTAATGAAAATAATTTGAAATTCTTCGATGATTTTTATTATTTATGAAAATAATGAAATTCTTGCTTAGAATTTAATCAAAAATTTTTTTAAAAAATTGATTTTTCATGAAAATTTTTATTATTAGTGAAAGTAATTGAATTATTGTGAATATCTTATAATGAAAAAAGAGAAAGAGAGTAAAAAAAATTACCCCATCAAGTACTGTATTATCGCCTCCCAATGGTCTATTCAAATCTGCAGTTGCATATCTTTCAAATTCGGTTGACAGCATTTTATCGACTAATTTTTCCATTTCACTTAATTGCGAACCCAAATGTCTGAAATAGAAAGTAAAATACAATTTTACATACATAAGTATAAATAATTTCTTTTCCGTCCTCAAAAGTTCGAAATAATAATTTATCATTTTTTTTAAGCGCAAGAAAATTAACTTCAATAAAAAAATGCAGAAAAAATAAAAAAAAATACTTGAAAAATTACAAATACGGAAAGAATGAAATAAAATGAATAAAGTACAAAAAAAAATTAAATTTTTTACAATTAAATGACTAATTAATAATACTTTTAATAAATAATATTAAAATAAAAAATTTTAATAAATAATAAAATAAATTTCTTTAATTTTTTTTTTAAATATTTGATTTAATTTCCTTTTTTTCTTCATTATTTACCTAAAACTATGAACGCCATTCAATTCCTGAAGTAAAATTTCCTGAGTTGTCGTTATGAGATCAAGAGCAGCGACATAATCAGGAGTGGAAAGCAATAATTGTATCATTGGTTGACTTTGATGAACTGTTGCCATTAATTTTAATTTCTCCTGCACCTGTTGATGATTTGATCGCGCCTGCTCTAATCTGCAGAAAAAAATACACATTTCCCTTTAATTTTTTCCGAAATATTCGAATTATCAACTCACAAGTTATTTGAAAATTGCCTTTCTTTATTTTATTATTTCTATAATAATTTATAGTCTATTTATTCTTTATAATTTTTTTACGACTATTCGTTACTTTAGAATTAGAAAATAATTTTTAATTATTCCTCACTTTTTATGAAAAGTTTTTTTTTCAATATAAAAATTGATTTTTCTTTCTTGATCCTTATACTTTTTATATTTGTTCATTTTCGTAATTTATTTAAACTCCTAAATGTATTTTTCATATTTGTTGAAGTATTACAAAGAATTTCATTATTTTTGAAAATAATAGTCATAATTAGTTAATATATGTGAAGTTTTTGAAAAATTTCAAAAAGTGTTTTTCAAAATGTGAAGTATTCAAAAATTGAAATTGAAATTTGTACGTTAAAATTAAATACCGAATTTACTGATATTATTTGTAATAATTTTTTAATTATTAGATTTTATTGAGTAAAAAATCTCTCTGGTTTATAAATTTTTGATTTCTTTCACCTTAAAATTTGAAAAGAACTCTTCACCAAACTATCGTCGATTTGATGAATATTCTTTCTCAGCGCCTTTAAAACAGTAATTGTTTGCGTTAATTGTTCCATGAGTGCATCGTGGGACGTCATTGCGTGAAAAAATGCCTGCGACTTGGAAGCAACTTGTTCGGCGATTCGCACTTCAACAGTGTCTAAATATTGCGTCAACTGTTAATTACAAAAAAGAGAAAAAAAAACGAAAGTTATTTTATTATCACCATTTTTTTCTTCAATTTCTTTTAAAAATTGTTGTTAATATTAATAATTTTTTGTTTTAATTTCTTTCGAGTTTTATTAATATTAATATTTTCTGTTTTAATTCCTTTCGAATTTTATTAATATTTTCTGTTTTAATTTCTTTCGAATTTTATTAATATTTTCTGTTTTAATTTCTTTCGAATTTTATTAATATTAATACTTTCTGTTTTAATTTTTTTTTTTTTTTTTTTGCAGACAAACCTGTTCTTGAATTATTTTCGCTTGACCGTTGGCAGTTCCACTATGATCGAAAAGACCATCTTTTGCAAATGAAAATACGGCGTCAAAATTTTCCTTCTTCGACAAATCAAGATGAGGACTGAGAAATATTTTTGGTATATTGGAGAGATCAAATTGCGAACGCTCTGGAAAGAGAAAAATGTAAGAAAATTAATATAATTACAGCAAAAAAATAGTAAATAATTAAATTTTAAAAAAGAATTATAAAGAATTGAATTTTAAAAAAATTTTAACTACAAAAAGAAAATAGTGAAAAAATAAACGATAAAATAAAAAAAAAGAAAGATAGAGAGAGAAATATTTAATATAAATAGAAAAAAAATTTACCTGTAGGTCCATTATTTGTTGTGAGACTTTTTGTTTTTCTTAAATTTGGAAAATTTTGCAACAATTCATTTGGCGATGTTGAACGATTTAAATTTGAATTCATACGCGAATGCTTTCTATAGCGCTGAAATATTGCAATAATTTCATTAAAGAAAATTATTTTTAAAAAGAATAAAACAATTTTTCCCATTGTAAAAACTATTCGTATTTTTATTTATTTATTTATTTATAAACCAAACAAGCCGTTTTTTTTTTATTTTTTTTATTTCAGTTTCATTTTCTATTTTCTTCTTTATCGAATGACACAATCGAGCTCAATAGTAATTGAAAGCAATTTAACCAAATCACTTGCAAGTTGAATTCTATTTCTTAACAATTTATAAATTTTCAGTTATAAATTCTATTTAATTCTATTTAATTTTATTTCATTTTATTTCATTTTATTTCATTTTATTTAAGTTTTCTAAGTTATAAAATTTATTATTAATTTTCCATCATCAATTATATTGATAAATTTTCAATAAAAATTTCTTAGTATTTAGAAATTAAAAATTTAAAAGTACATTAAAATTGTATAAATAAATATAAATTCGATTATTTCTTCTTTCGATAATTTAATCTAAATTTTTATTTCTATTTTCCATTAATTCTATTGATTAATTATTTGTTTTCATAATAATTATTTTATTAAATGCTTCGCACTCAATAATGAAAATTTTAAGAAAATAGCAAAAAAATAGTTTTATATTTCTACAAAAATTCAATTTCTTCAAAAGACAAAAATAAATAATTGATAGAATAATTATTTCTTATAATTGAATACTTGTGAACAATTTTATCGAAATTTTTTAAAAACAGTTTGAAAATAATTGAAATTCTCTGAAAAATTTTATTAAATTTATGAAAATAACTGAATTCTTGCAACGAATTTTAGTAATTTTTTTATAAATTGAATTTCTGTGAAAAAAATTGAAATCTTTTGAAAAATTCTAATTAAAATAATTGATATTGAAAATAATTGAATTTTAGGGAAGAATTTCATTATTTGTGAAAATAATTGAATTCTTGCGGAAGATTTTTTAAAAAATTTGGAAAAATAATTGATTTCTTTTAAAGAATTAAGATAAAACTTTTAAAAATAATGACATTTTTCGAGGAATTCATTTAAAATTGTACTAAAAGTAATTGAAATCCTGTGAAAAATTTTAATATTTATAAAAATAATTGAATTCTTGCGAAAGATTTTATTAAAATTTTTTAAAAGAATTGAATTTTTAAAATCATTTTATGAAAATTTAAAAAAATAATTAGTTTCCAAAGAATTTTAATAAAATTTTTGAAAATAATTACATTAATTATAATTTTTTGAGAAACTCATTGAAAATTGCATTAAAAATAATTAAAATCCTGTGAAGAATTTTATTATGTATAGAAATAATTGAATTCTAGAAAAGAATTTTGTTAAATTTTATTAAATAATTGAATTTTTTAAAATTATTTATTATATTATTTATAAAAATAATTGAATTCTCGCAGACGAATTTTACTGTTTATAAAAATAATTGAATAGTTTCAAAGAATTTTATTAAAATTTTTAAAAATAATTTAATTTCGGCGAAGAATTTAAATAAAACTTTAGAAAATAATTACATTTTTCGAAGAATTCATTTAAAATTAAATTTAAAGTAATAGAAATCCTGTAAAGAATTTTATTATTTATAAAAATAATTGAATTTTTGTTATTTTGCAAATAAAGACAAATTTTCTTCTTTGATTTCTCTATTTCTATGTTTCGATATTGTTTAAATTGATAAAGAAAGAAAAGAAAATATTGTGTCACAAACTCACCCGTGCAATTTTTTTCAAATAAAGTTCAAAATGTTGAATTGTAATTTCCGGTAGATATGGACTCTTGGGAATATCGACTTTTTCAATAAATGAATCGCCCCATGTTTTTGTCAAGAAATTACTCTGTTTACCACGATTTGGATCATTTAAAACAGCGGGTAAATTTTGTGCTGCCGAATAAAATGACCACGACGTTGAGGCCTCATTTAATTGTCCATTTGCTTTTTTTTGCTGTTGATGTTGTTGCTGTTGTTGTTGCATTGTTGTCGCGTGCTTTGTTGCATGAACTAAATAATCTTTGTCGGAAACACCCTCCAATGGAAGACTCGTGCAAACGCCATTGTAACCGTAACGACAAACAAATGATCCGCCTTCACGTGAACAATGCTGATCTCGAAGATGTCTTCATGAAAGAAAAAAAGAAATTCAATAATTAATTAAAAATTACTGCAACTTCTTAAAAATTCAATTATTTCTAAAAATTTTTGATATAATGCTTTTAATATTCAATTATTATTCGAAATTTTAACTAAAATTCATTTTGTATACTTGAAAATATTAAAAAATAAAACAAAATTAAAATTAATTTTGAAATCAATTTTTATTAGAAAATTTTGCGAGAATTCAATTATCATTTAAATACAAAAATAAATAATTGAATGTTTCTTAAAATTGAATTTTCTTAACGAAAAATTATCAACAAATCTTTAAATAATTGAATTCTTTCTATGAATTTTAATAAAAATTTTTAAGAATAATAACATTTTTTGAGGATTTTGATTAAAATCGTATTAAAAATAATTATTTATAAAAGTAGTTAAATGTTTGCCAAGAATTTTATTAAAATTTTTGGAAAATAATTGAATTTCAAAGAAGAATTTTATTATGTATTAATATTAATAATGATAATAAATTAATTAATATTAATTTTAAAAAAATTGCAACATAATTTACAGAACTAATATTAAGAAAATTAAGAAAAGTAATTAAAAAATTAATTAAGAAAAAAATGTTTAAAAATTAAGAAGTAATTAAAAAACGTTTTTTTTAAAGTTAAAAGAAAAGCAAATAAAAATATTAAAAACAAATTAAAATTTATCTAAGAAAATAGAAAAAAGAGAAAAAAGAGAAAAGAAAAGCAAGAAAAACAATAACATGAAAATAATTTAAAAAGAAAACTAAATGAACTAAAAAAAGGAAAAACAAAGAATAAATAAAATGAAAGCAAAAAAAGAAAATAAATCAGAAACGTAATTAAATTGTAAAATTAACATTTATTTATTTATAAATAATATATTTTGTTAATAATCTCAACTGTTAATTAATAAATGTAATTTAAATCAACAATCATTTTGCAAGAAAAAATTTGGAATAATAATTAATGTTAAATTTTAACAACTTTTTTTTTGCAAAAAATTATTTAGTTCCATAAATTGTAATTTTTTTCTAGTTTTTTATATATTTTTTAGTAAAATTTTAGTAAAATATTTTGCGAAAACAAATTGTATTTATAATAAAAGAATAATAAAAATTCAATTCGTAAAGAAATGACTCTTTTCTTCTTCATTCAAATGATAATAACAAATGACGAAATAAAATATTCATTAACTTTTTTTTCTCTACCTCAAATTTAAATATTAATCGAATATATTCAATGACTTCTGGAATTATTTTTAAATAAGTCACGAAACGCTGAAAATTATTTTAATTTCTCTTTTAACTCTTTTCTTTTCCGAAATAAATTTTTTTAGAATTAAACATTTATCTTTAAAATGAAAATAAAATTAAAAACAATTAAAAAAATAAAAGAAAAGAAAACGAAAAAAACATAAAAGTATAAAACGAGACAGGAAAATTAAAAACGAAAAAATTAACTATAATTTCTTTGTAAACTGAAAAAATCAAAAAATTCTTTAAAATTGGTATTAATTTTTCAAAAATTCAAAATAAAACAAAAAAATATTGAAATTTCAGGAAAAATTTCTTGTCGAAAAAGTAAAAAATATGAATTTATTATAATAAAATAGGATATAACCTAAAATTTTATAAAAAAAAAAATATTTTCAACACTGAAATCATAAAATTTATTCTATTTTTTTAAAGAAAAATGATGTTTTATTAGTTTTAAGGTAAAAAAAAAGAATATAAAGATAGGCGAGGTTTCTATACTGATAATAAATGGACAAACAGACGGACTTACCGTACAAAATCTTGAACTTGTTTAAATTTGAGGTTAGTACAATATTCACAATGTAATATTGTTCCAATTGATTCGACACTTCTTACGTGTGTTGCCATTATACTTGAGAAAAATCAAAATGAAATAATAATTTCAATATTACACATTATTTATTTATCTACTCTCTCCCATTATTTCTAATTTACTTTTGAAAATCATTGAACTTTCGACTTGGGTCCTTCTTTTTAGGAGGAAGAGAGAGAGAAGAAACAATTTAAAAAAAACACACAGTCACACATGTGAAATTAACACTGACACGATGAGCAGACACCGCAGACACATAAGACACATACACAAGAAAATGTCATATCACCAAAGTTTATGGAATAAAAAATTTTTTTTTTTGACAGCAGGTTCCGGTTATTGCGCAGACGTCATTGGTCATTGTTCCGCGTGGCGGGCAAATTGGCGCCAATTTCTTGAAAATTCAAAAATTACAATTAATACAAAAGTGGAAATAATTTTGTTTGTTTCTAATAATAAAATTTTTAAATAAAAAATCAAAACAAATATAGTATTTCTTTTTTAAATTTTACTAAAAAATAATTAAAAATATAAATTGTTGTTATTGTTTCTTGTAATTAATAAATATTAAAATATTATTAAAATAATAAATATTGTTGTTTCAATAATTTTTATTAGTAAATTTTTTTCAATTTTTTTCAGTTCATTGTTTCATTAATTTAATATTAAAATTATTAATTATTATTAGAATTTTATCAAGTATTTATTAAAAAACATTTGATAAATTTAAGTAAATTAAAAAAAAATTCAATAAACAAATAATGAAAAATTTCCAAATTAATTCAAATAAATAAAAATAATTGTCTTTGATTTCGGGCTATTTTTCAAAAATTTTTCTAAATTATAATTTAAATAATAAGTTATTAATTATTAATTTAATTATTAATTAAGTGTTTAATTATAAATTAAATTAATAATTATAAATTAAATTAATAATTATTAATTAAATTATTAATATACAAAAACAATAACTTAAATTTTAATTATTTTTTTGTAACAAAAAAGAAATATTAAATTTGCTGTAATTTTTAATTAACAATTTAATTTAATTTATTTTTGAAGCAAGATAAATTATTTCCATTTTTGTATTAATTTAAATTTTTGAATTTTCAAAAAATTGGTGCAAAAATAATAAAAAGAAATAAAATTTTTTTCATGTAATTATTTTATAATTAAAAAAATTAATTATTTTTTTAAATTCATTATAAAATAATTTTATTTATTTAAAAAGATTTTCAAAAATCATTTTTTAGCAGTAAAAAATATTGTTAATTATCATAATGATTTTATAATTAAAAAAATCATGTTTTTATTCATTAAAATAATTTTTATTTATTTTAAACATTTTTCAAAAATCTTTTTTTTATCAGTAAAAAATTTTGTTAATTAAAATCTGATTCATGTAATTATTTTATAATTAAACAAATTTTGTTTTTTTCTAAATTCATTATCAGTTATATATAAAAAATAAAAAAATTTTTTTCTCAAATATTTTATAATTTTTGGGCTTTTTTAAATTTGTTTTTCAATACAAGCAAAATTCATAATTTTTTTCTTTAAAAAAAAGTATTTTTTTTTTATTAAATTTGGAAAACTTTTAGATTCAAAAATATTGAAAACCATTCCCCCCCCCCCCCCCACTCCCGATCACCAAAAAGAGAGAAAAATTATTTCGAAAATATATAATATATTTATATCAAAAGTATTAAATTTCGCTTTTTGTAGTTACGATTTTTTTTGTCATTTTTTTAAACATTTCTTTTCTTTTTTTTCACTGAATAATAAATACATTAAAAAAAAAAAATTTGAATTTGTCAATATTTTGAAAATTTAACCACAAAGAATAATTTGTTTTTAACGCTGTTGACGTGCATGATTTTGATTATTTTGCGCAGTTTGAAAATTAACGATACTATTAATATTATTATTATTATTAATCATCATATTGTTGTTGTTATTATTATTATTGTTAATGTTGTTGTTATTATTGTTATTGATATTTCCCTGATGTTGTCTTTGTATTTGAAGTTGTTGTACGCGTGTCATTTCAAGAGCGAGTAATTTTTGTCGTTTCTCTTCCATTAATCGTTCACGATGTTTGTGAATATAGTCCTCAACATTTGGTAGACCCATTATTACACATGCCGATAATGCGGAACGATAAATATTCATGTCAGTTGCTTCGTACCTATTGATAATAAAATTAATTATTTTGCTGTAAATTGGGTTTAGAAATCGTTTTTAGTATCTTTAGATTATATAATAAAATGTTGTGCAGCTATATATTGGTTATAGATCTACTGCGCAGGTGTACATTGCATGTAGATTTAGTGCGCAGGTTTATATTGCGTACAGATCTACTGCGCAGGTGTATATATTACTTGTAGATCTACTGCGCAGGTTTATATTGTATATCAATCTACTGCGCAGGTGTATATATTACGTGTAGATCTACTGCGCAGGTGTATATTGCACGTGGATCTATTGCGCAGCAATAAGCCATATATAGACTTACTGTTCAGCTATTAATGACGTACATATTTATTAAGCAACTTTATACTGCATATCGATCTAGAGCATAGCTGTAAATTGCATACAGATCTATTGCGCAGCTATAAATTGTATAAAGATCTACTGCGCAACTCTACACTGCTTATCGATCTAAAGTTTTAGCTGTAAATTGCATACAGATCTTTTGCGCAACTATAAATTTTATAAAGATCTACTGCGCATTAATAGGGCAACAATAGATTATTGCGCATTTATAAAGCAACTGTAGATCTACTGCGCATGTTAGAAATTCCTTAAAGATCTGCTGCGCGTTTATTAAAGCAACTGTAGATTTACTGCGCATGTTAAAAATTCCATTAAGATCTATTGCGCACTTATAAGACAACTGTAGATCTACTGCGCATGATAGAAATCACTTTAAGATCTACTGCGCATTGATAAGCAAACCTGGATCTATTGCGCATGTTAGAAATTCTATTAATGATCTATTGCGCATTTATAAGTAAACCTAGATCTACTGCGCATGTTCAACATTCCAAAAAGATCTGCTGCGCATTTCTAAAGTAACTATAGATCTTCTGCGCATGCTAGAAGTTCCATAAAAATATATTGCTATCAAGAGGATAGAAATTAGTAATTAAATAATAATAATTTACCATTCATTGTGTTTTCCATCGTAACATTCAACGCGAAATATTGTAGTAACACCATTAAATCCACCAATAACAAAAATCATATCGTCAATAACCTCAATTGCAAAATTACTTCGTGGATGATACATATCCGGTATTGGGGTCCAACTATCCGTTTCCGGATTATATTTCTCCCCACTACACATTCTTGAAACTCCATTAAATCCGCCTTTTAAAATGAAATTGATGATCTTAATATAAAAAATCCCAAAAGAACTTAAACCATCGGTCGGTAAAACAGTTATCTTCCTTACCGACAGATGGTAAATATAGAAAGAATGCTTGGTGTCCAAAAGACTAAATTGCCATTTGATTAATTACAATTTTTACACCAAAAGAGAATTAACCATCCGTTGGTAATTTTGTTATCTTCCTTACCGACAGATGGTAACCCTAAAACTAACTCCTATACAAATAGATTACCATCAATCTTTAAAAATAAATATAAATACGAAATTTTTAACCACTGCAAAAATAATAGTTTTCTACTTTATCGATTGTTGGCAATTTGGAAAAACCCTTTAAAATCTTACGAAAAAGAAAGAAAAATGAGGTGATTACATTACCGATAACATAAACATGATTGTGATATGAAATACAGGAAACGCCACTTCTTCGTGATCGAAGTGGTGCAATCATGGTCCATTGATTTGTTTCCGGATCATAGACTTCAGCCGTATTCATACATTCCTGACCATTGAAACCACCAGTAATGTAAATTTTATCTGCGTAAACAGAAAAAGGAACATCGATTAAAAAAGCTTAAAAATTATGACCATCGGTCGGTCTAGTAGGTATTTCTCTTACCAACCAAAGATAACACTTAAAAATGGTAAGCAGTGAAATAAAGTAAAAAAAACTCTATTAAAAAGCTTATTAATATTATGACCATCGGTCGGTAAAGTAGATATTTCTATTACCAACCAACGATAACAATTTTAAAAAATCGTAAACAGTAAAATAAATGTAAAAAAAACCATTTAAAGTCGTAGCACTAGCATCTGATCGTTGATAATACATCGGTGCAATATACGACCACTGATTTCTCTTGTAATTATAACGTTCTGCAGAATTTTGACGATTATAACCATCGTATCCTCCCATTGCGTAAATTACATCCTTTAAAACAGCAACACTTACATAACATCTGCCAAAAAAATTGCGAAAATAATCTTTAAATTCTAGTAATGAAAAATGGTCGGTAAACTAGAAACCGTCACTCTTGTAATTTTTCAATAATTTAAATAGAAAAAATATAACCTTCTTGCGTTCATTGGAGCAACTTCACGCCAAACTTTAGTCACTGCATTAAAACAACGACAACTGTTAAAATAATCAATTCCATCGAAACCACCAATCACGTAAATATTAAAGCCAACGACTGCAGTTCCATGATAGGCGCGTGGACCAGTTGGATCGACTTGATCTACCTAAGAAAAATTAGTATAGAAACAAAACAGTCGATAAAAAAAGTGATATCACTAGTTTACCTACTGATGGTAACCATACCACCGGCCGGTAAAGTAGAACTCTTTTTTTTTTGTATAAGAAGCACTAAATAGACCGAATGATCAATTGAATGAAATTCCTCTACTGCAGCTACTGCTTAATTAGTTACCATCAGTCGGTACTGATGGTAACTAACCATCAGTCGATAAAGTAGATACTCTACCTGAACCCAACGATCAGCTCGCGTATCGTATGTTTCTATGTAATTCGTAGGACTACCACCGCTCCAACCACCAATTGCAAATAAAATTTCATGTGGCACACGTGGTCTTGCAATTTCAGGCGTTGGAACTTCACCATCTCTTTGTGCAATCATTTCCAAATCGTAGAGAAATTTTAATGTCTCAATAATAATTGGCCGACATGCCTCATTACCAGCAACATAAGGATGATCCTTGACATTTTCGAGAAAAAATTGTGTATCAAGTAGACCCAAACGTATATTTTTCATTAAATCAACAATATAACCTTTTCTCTCAATTGGATCGTAATCAATCCAACGTAATACTAATTCCCAAACAATGTCTTCATTTTTCACATTAAGTTCGTCAGCGCCAACTAATGTCCTTAATTCCTCAATTGGTAATGCCAATACTTCTAAACTCTTTTGTGCAATCTATTTTTTTAAACAAAGATATTAAATGTAGATAAAAATAAATTTAAGTTACCATCAGTTGGTAAAGTAGATAATTTTTTACCGACCGTCGGTAACAGTTGCCACCATCAACGAAAATCGTTTTAGTTCCATAAGAAATAAATTTATGAAGAATTAGAGTAAAATTATCGTCAGTCGGTAATATAGGTATCTTCTTTACCGACTGATGGTAATTTAAAAATTATTTTTTAATTACTTGTACAAAGTTTCTCATAACATAACGATATGTGTCGGCCTCTAGTCCACGACAAAAATGCTCCCTAGCAAATCGCAATATTCCAATACAATTTGCAGGTACCAAATTTTCCGTAAGATAATTACAGCATAAATCCAAAACACCAATAATATTTAAATAGTCAGCGGTAATTAATATTTGACAGACATTATCATTATTAATATCCAATGTACGTAGATAGGCGTATTCAAGAAGAAGATTCATTGTGTAACTGCTGACGCCAGGTAGAAGGACATCAGTCTGCTCGTGAGAGTGAAGAGTCGTTGTAAATAGTGCCCTATAATTTTTCGTTATTTTGATGCATATAAACCAAAAAGAAAAATTTTCTTTTCTTTCAATTGTTATAAATAAAAAAATAATTATAAAATATTTCATAAAAAGTAAAATATATTTTTGCACCATCAATCGGAAAATTAGATATTTACTTTACCGACTGATGGTAATGTGCGAAAATTACTTTGGAAAATAATTATGAAAGTATTTATATTCAATAAAAAATAGAGTTTTTTACCAGCAATCGAAAAAGTATATTTTTTCTTTATCGACTGATGGCAATTTCCAGAAATAATTTTCTATTTGCATGCAATTAATTTCTGAGGGTTAACAAACTTTTTTTAAATAGAAAAATAATGATTAAAGTGTTTATATTGTATAGTTTTTACCATCAATCGAAACAATAGGTATTTTCTTTATCGACAGATGGTAATTCATGGAACTTGTATTTGCAGTCGATTAATTTCTGACGGTTGAAAAACTATTTTTTACTTGGAAAATGATGATTAAAGTATTTATTTTTAACAAAACGTAAAGTATGTTAATTAATTTTACCATTAATCGAAATAGTAGATATTTACTTTATCGACTAATGGCAATTTACGGAAAGCTTGGTGGCCAAAAGGCTAAATTGCCATTTCGCTAAACCACAAACAGAAAAACTGTTTTACCGACTGAGTGTTCCGAACCTAACCTCTTACTGTGTAAAATTGTAATTTAGTGAAATGGAAATTTAGCATTTTGGCCACCAAGCGAAATATACTTTCTATATTCTATTCTCTATCAATGGTTTAGCATTTAGTTCACAAAGTTTGAGTTGCGCTGGAGAAGCGGTAAAAATTTGAAAGACCTTTCTACAATGCAAAAGGTAAAGCAAGGCATGAGTAGCAGTGAGACATCTTTTAAAGGTTTTTCTACAATAGAATGTAAAAATTGAAGCTATAAGTGCACACAAGCAGTGAAGAAAGAAGGAAAAAGAAAGAGAAGAAAAAAGTAAGAAAAAGATAGTGATGAAATACGTTCTAAAGGTCTTTCTACAATAAAAAGCGAAACATGAAGAAAGGAGAGAGAAAGTAATAAAACTCGTTCTAAAGGTCTTTCTACAATAAAAAGTAAAAAGCGAAGCATGAAGAAAGAAAGTAATGAAACACGTTCTAAAGGTCTTTCTACAATAAAAAGTAAAAAGCAAGGCATGAAGAAAGGAGAAAGAAGGAGAAAGAGAGTGAGAGAGGTAGCAATGAGCAAAATTTTAAAGGTCTTTCTACAATGCAAATAAAAAAAAAATTATTTCCTAACCAAGAGATTGGTGGACAGTTTGTAAAAAAATACGTTAAATATTTACCTAAAATAGGTACTGCAGGCTGATAAAATTGCTCTGTGAATATGAAAGACTCCACCATCTTCAAGTCGAATGACAGCATCGCAAAGAAGTTTATTTTGTCTTAAATCATAAAGTGATTGCATTGCTTGGGTACTCATGCAGCGCCCTCCATTTTCAATCACCAAACGTTGTGTATTAATGGCGGAATTTTCATCATTTGCACTGTCACTCGATGAATCAACTTCCATAGCAGGAGCCACGGAATTATCACTCCCCAGGTTCCCAAGATGTGCGGCCCTCGCCACGGTTATGGTACGTCGACTCCAGTTTCTTCAATTAATCTAAAAAAATTATTTTCTTAATTTTTATTTCATTACAAATTTCATTTTTTTTTTTTGTTAATTATTTTACTAAGAATTTGATTCTTTATTATAATTTTAGTAGTTTAGTCCTTTCTTTCGTTCTTAGGTTAGAACCTCTTTTTCATAATCGAGTTTCCTATCTATGTTAAAGTGTATAGTTTCTGGACAAATAATTTGATATGCGATAGAAAAGAATGGAGGATACTACTATCCTTTTTCTTCTCATTCGTACTTTTTTGCAATTTAAGGCAAGTGTACAATAAATTTACAAAAATCGTTCGTGAACGTAAATTTAGAAAAGAAATTTTATTTACAATTATGTATAATAAAAACAGTTTACAAAAGAAAAAGAAAGTTATTAATTTAATTAAAAATAAAAATTAAATTCGAAATAAAAAGAAAAAAATTTAAATTAAAACAGGCTTTTAAAGAAAAATTTACAAAATAACAAACCTTGTCACAATTTTTGAAGAAATTTTATCAAAATTTCTTTGGTTTTTGTTCTTTTTCTTGAACGAAAAGAAAATTCTTTTTCACTCGAACCTCAAGTTTTCGAAGGTAAACAAAAAAATTCCAAAAATAGAATTTTCTTGTATTGTTTATACAAAATTGTTTTCTTCTTTTAATAAAATTCAAAATACGTTGTAACTATTGAATTTGGTTTCTTTTTTTTGGTGAAAATTTTGAAATTTATAAAAAATTGTTATTGTTGATGGTAAAAAAAATTAACTTCCAGACAATGACACTGATCTTAGATGTCTGCCATTTTATTTTAAAAACGTTAAACTGTCATAAAAATGCGAGTAACATTTGTTTTTTTTCTCTCTCTCTCTGTCTCTGTATTTTTTTAAACCAAATTCGCAATTTTTATATTTATTTCAATAAAAAATCGCGTTATTCACTAAAATTTTTTGCTTTAGAAAAAAAATTGGTATTCACAAGAATTCCTAGTCGACGAAAAAAAAATAACTCAAAAACAACTAGAAATGTCATTAAAAAAATCAAAGATGGATCCTCACTTATTTTTCGATAAATCGATTTTCTCGATAGAAAAGGCGGGAATTTTTTTTTTAATTTTCCGGAGAAAATTTTTTTAGAAAAGTATTTTAAGAAATATTTACTTTAAATTGTAAAAATAGAAATATTTATATTTTTACAATTTAAAGTAAATATTTTTTAATGTAAAAAAATATTGATAGTTTACAAAATAAATTAAAAAAACAATTTAAATAAATTCATAAACATTAATTAAATGTTAGAGAAATAAATTTAATTTAAAAATTAAAAATAAGTTTAAAAATAATAAATAAATAAAAATATGTTCAAAAATATTAATTAATTAAAAATTAGTTCAAAAATAATAATTAATTAAAAATAACTAAATAAGTAAAGCAAAAAATGAGTAAAAATTTTTTTTTTTCACTAAATATTATTTAATATTTATTTAATATTATTTAATATAATTAATAAAAAAATAAATATATTAATTAATATAAAAATATATTTATTATTTAATTTAGTTCATTAATTTTTTCTTTCAACAATTTTCTTTTATTTCAAAAAATTGTTTTAGAATTGAAAAATTATTTTCTTTTTCCAAAATAATATTATAAATATGTTATATATTTTAAAATGTATGTTTGAAAACAAAAATAAGAAATAAAATATTAAATAATTAAAAATAAGTGGGTAAAGTACAAAAAATCGACTATTTTTCATCGAATGCTTAACGAATTTATGAAATTTACGAAAGGGAATAGCGCAGGCGTCGGAGTGGGGGCAAAGTGAGTGAGAGAGAAGAACCGAAATATCTCTCTCACTCTCATTGCCCCACTTCGACGTCTGCGCTGTTTCCTTTCTTCCTTAGTACTTCTCGTTTAAATTAACTTAATAAATAATTAATATTATTAATTATTATATTAATATTATTAATTATTATATTAATACATAATTATTATAAATAAATATTTATTATTTAATTAGTTATTTAGTCTTTTATTTAACTAAAAAATTTTTTTTCCATTAAAAAATTGTTTTAGCTAGAAAAAAATTTTTTCTTTTCTTAAAAATTGATAAAAATGAAATTAAAAATAGAAAACTAATTCTGAAAATCTGTTTTTCAATAAAAATGCCATTCCACGAAAATAAATATTACATCTATTTATTACGCACAATTAGTTTATAAATATAAAATAAATCGTCCTCCTCAAAACATTGTTTTGATTGACACGGAAATATTCCACATTAATGTAATTAATAAATATTTTCTTATCGTTATATATATGACCCCGCGGTTTGAACTGCAATAAGTTTTAAATTAAATTTTATGCATATATGTTTTGACCAATATTCACCAGAATTTGCATGTATATACAATATATATTTACATTGATAAACATTTGTATTTTATTTATTAACAATGTGTCAATGATAATATTCTTGGCAATAGTGTGTTAATGATTATTTTTTTTTCTCTTAGTTTTTTTTTTTAATCAAAACATTTCAGATAAAGCTTATAATATTTTGAGCTTTGACCTTTTTTGATGTTCAGCAAAACTACGAGATTCAACAGTTTTAGTCTCGTCGTTGTATTTTCAAGAAAGAGACATTTTAGAAATATTTTTCTTTTTATTATAAATAATTATTTAAGAAAAACGTTAGAAATATAAGAAATAAATATAAGAAAAAATATTTAATTTAGAAAAATAATTGTTTAATTGTTTATTTAAAAAAAAAGTTTATAAATAAAGAAATTAAATGCCGAAAAAATAACATAAACAGTATTGTCAGTGAGAGGAGAGTGGAAAATTATTTAAACAAATTATTTTAAAATGTGTTAAAATGTGAAAAAAAACAGTCGAGCAGGTATGTTAATAATTTTCATATTTCTTTTTGCAATTTTGTTAAGAATTTTTTTTGTTCGTTTCCATTTATTTATATTCATTTGTTTATAATAATTATTCATTTATTTATAATTATTTATTTTTATTTACTTACATTTATTCAATTAATTAATTTTTTTATTCAATTAATGTATACTATATAAATTTATTGTTTTTCCATTTATAGTTTATTTATGTTATTGACGTATTTATTTAACAATTTGTTTATTTAATTTATTAATAATTTTTCGCTTACAATTTATTTATGAATTTTTTACTGATTTGTTTATTTAATATTTATTAATATTTATTTGCTAACATTTATATTTATTTACAGCCGTTCATTTCATTTATTTATATTTATTTGTTTATAATAATTATTCATTTATTTATAATAATTTATTTTTATTTACTTACATTTATTCAATTAATTAATTTTTTTATTCAATTTATTGTTAATTTATTGTATTATTATTAATTTATTGTTTTTCTATTTATAGTTTATTTATATTATTTATGTATTTATTTATTAATTTGTTTATTTAATTTTACTTGCTTGCTTTATAAATTTATTTACTAATTTATTTATTTAATTTATTAATAGGTATTTGTTTGCTAACTTTTATTTACATTTATTTAATTCATTTGTATTTATTTATAGTCTATTATTTAGTTGAATTATTTTTACTTGCTTACATTTATTTATCATTTTTTTATTTAATTTATTTATAATTATTTACTTACATTTCTTTATAAATTTATTTACTCAAATTTTTTATACTTAATTATGAATATTTATTTGCTTAATAATAAATTAAATTAAAATAACTAAATAAAATAAAATTAAACTAATATAACAAATTAATTAATTAATAATAATTATTATTTTTTAACAAATTATTATTAATTTATTAATTTAAAATAATAATTAGGTTTTAAATTAACTTTATTCGTCGTTATTCTTATCTTTACAGAAAATAGAAGAGAGTGGAAATTTTCAACATAAACAATTAATAAATTGAAAGAAGAAAAACAGTTTTTAATTTTTTTTTTAACTTAAAAAAAAATAATTTAAATTAAAAACTAGAATAGAATTGGTACATCTTTCATGGAGTCCGTGCTTGTGATTGGTGCTTCGAGAGCTTATGAAATATCTCATTTGCTTTTTTGCAAGAAAAATTTAAAAATCACAACAATTTTTGTAACTGAAAGTAAACACGCAGAAAAACAATTTTGGTCATTTAATAATTCCGTTTGGTTAACGGCATTTGGTTAAACAAAAAATAGTAATAAATAATAAAACATGCCACGTAATCGTTTATTATTGTTGTTATTATTATTATTGTAAAAAAGAAAATTTTAGTTACGTAAATTTTAATATTAAAAATTAAAAATCAATGTCACTTGCGTCAGTCAAACAAAGTGTTTGATTCAATTTTTTTCTCTCTCTATTTTTTTTTTTTTTTTTGATGAAAATTATAATATTAACAAATTTTCTTCAATTGCTTCGATAAATGTTTTTCATGAATTTAGTAAATATTTGGTTAAATCAATTAAAACTTTTGTGGATTATTGAAGTTGGAAAAAGCTTTCTTTTTATTCAATCGAAATTTTTGTTTTTATTTTAAATATTTTTGACCATATTTTTGTTTTAAAAAATTCACTTTTCTTGAAATAAACAAAAGGAGAAAAAATGGCTCTCGATTTTCTGGCTGGATGCCTTGGAGGTAATTATTTAGTTAATTATTATTTAATAATTAATATTTATTAACTATTTATTAATCTGCTGCTGCTGCTATCGACCGTTATCGTCAGAAATCGTCAGAATTATTTATTTTGATTACTTGCAAGAAAATCGACACGAGATGCATGAGCGAACCTAACGTTTTGTTGACAAACTAAAATTCCCATTGGTAAGAAAAGGAGAGAATATTTCCATGTTCGTTCATCGAATAAAGCAGAGAGAGAGAGAGAGAGCGGATCTATAGAATTTATATTCTATGGAGATAGAGAGTGGCGGGATGATGGCGATAAGTTAGCAAAGGCAGAGGTTTAATAATTTAATTTAGTTTATTAATAATTAATAGTTCATAAATTTTAGTTTAATTTCATAATAAATAGACTGGCTATTAAAATTATGTTTCAGGTTGTGCAGGAATTTTAGTTGGATATCCACTCGACACTGTAAAAGTCCATATACAAACGCAAGATCACAATAATCCAAAATACAAAGGCACTTGGCATTGCTTTCGTTCACTTATGGCCAAGGATTCAGTAAATAAAATTTGTATACTTGTTTAATTTTTTTTTTTGCAATTTTTATCAAAATGCTTTTTATTTATTCAACTATTTAATATTGTTAATTACTTTTTATTTCTATTAATTTTATTTATTATCTTTGATTAAATTTGCCAAGAAAATCATTTGTACACTCAGATGCTTTAATACTGTCCTTCCGGTTTGACGGCGTTTTAAAAAGTCGTGACACATCTATAAAAATGTTGTTAGTTCGTGACGTATGAGTTAATGACAAAGCCAAAGTAGAATATCGTAACTCTTCTATCAAAATGTTGTTAGTTCGTGACGTATGAGTTGATGACATTTAAAAGGCCAAAGCAGAATGTCCAACGTTTGAAAGGGAGTAGATAAGAATGGAAAAAATATGATGTGCGAAGACTAGTTGTTTCAAAAGTGTAATGTATCATTGGACAAAGAATTTAAGATAATAGAATAAAAGTTGAAACGTGTGAATAAAAAAGATGATGAAAGGGACAGAGAAATTGAGAAAATTGGGGAGAATGCAGAGAATGTGGATAAAGTGGGAGTTAGAGTGGATAAAAGAAAAGGAAGACTTGTAGAGGAAAATGTATGAATTGAAAGAACGTTTAATGGAAAATGAAGAGAAGGTTAAGGGAAGTGAGAATGTGTCTATGCAGGTGAAAATGAAGAAATTATCGAGGCGAGTGGATGTCATGGAAAGAGATAAAAAAAAGAACGTTGTGATCTGGGCTATGAATATAAGTGCAATAGAGGGTAAACAAGAAGTAGAAAAAGTATTTGCGTTGGTAAGGGCAGTGTAAAGGCGCTTGCACACTTCCAAATTTTTAGACGAGCAGCGAATTTTCACGACCTTGAAATGCACATTACTAAATATGATTGGCTCTGACAAAAGTACATTTTCTCGCAGCTTTTTGTAGAGCCAATCATATTTAGTAATGTGAGTTTCAAGGCCATGAAAATTCGCTGCTCGCCCAAAATTTTGGAAGTGTGCAAGCGCTTTTAGTGTTAAAATGGTACAACCAATGAAAAAGCAGAATTCTGTTGGAATTATTGACACGAACTATAAAGAATATAGAAAGTAGGCAAAACGCGTCAAATTAGTGTCTTTCTTGAGAGAAGAGAAGTACCAAAATTATGGTTGGTGGAGTTGGGTATTGAGGAGGAGAAAAAGGTTGTGATGAGGCTGAAAACGAGGTTGGAAGGAAGTGTGATAAGAATTGATGAAAACAGAACGTGGAGAGAAAGAAGAATTATATGGCTGTTGAAAGAGAAAGCATGGAATGAATAAATAATGGAAGAGTGGTACGATTGGGTAAAGAATGTACTTAGATCAATTTTTATTAGGTTAGGGTATTTTCGGAAAGGTTAATAAAGAAGCGTATCTGCGTATAGGTCAAGTATTTTTTTACAAGTAGTTATAAGGCGGTTATGTATTTAGTTTCTTTGGTTTTATTAAACCATTGTATTTGGATCCTCGAACCTTGATTAATGCAGGGGGAGTAAATAAATTATCTACACTATTATTACTAACCAGTATAAGCAAAAATATAAAAATATCAGTAAAAGAAGTGGCAACATAACTATTTTTCCAGATACATGGACTGTATAGAGGAATGTCCTCGCCAATGGCGGGCGTTGCGGCTGTGAATGCAATTGTTTTTGGCGTCTATGGAACAACTCATAGAACATTTGCCGAATCGGAACATCTGGGCATTTACTTTTTAGCTGGTGCTTCAGCTGGAATGGCACAGACTCCAGTTTGTAGTCCCATTGAATTGGCAAAGACTCGTTTACAATTGCAAAATTCTGACAATCGTTCAGGACCACTGAAGTGTCTCAAAGATATTTACAAACGTGAGGGTTCGAGGGGACTTTTTAATGGACTGGGAATTACACTCGTTCGTGAGATTCCTAGCTATGGGATTTATTTTCTCACATACGAAGCGCTGACGAGGTAAGAAGTACTAAACTGGCAGTAGTATAATCTACCCTTTTGGACCAAATATTCCAAATTACAATGACCAATCCCATGGAACGTAAACCCAAAATTCCAAAAAAAATTTACGAACCCAATTTTCATTTAAGATCGTCATCCCCAAATGGAATCTCAACATGGTACATGCTACTGGCCGGTGGATTGGCCGGTACAGCTTCTTGGGTATTCACCTATCCAGTGGACGTGGTAAAGTCCAGAATTCAAGCAGACACAGTTGGCAAGTACAACGGTGCATTGGATTGTTTAGAAAAGTCCATTAAATCAGAAGGTGTCACATCACTGTTTCGCGGTTTAAATTCAACAATTATTCGTGCATTCCCCACAAATGCGGTGACATTTACAATTGTCACGTGGACATTAAAATTATTTAGTAAGGAACCAAAAGTTGACGAAATCACCAATAAAAATTGCGTCGTGTCATCTTCAACACCTGTTAAGGAGACATTTATCAAGGAATGGAATTCAATTTTAAATAATATTGCGATGCATCAATTGGACATATCAAGATCATATTACACATCAATGTCATCGTCATCATCCATTTATTTCAGGACAATTGGAAAGGAGTTTGTTAATCAGGATTGTCAGGAGGAGTAATTTAATTTTTGTTATAATTCGGCCTAAGGGGCATGATAACTCCAAAACCAACGGAGAATATACTTGAGAACTTAGTTTGCGAACGTGCTGCATGAGAGAGAGAAGGATATAAATATATCTCTATCCTTTTCTATCTCATGCGTCACGTTCGGGACTTAAGGGGTATGACACAATGAATAACATTACCGCAGAATAAGTTCGCGAACATTAACTATGAGATAGAAAAGGACAAATATATATCTGTCCTTTTCTATCTCATAGTTAATGTTCGCGAACTTATTCTGCGTCGGCCTTTATGTTGGGTTAAAGATTGTGGACTTATAATTTTTTTTCATTGACACGTATATAATGAACTGTCAAAAAAAAAATGCGCGCGCAATAATTTTCAGTTTTTACCCAATTGCGTCTCAATTTTCCACTTTCCCCTCACTATGAAGACAAACAAATAACAATGAAGAAAATACTACATATTTTGTTTTTTAATGCATTAATTGTTATGCACTTTGAAGAAAAGTACTAAACTAAACATAGATATTTATAATAGAAATTTAAAGCTTATGTTTATAAAAGTTGAAAGTTTTAAAGGCCAACGCACAATAGTTTCGCGAAAGTCGTTCGAGAACGAAAAGCATAAACTAGAAAAGGAGAGAAAAATATATTTGTCCCTTTCTGTCTTATGCATCTCGTTCGCGAAGCCATTATGCGTTGGCCTTAAGAAAAAAAGATTTTCTAATGATTCTATCATGGCGACAGCAATGTATGAGACAGAAAAGAATGGAGACCCCAGTATAGCACATAATATTACAGCAATATTGAGAACACTGCCTTAACATTACCAATATTGCCTCAATGTTGCTGGAATGTTCCCAACATTACGTGCTACTGGGGGATATCTCATATCCTTTTCTGTCTTATTCAATTCTTATTAACGAAAATCGAATAATTTTTAAATTAATTAATAATTATTAGGTATAATAATTAATAAATATTATTATAAATAAAAATTTGACGTTAACGATCACTCTGATTCAAAATTTTTTATCGTTAACCTCAAATTTTTATTTATAATTAAGACTACCGAGTGATAAAGTCAGAAAATTAAATTAATAAATTGTAATTTTTAACATAAAAACAATTGATGTAATATGTAAACAATTCATCGAATAATTATTAATTATTTTAAAGTAATTAAAAAATTAATATTATAATGTCACGAGTAATGTTAATTTTGATTTAAATAATAATAATAATAATAATAATAATAATAACAATATTAATAGTTATAATAATAATGTCAGAAAAGTTATAAAAATGATAAAAATAATAAATAATAATAATAATAATAATAATAATAATAATAATAATAATAAATAATATATAATAATAATAATAATAGTAAATAAAAATATTACAATAATGGCGATGAAATATGTTAAAAAGAAATAAAATTAATTAACAATAATAAGACTACTATTGAATGATTAATTACCTACTTTATTCTTTTTTTATTTGAAAATTTGCACAAAAAATCTGCTAATAGTTAAAATAAAAAAATAATTAACTCAAAAATTTTAATAAAATTTTTTGAAACAATTGAAAATTTCAAAAAAATTTTAAAAATCTTTCGCAAAAATTCAATTATTTTTAAAACTATAATAAAATTTTTCACAGGAATTCAATTATATAAAAAAAATGTAATAAAATTCGATGCCAAGAATTCAATTATTTATTCTAATGCAATTTTAATAACTTTAATAAGGTTCTCGAAAAAATTAAATATGTATTCTTAAAAATTGTAATAGAATTCTTTAAAATAATTAATTTATTACCAAAAAATAATTTGAATACAATTCAAAAATAAAATTTTTCATTACAATAATTCAAAAACACTATTGTTTTAAGAAATTAAAACAAAATTTTTTGAAAAAATTTAATTAATTTCAAAAAAAATTAAAAAATTAGTTTGTTTTTAATAAATTCAAAGAAGTCAAACAAATTTAATTATATTCGAAAAATTTGATAAAATTCTTTAAAAGAATTTAATATTTTTTAACAATATTTTTAAATAACTTTGATAATAAAATTATTAATTACAAATTTTTAACAAAATCGATTATTTAAAATAAATTCTAAAAACAATTCTTTAAAACAATTCAAATATCATTACAAAAGTTTTAAGGAAATGTTTTTGGGAATTTAATTATTTTTAAGAATTTTGATAAAATTCTTATTCAATTTCAATAATCAATTATTTTATTAATTATTTATTTTTGTATTTATTTTTCTTTATTTATTTCCAAATGAATTCTTGTGGAACTTTTTAATAAAAATTGATTTGAAAATAAATTAAAGTTACAAGTTTTAGATTATAATTGAATATTAAAAATGCGTTATAATATAAATTTTTAGAAATAGAATTATAAAAAATTTTAATTAAATTTTTTTGAATAATAGTAAAATTCTCGTTAAAATTGAAAATAGGTATTTATTTAAATTTCGAATTAATTAGAAATTTTATCAAATTTAATTGAAATAGATTTTATATTTAAAAAAAAATTATTTTTTTTAATTTTAAGAATTATTTTTTAAAAATAATTGAATTTTTGAAGAATTCTAACTAAAAATTTGAAAAATAAAAAAAAATTTAATTTTTCTATAGCTACTTTTTTACCACGTTTTTCAGTCCTAGAGATATTTTTTATTTTTTTTTTTATTTAAAATTTGTTTATAATTATTTATTTATTATTAATCATATAGTAAAATAGAAATTTTCTGTCGTTTTTTAACCTTTTTTTTAATTATTTTTTTATTGTTAGAAAAAAAATTAAAAATCTCGAAAAGGGTTCCTGAGAACCCCCAAAAAATATTTCTAACTACGTACCTGTATATGTAGAGTAAAAATTAAATAATTTCATTATTATGTAAGTTTAATTATTTGATTCAATAATTTTACTGAAATTTTACCCTTTTTTCGTAAAAAATACGTTTTTTAATATAATTTTGTTAATTAAATAATTTTTTTATTTATTCTATAAAAGTAAATAAATGAAATTTTCTATTTTTGGCAATAAATCTGCAGTTTTTTTCTTTTATTAATTTAATATCGAATTTATATCGTAATTTCGGTTAATAATCTTTTGCCGGCAGAAAAATTGTTTAAAGAGTAGAAAAAAGGAACAAAATAAAAAGAGAAGAGAGGAAAATTGCGGGTAAAAATATATTGTAAACACACGTGGAAAATTTAAATATTCCCGCGCAAAAACTCAAATAGATGATACAAGTGTGAGAGCCCCTTGTCTCACTTGCACACACATTGTCACTATTTTCTCTGCAGTGAAAAATGGCCGGCGTCAACGACTGGTTCAGCATCGGTAGTACGGTGGCATGTAAAACGTGTTACAATAAGGATATCGAAGGCGAAGTGCTTGCATTCGATCCACAAACAAAAATGCTCATTCTAAGTATCCTTTTTAATGAAAAAATTTTTCGTCAATTAACATTTTCATGCATACACACCCATGTCCTTCAATCAACACTTTCCCATCACTTCATTCATCATCATTTTCAAAATGTAAATAACTCATTTATAAACTTTCATTTCAATCAAATTAAACAAAACATTCATTAATTCCCCCATTATTTTATATTCAGTATTTCGCAATAATGAACTTGAATTTTTTTTTCACTTCCTTTGAAATGATTGTGAATTTTATCGCTGTGAGTAAAAGATTTTTGTCAGGTTAAGTTTCGTCATCCGTAATATAATAGTTGTGTTAAAAGGGAATCATTTTCGTTCATCACTCAACGCTTTCCCTTTTAATAGGGGAAAATTTTCCTAAACATTCTCCATTCAATTTTCTATTGTTATTTTTATCTTTTGATTTCTCGTCAATAATTTTAGCTGAGAATTTGAGGGTTTTTTTTGGAGGTTAGGTGTGTCAATGTTGTTCTTGTCAGTTGTGTATAAATATATATTCTTTATTGAATTCTTATTATATTGTCTTTTGTTTCATATTGTTCTTCATTTTATTTTTTTGTTCGAATTTTATTGTTCGGCTTTTTGGAATTTTTCATTTGTTGATTTTTTTCAATCATTTCGTTTTCTCATTGTTTCGAAGTGAAATATTTTTAGAATGAGTAAGTAACTTATTGGAAAAATAAAAGTTCAGTGACTGATGGATTTTTTTTGCCTTTCGTTCTTTTATAATTCGATGGTTTTTTGACCTCTGGCAATAAAATTTATATTTATTTTTTTTTAATTGAATTTTTGACTGCTTATGATTCCGATATGATTATAAAAAAACAAAAAAGAATTTCTATTGATAGATTTTCATTCCGATATGATTTTAAAAAAATTAATTTCTGTTGATAGATTTTAATTCCGATATGATTCTAAAAAATAATTTTTATAAAATTCATTGCGAAATTCAATTATTTTCATGAATAACATTATTCATCGGTAGAATTCAATTATTTAAAAATTAATAAAATTCTTTCCACAAATTCAATTATATTCAAAAATTAAAAAAAATTCTGGTAACCAAAATTCTTGTAACTATTTCAATTATCTTTATAAATATCAAAATTCTTCACTGAAATTCAATTATATTCAGGAATTTTATTAAAATTCATTGCAAAAATCAAAAATTATTTTCATAAATAACAATAGTCATCAGAAGAATTCAATTATTTTAAAAATTAATAAAATTCTTCGTAGAAATTAAATTATTTAAAATAAATCTCAAAAAAAAAATTGTCAAAATTTCAATTATCTTTATAAATAAATAGCAAAATTTGTCAACAAAATTCAATTATATTCAGGAATTTTAATAAAATTCATTGCAAAATTCAAATATTTTTATAAATAACAATATTCATCAAAAGAATTGAATTATTTTAAAAATTAATAAAATTCTTCCCACAAATTCAATTATTTTCAAAAATTAAAAACAAAAATCTCCTTACTATTTCAATTATTTTTATAAATATTTATCAAAAGTCTTCGCCAAAATTCAATTATATTCAAGAATTCTAATAAAATTTTTTCGAAAAAAATCAATTGTTTTTAAACTTTTATAAAATTCTTTGCAAGAATTCAATTATTTTCATAAATAAGAAGACTCATTGCAGAATTTCAATTATTTTTAATGCAGTTTTATTCGAATTCCACAAAAAAAATAATTATTCTCAAAAATGTTATTAAAATTCGTAGGAAGAATTCATTTATTTTAAAAATTAATAACATTCCTCGCTGAAATTCAATTATTTAAAAAAAATTGTCATCAACATTTCAATTATCTTTATAATTAAATAGCAAAATTCTTCCACAAAATTCAATTTCTTTAGGAATTTTAATAAAAATTCATTTCAAATTCAATTATTTTCGTAAATAATAGTATTCATCACAAGAATTAAATTATTTTTAAAAATTTTAATAAAATTCAAGGCAAAATTTCAATTATTTAAAAAATTCTCTTTATTTAATGATTTTCAATATTCTACTATTTTAATAAAATTTCCAAAAAAAAAAAATTCAATTGTTTAAAAACAATTTTTTCAAAATTCTTCACGAATATTCAATTATTTCCCAAAAAAGAAGATTTTTACAGGAATTCAATTATTAAAAATAGAATTTGCATAAATTTTTTCGAAAAAAATCAATTGTTTTGAAACTTTTTTTTTTACAAAATTCTTCGCAATAATTTAATTATTTTCATAAATAAGAACTCTCATTGCATAATTTCATTTATTTTTAATGCAGTTTTAATCAAATTCCTCAAAAAAATAATTATTCTTAAAATTCGTAGAAAGAATTCAATTATTTACAAAAATTTTAATAAAATTCCTGGCAAATTTTCAATTATTTTAAAAAAATTTTCTTCAATGATTTTCAATATTTTACTATTTTAATAAAATTTCCAAAAAGAATTCAATTTATTAAACAAAACTTTTTATAAAATTTTACACAAAAATTAAATTATTTAAAAAAAAAATGTCACATTTTATCGAAATTCCTCGAAAAATGTAATTATTCTTTAAAAATTTATTAAAATTCGTCAAAAGAATTCAATTATTTGTTAAAAATTTTACTCAAACATTTAATTATTTTCATAGGTAATAAAAATTTTACAGTAATTCAATTATTTACAAATGTTTTTAAAAATTTCTTTGTAATATTTCAATTATTTTCATAAATAATAAACATTTTACATGAATTCAATTATTCACCAATTTTTTTTTTATAAATTTCTTCGCAATAATTCAATTATTTTCATAAATAATAAAATATTTATCAAGGATTCAATTACTTTCATAAATAATAAAACTCATCGTGAAATTTCAATTATTTTTAATTCAATTTTAATTGAATTCCTCGAAAAATGTAATTATTCTTAAAAATTTTATTAAAATTCGTCGAAAGAATTCAATTATTTTAAAAATATGTTGATAAAATTAAGAATTCAATTTTAATTCTATTATTCAATAAATTATCTATGTTTGTATTTAAATAATTGAATTCTCGTGATTTTTCTAATAAAAATTGATTTAAAAATTAATTGCAGATAAAGTTTCAGATAATAATTGAATTTTGGAGAAGTTACTAATAATTACAATTTTTCAAAATAATTGAATGTGTAACTTAAGTTCTAAATCTGAATTTTTCATACATTTAATTAAAAATTCTATGAAACTAATTTTTTTCAAAAACCTTATTCGAAATATTTTTAAATTATTTCAAGTTTTTATTTTCTAATGTAATATTTAATTGAAGAATTTACCGAATAATCGAAAATTTCACGTAAAATTAAATTGCAAACAAATGGAATTTAAAAATTCTCAAAAAATAACTTTTTCGGAAATATTAAAAATAATTGATATAAAGACAAATTTTATTTAAAAATTATAGAAAATAAAAATTGAATTGAAATGATGAAAATAATTTATTTTTAAGAAGTTACTGTAAGAATATTCTTTTAATATAAAAAATAATTATTTTATCACTCGAAACGTTTATAATAATATTCTTATAAGTTGTTAAATTTCAAATAGGTTTGAATTTACTTATTTATTTATTAAAATAAATCCTAGTCTCATATTTAAAATTTTTGAAAATCTTAATTTATATGGAAAAATAATAATTAAATATTTATTTAAAAATGAAGTTATAGATGTTTTCGAATAATTTTCCAATTACAGAAATTCGTAAATAAATGTAATAGAACATTTTTTTTGAGTATTTAATAATTTTTAGAGTGAATAAAAAAAAAGATGGACAAAAAAGTTTCCCATTCAGAAGCCTAATTGCAAAGGAATTTATTTTCGTAAATTTAATTTTTAAACTCTTAAAGGGTTTTACCTTAAATTGCCTGAAATTGAAAAAAAAGAAATTTTAAACTTCGTTGGAAGGAAATCCTACTAATTTGTTTTTTTTTACAAAAGAAAATGATAGAAAGTCGAATATTTTATAACTCATTTAATTTGTATTCTCCTGGTTTATAAATATATAAAATTTTTATTTTTTTTCTTAATGTTATAATTTTAAATGTTAAAAAATTTTTAATAATTTGAAATGTTAAAAAATATAATTTCCTTAATTGAATGAAAACTTACAGAATGCCCATCGTCGAGTAATCGGGCATCGTTAAATGATGTGCATATAGTAAATTTATCGAAAGTGTCGGACGTACATGTTAAACGTGAAGTAAGTCCGACAATGAGTGAACCACCACAAAGTTTGAATTTAAATAGGCTAAATACACGTGTACGTAATCAGATTGAGGAGAAAAAAAGGATGGTCAAGGCTCTGCAGGCCGGAGTATCACCCGAGGGCCAAAGGCTTTTTATTGCAATTTCAAAAACCATCAACGATATTGTTTGGAAGGGACAGAATATTGTCGTTTTTAATACCGTCACCATTTATCCGCCATATAAAGTCGACAATGTTTACAGTAAAGTCGATGATCAAGCCTATATTCACGTTAAAAAAGTTGTAAGTATTTTTTACCCCCTTTTTTCTTCAATTTCAAAAAAATTCAAAATTAAAATTTAAAAAAAAAAATTAAAATTTATTTAATTAAAAATTTTTATTTTATCTTAAAAGCATTGATTTCTTTCAATATCAACATTTTCTTCGAAATTTTACCATAATTTTTCCTTAGGTCGAGAAACATATGAAGGACATGGCAGCGGTGGATGTTCCACAACCGGAACAACAGCAACAACAACAACAGGAACAGGCGCAAAAAGGAGGCAACGCCCAATAAGAAAAAAAAAACAAAACAATGTTGTTACGCTGAAAAAGTTGGAGTTTAATGGAAAAAGGAAAACACACGCTGGCAAACTTTTTCAGCGAATTCGAAATCTTGTCAAAACAAGACAACAAAATTTTTATTAACTTTAGCGCGAGAAGAAAAACAGATTTATAAATGCGAAAATAATCCAAGCCTAAAAAAAAGGGGGGAAAAAAAGAGAAAGTGTGTGAGTGAGTGAAGAAAATAATTTGATCTCAAAAATCGGGACTTTAAAAAAAATTCGAATGAATTGTCAATCGGGAAATTCGATACAAAAAAAAGTTCGTTCTCTAAAAAAAAAGAAAATTAATTCTCCAATCAATTGTATTTACAAAAGAAATTTTACAAAGAAAAAAAATTAATTTTAGACAAAAGATTAAATTTCAAAAAGATAAAAAGTTATCAAAATTGTAAAAAATCATCAAATGAAGACAAAAAGAGAAACGAATCTAATTTCGCAATGGGGAGGGATAAAGAGAGAATTAGACAAATCTGAAAGCGCTTGACTGCCAGCAAAGAATTAAAAAAAAAATTAGCGAAAATGCTTTTTTGCAGATAGGAAAAAAAGAAAGAAAAAAAACCACTGAATTGTTTTTTTTGCCTCTATTTTCAGTGGTTTTACGTCACAGTTTTTTTTTGTGTGGAAACAACAAAGTTTCCACTAGGTTTTTTTTTCTTTTTTTTTTTTAATTTTATTGTTACGAGGTGAAAAGAAAAAAAAATAAGACAAAGATTCGTGAGTTCGGGGGGATGAAAAAAAGGCCAATCCGTATGAAACGGTTTTTAAAGAAATTTTGATTTTTATTAAATTTTGCAAATCTCTGTCTATTTGTAAAGACTGAAAATTTATTTTTTGAAAAGAGGACTAAAACTCTCGCTTTGCCTTTCTTTTACTTGCGAGAATAAATTAAAAAGTCCCGATTAATTTTTTTTTTAAAGCAAGACTCAAAATTCCTCTTTTTTTATTTATGTTCTATTTTTTTAAAAGGGGAATTTCTCATTGTGTTCGTTGAATTTTTTTTTAATGTAAAATAGAAAGAAAAAACCGTGTCCGCGAATCAATTTTGTCTTTTTTTTTTTTATAAATCACGTTTTCGAAATTTGCAAAAATACACTTGGAGTTTATTAAGAAGAAAAAATTAAAGAAACCCTCGTGATACGTGGCGATTTCACGAATATTAAAATAATTGAAAGGGGGATGAGAAAAAAAAATTGTCAAGAAAATTAAAACGTGAAAAAAATAAAATAACTAAAGAACAAATTTTTTAATTCGAGAGAAAACGTTTTGAGTCGCCGGACAATTTTTCTTTTTCTTTTAAACAAAAAAAAAAAAAAAACAAAAAAAAAAATAGGTAAAGGAATGTTAAGCAAAATAAAAGAAAATTGTGTACCGAGATTTTTTTTTCTTGATGATGATGAGAAGTGAAGTCGCTTCGTGTTTATCACGAGAGACTTATGAAAAAGAAAAAAGAGAGAAAGAGCGTGAGAGTGAAAGAAAGAAAGAAATAGATAGATAGAAAAAAAAGAAAAAGAGAGAGAGCGAGAGAGAGAAAGAGTGGGAGAAAAAGTTAAAAAAAAAAGTACATCAAAAGACAGAATAAATGTAATATAAATTCCATAATCGTTACAACGATTTTTGTTTTTATTTTAATATAACATTTTTAATTTCTTTTTATCTATTTTACAGGTTCAAAATATTTAATGAAGAGAATTTGGAGAGATTTTAAAAAAAAGTGATTTTTGATTTCGTTTTGATTTGAAGGAAGACTAGAAATGAATTTTCATTTTGATATGATTTTGAACAGAATTTTGGACAGAAATTTTGATTCCAATATGATTTCAAAGAAGAGTGGAAGTAAAGTTTAATTCCAATGGGAGTAAAAATAAAATCACTGGAAATTTATTTTGATTCTGATACGATTTTAAAAAATACTGGAAATTAAATTTTAATTTCGATACGATTCACGACAAAATCACAAGAAATTGATTTCGATTCCAATACGATTCTCAAGAAAAAAAAAGAAGAATTTCTATTGATGGATTTTTCTCACTTGATTTTTGACTGTTTATGATTCCGATATGATACTAAAAAAAGAAATTTCTATTGATAGATTTTTCTCACTTAATTTTTGACTGTTTACGATTCCTATATGATTCTAAAAAATAGAATAATTTCTATTGATAGATTTTAATTCCGATATGATTCCCAAGAAAAAAAACAAAGAAGAATTTCTATTGATGGATTTTTCTCACTTGATTTTTGACTGTTTATGATTCCGATATGATACTAAAAAAAGAAATTTCTATTGATAGATTTTTCTCACTTGATTTTTGACTGTTTACGATTCCGATATGATTCTAAAAAATATAAGAATTTCTAATGATAGATTTTAATTCCGATATGATTAAAAAAAAACAATAAGTAATTTTAATTTAGATATGATTAAAAAGAACTAAAAAGTAATTTCAATTTGGATATGATTTAAAGGACAAAAAAGTAATCAATAACTTTTAATAGACTTTTTTATATTTATTTTTTTCTTCTATATAACAATAATTTAAAATTTTATAATATTGTATTTTACATTGCATTTTTAATTACAAGATAAATATGAAAAATAATTAGAGAATTAATATAGATAATTTATACTTATTTAAATTAACCATTTAGTTAAAGAAATTGAATTTTTTTTTGTCAAAAAGTAATCAAGTAAATAGTAAAATAATCATTAATTAAAATATTTCTCAATTAGCGTTAATTCTGAGTTAATTAATCGAATAATTATTGAAATTGACTATTCATTGAATAATTTAATAATTATAATAACTAATTATCGTTATTAAATTATTTTAATTCAATTTTTTTAGTTATAATTTTTATTTTTTAAATTTAATTTCTTTAATTATAATTTAAATTTAATTTTTATTAAATTATTATCAAATTATTTTATTTTTAATTAATTTTCTTAATTATAATTTTAATCTTTTAAAAATTTAATTTGTAATTTTAATCTAAATTCTTTAATTGCATTTATTTAATTTTAATTTAATTTCTTTAATTATATTTTAATTTAGTTACTTCAATCATAAAATGTTCTTGAATTATATTTAATTAAAATTTACTTTGTAAGACTAGCCTCGTGGTTAAAGGAATCGTTTTTTCTATTAAAAAAATATCATAGGTTCGAGTCTCTGTAACTAAATATTTAAAAAAAAATAATTTCAATTTAATTTCTTTAATTATAATTTTTCTACTGCAAAGAGAAAATTATTTTTCATTTTTAATTAAGAAAAAAATATTAGGTAATTGTAATAATAAGGAATTTTTTTCTTGTTAGCCCTGTTAATTGTCGTCAATTGCATTTCCATAGCGTAGAAAATTATGTAAATCATTAGTAACGGTTGCAATTCTTGCGGCCGCCTTAAATTTTATCGCAGCTCGTTTCTTCTCCATTTTTTTCTTCCACTGTAATGATAATTATTTATTTTTCAAAAATTAAGTTAATTAAGAAAAAAACAACTAATTCTCACAACTCCATTTCATCATTAGTGTTATTTTTATTTCTAGCGATCCTTCGTATGAGGCAGGAAAATTTCGTTATCGGCAAAAGTCCCACTGGTGGGACACGACGAAACCAACGGGAAAAGGATCGCTAAAATTAAAAAAAAAACTATTTTTGTTTCAAAACAAATAGAAATTCTTTTCAATATTATTTAATTTTCTTTTAATTTAAAAAAAAATTTTTTTTAATTATTATTCTCTTAATTTTTTTAAAAATATTATTCTATTAATTGCTGTTCATTTAAATATAAATTCTAAGAGGTATTTTATTTTTTTTATAGTAAAAAATAATTAATTATTATTAAAAATGATATTTAAAGTTTGAAAGATTCCCGCGTAGTCAGTGTTGCCAATAGTTTGCGCGCGCAATGTGACACACCCACTTTTCATTCATGTCAGAGTCACACTCAAGTTGGCAGACATGTTCGACACACACGCCAAAAACTTCATTTATGTTGTTGCCATTTAACCAACAAGAACGTGTATTTTTATTTATCATTTTAATAATCAAGTAATTTTCTTTCATAGTTTTTAAATATTGCTTAGAATATTTCTTTTAAGTTCAACAACGACAAAAAGGAAACAAACAATTATTTGCCATGTGACGAAAGAAAAATATCAAATTCACATTCATTCATTGCGGCGGCAGTTTTTTTTCAACAATAAACAGAAAGGTGAGTGTTTTTTTCATTATATTAACCCCCAAGATAATAGAATTAATATAATTTAGATAATAATTTACATCCTTATTTTTTTTTCGATTGTTGGCAATTTCAATATGTGCGAAAATGATCGCAAATGACAAACATAACCTAACTTTTTTTCATGCCCGGAATTATTTTTTGTTTGTTTTGTTTTCGGAAAAATATAGAAAATCTTTTTTTTATTTGATAAAAAGGGAAAAATACTTGCCGTTTCATCGCGTGAGGGTAAATTTTTGAGATAATCCTTCATTTCGGGCTTTTTTGGATCGGCAATCGCCAAAACTGATACACAACCATCGACTGTACCCAAAACAATACTTTTTCCATCGTAAGTGCTGTCGATTGCACTTAATTCAGCTTGAACGCGATAATTTGCTATCATTTCACAATCTGATGATCTGTAATAATATTTGGTTGTTTTTGTCAAAGGAGAAGAAAAATGTTGACTATTGGTGAAAGAAGTATTTTTCTATTTATATGCAACTCCTTTTTTTTAACGTTATGAATCTCTGTCTCTGGGGCAAAACAAAAATTTTGTTTTCGCTTTTTACTCGATATTTTGTAATATAATATTTTTATCAACATTTCAATTTCAGATTTCTTTGCATTTAACTACTAAACTCTATTTACTATTTTTTTACAATTAGCTAATATTTAGATACTTTTTTTTAAAAATTTGTGACAGTAAAAGCTACTTTTTTCTTTTGTTTTTTAAAAATTTGCACTATCTTAAAATAAGATAATAGTTTAAATAAAAAGAAATTATTCTACAAAATTTTAATAAAATTCTTTGAATTAATTCAATTATTTGCAAATATTTTTGGAAAATCTTTCTCGAGAATTCAATTATTTTTACAAGTAATGAAATTCTTCGCTGAAATTAAAATATTTTCAATATCTAGGTATTATTTTAATAAAATTACTGAAAAACTTCAATTATTTTAGAAAAAAATTAATAAAATTCAAAGCAAAAATTAAATTAGATTAATAAAAATGATGAATTGGAATTCAATGATTTGAATTATAGAACTATTAAGAAAAGTTTTCGAAAGAAATCATTTATTTAAAATATTTCCAAAAAATTCTTTAAAAGAAATTTAATTCTTCCCTGAAATTTTTAATAAGATTTGTTTACAAGAATTAAATTATTTTCATAATTGATAAAATTCATCGCAAGAGTTCAATTATTTTTAATAATATTTAATAATAAATTATTCAAAATAATTGAAATTACTTTTGAATTTACATAAAATGATTTTAAAAAAATTCAATTATTTCTAAATATTCAATTATTAATAAAATTCTTTGCAGGGATTCAATTATTTTGATAATAATAAAATTTTTCAGGATTTAAATTTATTATTTACAAAAAATTTAATATAATTCGATTCAAGAATTGAATTATTTTTACAAATTTAATAATAAAATTTTTCACAGAAATTCAATTATTTACAAAAGTTCATTAATTTAATTCAATTATTTTTATAAATAAAATTCATCGCGAGATTTCAATTATTTCCAAAAATTTTAATGAAATTCTTCGCAAGAATTAAATTATTTTTAAAAATAATAAAATTTTGATAATAATAAAGTTCTTCAGGATTTTAATTTATTATTTACAAAAAATTTAATAAAATTCGTTTCAAGAATTCTTACAAAAAATTTAAAATTTTAATTTTTACAAATAACAATACAATTTTTCATAGAAATTCAATTATTTACAAAAATTCATTGCTTGAATTCAATTATTTTCATAAATAAAATTTATCGCGAGAATTCAATTATTTCCAAAAATTTTAATGAAATTCTTCGCAAGAATTCAATTATTTTTAAAAATAATAAAATTTTCCCACAGGAATTCAATTATTTAAAAAAATTTAATAAAATTCATTGCAGGAATTCAATTATTTTTACAAATTATAACATTTTTCACAGGATTTCAATTATTAAAAAAAATTTAATAAAATTCGTTGAAAGAATTCAATTATTTTTACGAATAATATAATTTTACACAGTAATTCAATAATTTACAAAAATTCATTGCTTGAATTCAATTATTTTCATAAATAAAATTCTTCGCAGGATTTTAATTATTTTAAAAAATTTAATAAAATTTGTTGCAAGAATTCAAATATTTTTAGAAATAATAAAACTTTTTACAGCAATTCTATTATTTAAAAAAATGAAATAAAATTCATTGCAAGAATTCAATTATTTTTATAAACAATAAAATTCTTCATATGATTTCAATTATTTAAAAAAATTCGTTCCAAAAATTCAATTATTTTCATAAATATTAAAATTTCCACAGGAATTAAATTATGTATTTGAAATACAATTTCCAAAAAAAAGACTTTCGAAAGAAATCAATTATTTTAATTTTATTCGTAAAAATTCAATTATTTTCTGATATTTTTTGTAAAATTTCTCGAAGGAATTCAATTATTTTCCAAAATGTTTATAAAATTTATTAGAATACAATTTATCAACAATTTTAATAAAATTCGAAACAATTCATTTATTTTCAAAAATTTTAATAAATTCCTTAGCAAAAATTCAATTATTTTCCTAAATAGCAAACTTCTTCTCTTTTTTTTCACTATTAATAATAATTTTTGAAAAAGTTAATTGAGAATTCAATTTGAATACAAATTTTTCAAAAAATTAACTTCTTCGAAATTTTATATTATATTCAAAATTTTTATTTTTCTAAAATCTGAATTTAAAACATTTTGAAATTTAATTATTTATAAAATTTGTAAACGCATCTCTTATAAAATTCAATTATTTTAGAAATATTTAACTAAAATGCTTGTCGAACTCAATTAATTTTTATTCAATTATTAAAAAAAATAGAAAGTTTACATAAAATAATTCTGAAATCCATTTATTTACTATTTCAATTTTAGTAAATTTCAATTATTCGTAAATTTTTCAATTCAATATAATATTAAAAAATTCAAACAATTTAAAAAGAATGTGAATAAAATTTTTTTAAAATTCGAGACCTGTAATTAGGTAAAATTAATTAAATTTTGTATTCGTACCTGAAAACTCGAATTGTTTTTCGTCCACTGTGATAATAAAGAACATATTCGTCGGTTCGATTAAACATTGAAATTACAGTGAAAACTCCCTCGGCGACTTTTGAAATATAAGTTTTTACAGTTGACCCCTTTTTTAATTCAATCAGTTCCAACCCACCTCTGAAAAAATAAGAAAACTTTCATTTCAATATTGTAATAATTTTACTAAACTTTTTCTTTTGTTAACTTAATGATTTAAAATTATGTAAATTTTATTTTTTTTTTTATTTTTTTTTAATTATATACCTCGAGGGAGCGTATAAAGTATATTTTCCATCCTTGCTTATATTTCCACTCCATTTTGGAATTGTTCGAATAATTTTCTTCTTCCCAATGTCCATTATACTTCCTTTATCTGAACCGATTATTCCCACCCATTGTGATTTATTTGGCATTGGAACAATGCTGACAATATCCTTTTGAAAAAAAAAATTCTTACATCTCTTTTTTTTATTATCAATATAATATTTAAAAAAAGGCATTATTTAAAATTTCATTCTATGGAATTTTTAAGTTAAAAATTACTTTGAAAAATAGGTATTTGTGTGAAATTAGGAAAAAGAATTAATAACGAATAATAATAGAAAAATATTATTTTTGCTTTTGTCTTAATTATAAATTTGTAAAAAAAAAACAAATTACTTTAAATCCTGGAAGTTTGACTTGTATTTTATTAATTAATGTTCCGTTTTTTGCGCTATAAACAATTATACAATCACGACTCCCTTTGTCGGCGGCTGGAACAACAAAAAATGCCCCGTCCGATGTCACTGAAACTTGACGAAATGGAATTCCCGTTTGACTTCGTACAATGTACTCGAAACTGAAAACTTGTGTTCCGTCTGAAAATAGATTTGACAATGTTTTCTTTATTTAACATTATGTTAATTATTACATTTTTCGAGGACTCCATTCAAAAATTGTATAAAAAATAATTTAAATCCTGTGAAAAATTTTATTATTTATAAAAATAATTGACTTCTTTTAAATTATTCTGTGATAATTTAAAAGAATAATTTTATTAAAATTGTATTAAAAATAATTGAATTCTTGCGATGAATTTTACTATTTAATAAAATAATTGAATTTATCGCTATCAATTTTATTATTTAGGAAACTAATAGAAATTTCGAGAATTTTTTACAAAAACATCATAAAATAATTTAATTCTTGCGACGAATTTTATTAATTTTTTTTTCTTAAATTTTTTAATTTATTTTTACGACAAAATTTGATTTTAGAAAAATTTTTTCTTTTTTCCAAATAATTTTTTATCTCCTTGTAAATTATAAAATTTCAAAATTCACACCTGGAATATTTCTTGTGACAAGAGTGGCCGTTGTTTTTGTACTTTCAACACCGGGTAAATTAGTTGGACGTGAAACGGCAATAAATTTCGTAGCCTCTTCAATAAATGACAATTGTCTCACACACGTTTGCTCGTCTTTAAATAATACTTGTTCAGTAATTCGATTCCAAATTAAAACATTTCCCGATTCCGTTGAAACAATGTACCTACAATAAAAAACAAAAATTTACCACAAAATTTAAAAATTAAAAACAATTTATTATTAAATAAATAAAGTGTTTTTAAAGAGCCCAAAAATAATGAAGTTAAATGCCATAAAATAAAAGAAAAAATGTTGAATTTTAAGAAATTCGGGTTTTCGAATTTTTGAAAATTTTTAATAATTTTAAATTTTTTGCCAAAGCGTTTAAATTATTAAATAAATAAAATGTTTTTAAAGAGCACAAAAATAATGAAGCTAAATGCCATAAAAAAGAAGAAAAAATATTGAATTTTAAGAAATTCGGTTTTTTGAATTTTTGCTAATTTTCCATAATTTTAGATTTTTTACCAAAGGGTGGAGACTATTAAATAAGTAAAGTATTTTCCAAAAGGACAAAAATAATGAAGCTAAATGCCATAAAAAAGAAAAAAAAATGTTGAATTTTAAGAAATTAGGGTTTTTGAATTTTTGAAAATTTTCCATAATTTTAGATTTTTTACCAAAGGGTGGAGACTATTAAATAAGTAAAGTATTTTCCAAAAGGACAAAAATAATGAAGCTAAATGCCATAAAAAAGAAAAAAAAATGTTGAATTTTAAGAAATTCGGGTTTTTGAATTTTTGCTAATTTTCCATAATTTTAGATTTTTTACCAAAGAGTCGAGACAATTTAATAAGTAAAGTATTTTCCAAAAGCACAAAAATAATGAAGCTAAATCCCATAAAAGAGAGGAAAAAATGTTGAATTTTAAGAAATTTTGGATTTTTGAATTTTTTCGAATTTTTGATAATTTTAGATTTTTTACCAAAGAGTCGAGACTATTAAACAAGTAAAGTATTTTCCAGGAGCACAAAAATAATGAAGCTAAATCCCATAAAAGAGAGGAAAAAATGTTGAATTTTAAGAAATTCGGATTTTTGAATTTTTTCGAATTTTTGATAATTTTAGATTTTTTACCAAAGAGTCGAGACTATTAAATAAGTAAAGTATTTTCCAAAAGCACAAAAATAATGAAGCTAAATGCCATAAAAAAGAAAAAAAAATGTTGAATTTTAAGAAATTCGGGTTTTTAAATTTTTTAAATTTTTGAATAATTTTAAATTTTTTGCCATAGGGTTTAAATTATTAAATAAATAAAGTGTTTTTAAAGAGCACAAAAATAATGAAGCTAAATGCCATAAAACAGAAGAAAAAATGTTGAATTTTAAGAAATTCGGGTTTTCGAATATTTGAAAATTTTTAATAATTTAAAATTTTTTTGATTATCGTTTGATATTAATTTATTGTTAAATATGTCAGTTACCATTTTTTTGTCCCAAGAAAGCAGAAATAAAATGAGTAAAAAGTCAGGAAAGAGTCAGGGAATTATTTTCTCAATCCTTGCTAGACACCCTGTTACAGTCGGTAAAAAATTTGAAAAAGAGTTTACCCAAATTTTCATAATAGAAAATTAAAATTTTATCACAATCGTAAAATTAGAAAAGCAATTTTTCAAAAATTGCGAATTTTTTTGCAAAAATAAAATGATAAACTAATAACTTTTAAATACCTAGATATAAATAAAATTTTTCGAGATTTTTTTTTATGAATGAATGAATTGTTAATAATAATTAATTAATTTGCCTTCCATCCGGAGTGATAATTGCGTGTGTAACAATTGCCCCAAGTGGACTATCCGCTAATTTGGAAATTAATCTTCCCGATTGTAGATCCCAAATTCCAACGCAGCCCCTCGTTACAGTCACTGCCAAATTACAATGCTCCGCTAAACTGATTTTCAAGAAATTGTATTAAAATATTGAGAATAATTGAATTCTTTCAAAGAATTTCTTTAATTACATTCTCATTTTTTTAATATAATCATTTTTATTAATAATTTTAATTAATATTAATTATTATTAATAATAATAATTGATAAACAAATAATAATATTATAATATATAATATTATAATATTATAATATACAATATTATAATATTATAATATATTTTTATAAATAATATTTAATATTAATTAAACAAATAAGTAAATAGTCGAACCTTATGGAATCGATTTGCAATTCGTGTCTATCAATAACGTGAACTTGCTCGAAAATATTGTTAATATTCCAAACTTTAACGCTTCTGTCGATACTTGAAGTAATCACACTATTCCAATTGCCAATTGTCAACGCTTCCAATTGAATAATTCTCGCGAAATGAGCGTCTAATATTTTCACCAATTCAGTTGTCTCCAAACTCCAAACGTACAAATTTTTTCTATTTTTCAGTGAAAGAAAAAAAGAAAAAAAGAAAAAGAAAAATAGTAAAAGTTGTTAAAGATTAAATTATTATTATTAATTATTATCAGATTATTTCATTGTAAAAAAGAATGAAAAATAGTCGGGTTTTTAAACAAAAATTTGGAAAGAAACTCTCCACCTGCGAACGCCAAGGTCACCGCTAGATGGCAGTTTAGTTCTTTCCTGGAATTTCTTCTGCCACCTGGTGGCGACCTTGGCATTCTCAAGTGGAGAGATTGAACCACCATTTTATCTGACGAAAACTTTTTTCAATATTAAAAAAATAGAATAATTACAAATTTTCCTTTAAAATACGAATTTCGTACTTAATTAAATCTTGTGTTTAAATTAATTAATAATATTAATTAATAATAAAGAAAATTAATTAATCTTTATATAATTCAAATTGGAATTTTGATTTTCGTTTCAATTTTTGTATAAATAAAATTTCTTTTCACCTGACACCAGCGACAGCGTAATTTTTCGTTCCACTAATCATAATTGAACTTGAATTCATCATTTTTGTTCGAATATTACGCACACCATTTGGCAATGAAAGAACATGAGCGTCACTTTTACTCTCCAAAAACCAAACGACAAATCCATTTCCAGTTGTTGCCAAAAGAATTTCCTCCTCCTTGTCTAATTTCAATTGTAAAATATATTCAATTTCATCATTATTTGTTCGTGGCATGTCTGAAATTTTTTCCCAATACGATGATGTTTCTTCAATGAAATATTTTGTCACTCGATAATTTTCCTTTGTTGTACATGCATAAAGTGTTTTTTTGTCATTTGTCATAACCATTGCACTAAAAGAACGGAAAATGCAAAAAACAAAAATCGAAATTATTAATTGAAAAGAAAAATTCTTTTTTTATTTGCATAGAGAAATAAATTTTTCACACCTGTGATAATGAAAAGATTCCAGTGTTCCCTTTTTTCTGTAAGTGTGCAACAACATTAGTGGATCGTCAAGATTTCCGGTCCAGAAAATAATTCGGTACTCGTCCAATGTCGTGTACTCAATTTCTTTAAAAAATTAAAAAAAAATTTGATGGAAATGATAAATAATTAAATTACATTAAAATTATAAATAATTAAATTCATTAAAATTAATATGTTAAAATAGAGGCAGGCACAAAATTAAGAGAAGCGTCCCCCCACCATTTGGTGCTTTTCTCTCCCCTCTTTGTAACCCTCTCCCACCTAACGCACACAAACCAATCACATTGCGCCTTCAAAATTATATTTTCAGTAAGAATTTAGCTTTCCAAAATGTTAATATTTGCTAAATTTTAACTATAATACATAATAAATTAGTTCTTCTATAATTTTACCCTTTTTATTATTTTAGTATAGGCTCTTAATTAACGAGAAAAATATTAATAATTAAATAATAAGGTACTGTTTATATTTACCCAAAATGGACCATTGATTTGTGTCCTCGGGACTTGTAAAATTTGCCAATAAATTGCCTCTTAAATCAAATCTACACCAAGCACTTTTACCAAAAATAAATACAAATTGATTCATAAGATAAATTCCACTGACTGGTTCATCGTTTGGTAGTGGATTGTCAATAATTACAAATTCACTTGTCAATGTATTTAAAGCAACCGTCTAAAATTTAGAAAAAAGTTACATAACAATTTTTACTATAAACGAAGAAAAATGTATTATTTTTTGGAAAAAAATTTGTTAGTTAATTAATAATTCAAATAATTAATAAAATATTTCAGTTTGTTAATTATTTATGCAAGTATTAATCATTGCAGTCTGTAAATATTGTAATTAGTTAACGAATTATGCAATTAATAAAAAAAATTGCAATTAGTTTACAAATATTGCAATTATTTAATAATAACTGCAATTTGTTTATAAATATTGTTACTGGTTTATAAATACTGCAATTTGTTTATAAATATTGCAATTTGTTTATGAATATTGCAATTATTTAAAAAACAATTCAATTTGTTTATAAATATTGCAACTAGTTTATAAATACAGCAATTTGTTTATAAATATTGCAATTTGTTAATAAACATTGCAATCAGTTTATAAATATTGTAATTAATTATTAACTAATTATGCAATTAGTGTTATTAGTTAATTAATTAAGCAACTATCTATAAATGTTACAATTCTTTTTACTAATTAAAAAATTTGTTTATAAATATTATTAATTTTTAAATTAATAACCTGATTGTTGTTAGTAAAAGAAGCGGCATATCGATTATCAGGACTCAATACCAATTGTTGCATAATTCCTTCGACACCAGGATTAACATCCCTCGTCATATCACTCGTACTTAAATCCCAAGTGATAAATCTATTTGAAATCGATACCACGTATCGATAATCAGACGTTAAACAAAAACCAAAAACCGCAAATTGATGTCCTTCCAATGAATACTGTAAATTTTATTAATTTATTAATTTTAAGAAATTTTAAAACAAAAATTACTTAAAAGTAATCAATTAACTATTATTTTAATATTAATAATAAATTTATTATTGAATTAACTCCCAAGTAATGAATTTCCAGCAAATTTGAGCAAATTAAAAAATCCTTCGTCATATTGGATCGGCCCTTTTGAATTTTTGAAAACTGACTTCAGATTCGTAATCAGCGACCCCAAAAACCCCCGAGTAACGAATTTCAAGTAAATTTAAGCAAATTAAAAATCATCCGCCATATTGGATCCGCCATTTTTAATTTTTGAAATCTGACCTCACATTCGTAATCAGCGACCCCAAAAACCCCTGAGTAACGAATTTCCAGCAAATTTGAGCAAATTAAAAAATAATTCGTCATATTGGATCCGCCATTTTGAATTTTTGAAATCTGACCTCAAATTCGTAATCAGCGACCCCAAAAACCCCCGAGTAACGAATTTCAAGTAAATTTGAACAAATTAAAAAAATCGTCCGCCATATTGGATCCGCCATTTTGAATTTTTGAAATATGCCTTCAGATTCGTAATCAGTGACCCCAAAAACCCCCGAGTAGTAATTTTTATTAGCTTAGGCTCAACGTAATTTAATAATTCTTAATAGGTTAAATAAAATTTTTTAATTAAAAATATTAATATTAGTAAAAAATAGTATTTATAAATAAATTCTACCTTTAGAGGACCACCTGGGGTATGAAGACAATGATACAGGGGTAACAGGGAACAATCCTTAACGCCATCTGCATCACAAGCCTTCAATAACATTCTCACATTAACATTATTACCGATTTCCGGTAAAAGTCTCCCCACTAATTGCGGTGCAAGCATATCGGGATGATTACCCAAAATTGCCCCACCAAGTCTCAATGCATCGGCAACTAACATCAGTTCCCTTTTGTTTAATAACAAAATTATTATTGAAATTAACAAACATTTCCCATTAAAAGTTCATAATTTGCATTGTATTAATGATAGAGATCTGTTTTATCGACATTGTTGGTAATGTAGAGTCCTTGATTATCGGTACTGTAGACCCTAATATGGGTAACCACCGGTAAAGGATTCTACACTTGTCGACTGTATTTTCGGTAGAAACCTGTTGTACCGACATTGTCGATAATGCAGATCCCATTATCGACCGCTATCGGTAATAAAGGGTTCTGCACTAGTCGATAATAAATTATTCCCTACTTATCGACAATCGTCATTAGTAGAATCCTTTATTATCAATATTGTCGATAATTAGTCTCTAATATTAGGTAATATCTCCAATATTACCAACTATCGGTAAGAAAGAATTCTACACATGCCACTAATGATAAAAAACCAAAAAATGTCTAAATTTCAATAAATTCTTTTTACCTGACTAAATTTTGATCATCAATATTATTGCACGCGTCCTCAAAATCTGATAGCACAGCCTGCAATGGACATGAACTTAATTTTGCGTGTAGCCACTCGTAATTGAATAAAACATTTTCAAAAAGATCCTTAAATCTATGTGCCCTCACTAAATGATAGGGTAGTTCACCGAACTGAAAATAAATTATTTTGTTAGCAATTAAACATCATACAAGTAAAAGTATATTAGTAAGTGTTCTACTTTTAGTTGGGAAAATTAAATTTTCACCTTTCTTAAATTATATCGTGAAATGGTTCCCTCTTTGGAATAAAATGCCAATGGTTGCTCTGGAACTTTTCTGTCGGCAACTCCTTCTTTATCGGTTAAATTGAATCTAAGAATTATAACATGTCGGTAAAGTAGATAACTGTCGTGCAGTGGGAGTGATTTACTGTTTTATCGACTTTTGAGTATTGAAATTGTAATTAGCGATAATTTTGGGACGTTGACGATATTCTCATTAGTAAAAACTGAAATGTCGGTAACTGTCGATAAACGATTCCTGTAACGGGATTTTCCCAACGTTCTTGAGTTATTCTCAGCTGGGAAAATATTAGAATTTAATTTTTAAAGGATTTGTTAATAGAATCGAAATTTGGGTTTCCGTTAGACGGCAGGTTTGTGAATTGTGTTGGTAATTGTCGGTAAACGGTTCCTGTAATGAGTTTTTCAACCGTTCATGAATTATCTTTACTAGGGAAGCAATTCAAGAGTAATTTAAAAGGTTTTCGTTAGTGAAATCGAATGTTTGAGATTTCGCATTGGGGCCCTCGGGTAAAGTACTAAAATTAAAGTTCCCTGAAAGGGAATATCGGTTTTGCCTAAAGAGAGCTATGAAAGTGGCTAAAATCTGCATTGTCGTTCCATACTCATGATTCCTATAACAGGATTTACGTTTCAAGACTCAAAAATCATAAAACCTTTCAACTTACCGATGACGCTGAATTTCGGTATACTTGAACGGTTTGGGTCGTCCGCCACCCCAAATACCCAAATAATAATCGGCAATCATCGAATGAAAATACGTAGCCAAATTCATATTCTTGAAATATCTCTCCTTTGCCGTATCGCGAAATTGACGATGATACCAATTCAATACACTAACACCGTCTGCCTCACGTTCACTTAGATAATTCGGCAAATCATTGCGAATTCTCGTCCACAATAATGGCGGTATCCTACGCACAGGTGGTAAATGATATTGATAAACATCATCCAATACTTTATCATCAAGCGATATTAAATCCTCTAATTCGGATTCAGAGAGTCCCGATTTTGCCGCCGTTATATAAGCGAGAGCGTGAAATACCAAAATTTTTCCATGCTGCTTCTCAATTCTCTCGAAGAGCATCATTATACTGTCCATCACTGTACTCGCTAAATGTGTATCCGCCGGTTTTGTATAACTACGCCAACGGCATATTTCCGCGAATACCAATTTCACAAAAATTGGCAACGAACATTTTGATATTGCATTCGCTACTAGACGCCATTGGTAATTGTTTAGATCACGATGGGCTGTTTTCATCCACATTCTGTTTTTTTTTGGAGAGAGGAAAAAAGATTAGAAGTCGGGTTTATTGGTTAGTGGTATAGTTGTGTACCTTATGACGTCCATTGCTAAATCTTCACCTAGTGCTGTTACTTCGATGAAGCATTCCTCGGTGTCGATCATTCTCCTGAGAAGATGATAGTCACGGGAAATTACTGGATTCGACTCCTCGGCGGCGCAAGATAGGATCATCTGCAAATTGGAATTGAAATTTTAGTTTAAAAACTTTCTCTTGGGGGAAGGATTATTTGGGTTAAGAATCATCTTCGCAGGGATTTGGGTGTATTGACAAACTTTGGAGCCATCAACAACTAGATTCCATGGGCAACTTAATAATTGTATTCGGATCCAAATGAGGTTACACGGAAAAACATTAAGTCCGGTCATTTTTAATATATAGCCGACATAAAACAATACTTAATAGGTAAAGGGGTTCGGGGGGTATTGATAAATTATTTCAAGGTAATATTAATTCTAGCTTACGCAGATAATACAGTAATGTTAGAAGATAACATAGTAGAAATGAAAAAAATCATTAAAGCTCTTCGAGAATATTGCGATGAAAACATCCTAACAATTAATGCAAATAAAACTAAGGTGATGATTCTCCAGATGGGGGGTTATGGAAACAAAAAAATACCCTCCTCTTATTTTATTTTTATTTATTTATTAGAAGAAAACCAAGCCCAACGATAAAAACCAATAACAGAGTTCCTCTAGGAGGATAAACTTTATCCACTTTCCAAGCTAAAAATTTTTTAAATTGTTTATGGCAATATTCAATTGCCTCACAATACTTGAGAAAGTTCGGAGATCAGATAACAGACGCATGAATGAATTTCGATATTACGAATGTTTGGAAGAGAATTTTTATAGTTGAGATTTTTTTAAACTGTTTACATGACCTAATTAAGAATACAAGGGTTTTACTAGCGCTGTCAACAATATTACTAATATGATCATTAAAGGATAAATTAGGTAAAAAAGTTACACCAAGATCTTTGATTTTATTTACCCTTTCAAGGACATGACACTCAATAGAGTACTGATATGGAATAATTGATTTCCCTCTCACAAATGTCACTACTTTGCATTTACCAATGTTCAATTTTAATTTATTATTTTTACACCAATTATAGAAATTTTCTACATTATCTTGCAAAAGTTGACATGACTTAACATTAGAAATTGGAAGGTAGAGTTTAACATCATCAGCATAAAGAAGATGGTAGCAAATTAAGAAAGAGAGACATTCATATATGCAGAAGCTCTTGTTTGTTTAATTAAATTGAAGGTCTGAATAATAGACCACAAAATAAAGATGAAGTAATAAAATAAGTGAATAAATAAATGGTTATAAAATAAAGTGACAAAAGTAAGAAATGAAAAGTGAAATATTAAATAAAGTGCAAGCGCGTTAAAACACAAAGGAAATTAACTAAAGGAAATAAAACTTAAAGAAAATATATAAATATATATGACAATGGTGAGCTAAGTTGTTTTACACACTAAAATACAATACATGCACATAAACACATTACGCATCAGAAAATAGATATTGTGTAGAATCACATACTTAAAAGAAGATAAAGATTGTAATCTTTAAGATAAAGTAAATAAGGGAAATTTAGATAATTGTATCAGGGTTTAGAAGTTATAATATATTCTCATTATTTTCTAAATTTGTTTAACTTCATTAGCAGCTACACAACAATTCCAAAACCTTAAAATCCACTATTTCCAAACAGTAGAGATTCTCACCTCACTACTTGAACAATAAGTAGGAAGGAGGGGATCCACTACCAAAACGGGTATAAGGGTATCAGATTTTTATCCGTGTAACACTCCTTTAAATTCATTATTGTTTACACTTTAATTTATTTATTACACCCGGACTCGGACCCCATCCGGCGAGCGAATTCCGTAGCAATTAAAAATCATATCATTACAAATTATTAATTTAGTTAAATCGGGGAACTGGGAATTTTTAGACGTAACAATAGTATAAATAGGGTCCTCAAGAGAAATACTGTTTTGAATCACAGATATTGCGCTTCACGCCACTAATTAATAGAATTAATTATTAAATAAGGTACCAGGACCCCAATCGGCAAGCGAATCATCATTGCACCCTAAAATTTGCAACGTTGGTCTTTGTTCTTCTTTCGGTCATTCTTTTTCTGGTTGGAAAACTTACCTTACAATTTGTAGGAAGACGAGTCGGTAGCCAGGATAATTTATTTCCCTGCGTTCCCGTCAATTGATCGACACTATCCAAGAACAATAAGATTGGTTGCTCCGCAGTTGCTAGTGTTAATAGATACTTAAAATGTGCTGTCAATGGTACAAGATCGTCAGGAATGTCCTCAAACGGAAGCATAAAATTATAGGATATCTGCAAACGGAATGTTTTTTAGATTATTTAGATTTGCGATTAGTAATAATCACGGTATACCATGAGTATGACGGTATTTGGTGATTATTACGGTGTACGGTAATTATGACTACTTTTATTATATACCGTGGGTAACTACATCATAATTACTGTATACCATCATGACGGTAATAATTACTGTATACCATCACTACGACGGTAATAATTACAGTATACCATCATTATGACGGTAATAATTACTGTATACCATCATTATGACGGTAATAATTACAGTATACCATCATTATGACGGTAATAATTACAGTATACCATCATTATTACGTTGATACCATAATGATTACGGTAATAATTACAGTATACCATCATTATTACGGTAGTAATTTCGGTATATCATTAATTATTACGTTAATAATTACGGTATACCATCATTATTAGGGTACACTATAATTATTACAATTAAGGTATGCGATGAGTGTTATCGTATACCAAAAGTACCCCAACTATCCTTTACCTGTTGGCAAATGGAAATTAATGTAGGCGTCAGCGCACTACTGTCGGGTGTTGTACCCAAAAATCGAATAATACTTATTGGCTTCTTGCCCAAGAGCCATGAACTACTCGATAGTCCAGCACTTTTTGCCAAAAGAGATGTCTTCCCACAACCGCCCTCACCATATAAAACCAATGGTTTCTCCTCATTATTCAGCATGTAGGCTTTAATTTTCTCCAAATTATCCTCGCGACCATAAAATACCTTTTTATCGAAACAAAAAAAATATAGAACATTAAACCTCTGCCTTCTCAGTTTATTCTTATCGACATAAAACCACAATTCAATAGCCTGGTAGGGGACTATAGGAATTACATTTAAAAATACTAGAGTGGCGTTAAGTCTGGTCATTTAGTGATAAATAATTTTAATCAAAAACTTCTTTATCGACAGTTGGTAGCACTTTCCTTTATTATCGACTGCGGCCACGGCAACTGATGCCAATGATAAAGTAGATTTCTGTCGATATTTTCAATTTCTATCTATTCAAAATTACCGGTAATACTTATTTTACGTTTCACCGATAAAAAAGTAAAATCCGTTGATAAATAAATGTTTTTTTTAGTTTTTCATTGAAGGCAAAAAAATGGGTAAATTTTTAAAAAGGAGAGAAATTTTTTGTCTTAATTACCTTTACGGAATTATTGCAAGCGTGCAAATGTTGTAAGATTTCGGTAATTATTTGTCCCTGAGCGGAACTGTCTTCCTTTCGCATTGCTCTGTCGATAAGTTTTACCATATTTCGATAAAAATGGGTAATAAAATGTTGGAGATATTCTCCGTGCGTTTCCGTGTCTAAACCCTCGCGTCCAATCCATTCTACTGTATATCTAAAAATTATAATTATTATTGTTATTCTTATTGTTATTATTATTATCATTATTATTATTTAAAAAAAAAATTTTTTTTTTCTTTGCTTTTTTTTGTTTAACGTGGGAAGTGGGAAATTTGCATCTCAGATATCTACCTGGGGCCCTGAGGTTATGTGGGGATAAAAAAATTTTTATTATTATTATTAAAAAACTATTTTTTCGTAACTAAAAACTTGATAACCTTTGTAAATTTACGCTTTCGATTTTATCTGATAATCGAACGTCTCTGAGATCCGCCAACAATTTCGATGCCTCATTATCTAAACTTCTATTTAGAATGTCCAGGAATAATCCAGCTTTTCGTAAATTTTGCAAATTAATATTATTGATGTAACGAACATATGCCAAACAGTGATTTTTTGTATTTTTTACATTCAATACTCCGTTGATTACCTCACGTTCGGTTACTAAAAAAGAAAAGAAAAATTTTACTTCAATAATAATTTTTTTATGCATCTCAGTCAATAAAGTGCCCATTATTGCCCTAGGGTAATAAAGTGACCATTATTGCCCTAGGGTAATAAAGTGTCCATTATTGCCCTAGGGCAATAAAGTACCCATTATTACCCTAAAACAATAAATAGCCACTTTATCAATTTATTATTATTATTATTATTATAATTAGTAAGCGAGTGAAAATATAAAAAATATTTTCCCAACCAGACATGAAATAATTGTGCATTGTGTCCTTGTCAAATTTTCCATTATTGTAAAGTGACTGCGCTCCTTTTCGAAATAATTTTTGCATTTTACACATTGTATCCCACCAAATTGCCTGATCCTCTTGTTGTAATTTTGGAATTCTCTAAATTTGAATAACATTTTATGAAAGAATTAAATTTTCTTTTTATTTTTAATAATATTTTTCGAAATAATTGAATTATTTTCTAAAATTTTTGAAATCCTTCGCGAAATAATTCAAGTATATTTATAAATAGTAAAATTCTTTGCAACAATTCTATTATATTCAAAACAATTTTACGAAAGAATTCAATTTTTTTTTAATTCGTTATAAAATAATTTCAAATCAATTTTATTATTTTCTAGAATTTAAATAAATTCTTCAATAAAATTCAATTGCATTTGTAAATGGTAAAATTCTTTGCAAAAATTTAATTATCTTCTATAAAATTTCACGAAAGTATTCAATTTTTTTCAATTTATTTTGTTATAAAATTTTTCATAAGAATTCAATTAATATTTTCTAAAAATTCTAATAAAATTCAATAATTAAATGTATTTTAATTATTAACAAACACGCGATTATTTTAAAAACTTGAAGGAAAGTTGTTGATAAACTTCAATTATTTTTAAAATTTTAATAAAAACTCCATTATTTAAAAAAAATACAAAGAAATTCTACAAGAAAAATTTAATTAGAATGTTAATAGTACTTTATTGTTGAAATTTTTCAAAATTGAAGATATCGGTTGTAAAATGCTGGTGGGGGGAACTGCATTGCTGTCCTTTTTATACCAAGTGTCCAAAACAATAACGTCCATTCCCTGACTGTCCAATTCTGTCCTCAACATTTCCAATTCTGAACTCAGAACATAAGTAGGAATTGGTCTGTAACCATATTTTTGACCCAAAAAAACCTGAAAAATAATTTTTCTTTTGCAATTTTTTTACTGCTCCTGATTTTTTAATTTGAAAATTTTTTTTATAATTTAAAAAAAAATTTGTAATCAAGTTTTACTTTTAAATGATTTTATTTAATTTTTGAGTTCAATAAAATTTTGTAATGAACTTTTGTTTGGGAATATTTTTATTGTCTTTTAATTTTTTCAGTAAAAAATAGTTTGAATTTTTTTTTTTTTTTTTTTTTAAATAAAAAATAGAATTTTTTTCCTTTTACCACAAAATTTGGACCCATTGATAATCGTTGACAATTTTCAATTTCTCTCATGCATAATTCTGTTGTCATATGATCATCAGTCGCTTCATCTCGAACCCCCCATCTCATGTCCACAACCTTAGAAAAGAATTTAAATTTATTTTTTTTTATTCATTTTTCTAACTAGTAAATATTAATATTTACTAGTTTAATACTAGTTTATTTAACAGTAATATTTAATACTAATAAATATTAATATTTAATATTTATATATTAAATTATATTGTGAAGAAAAATAAATTCTGCTTTGAAAGAATTTCAACATTTAATTTTTATTTTTTCATTTTCTAATTAAAAAATTAATTTTGTTTTACTAAAATTTTTTTTTATTGTTTTAAATTATAGAGTAAAATCTACTGCTAATCAAAAATAATTTTTTTCTCCTTAATTGACCCAATTTCTTGTAAGTTTGAATGAGTATCATAAAAGTTATTTGCAATATGTATATGTAGTTATTACTTTAGAATTCTTTGGTACCTGGCACCATCAAAAATCAATTTATTGTCAGTGCCTATACATATAGCGATAACTATTGAATGTCAAAAGTTCAACTGTAGGTCATTTGAACCATAATTTTTTTTAATTCATATCTATATATTACAAACTAATTAACAGGAGAAATATTTCCGTGAATATTTTTGTTCTATTTAAATTTTTTATTTTGTTTTATTTACATTTCTTTTATTTCAATTAAGTTCTAATTGATATAAATTGCGACAAACTTTTTTTCGACTTAATATTGTTTTAAACACGCAAAACTATTTTTTAGACAATTATTTCCAATTATAATTAAATTAGCTTATTTTTATTAAATAAAAAGAAAATAATAATTATATGAATAATAATAATAATAATAATAATAATAATAATAATAATAATAATAGTAATAATAAATATTTGCTGTTTAATAAAAGTTAATTACAAAATAATAATAAAAATGAAGAAATAATTTGAATTAAATTATGTAATTTATTTATTTTATCTTTATTTTTTAAATTATTTTTAAAAAATTTTAAATTATATATTTTTTTAATTTAAAATAATATATATTTTTTAATTTAAAATCATATATTTTTTTAATTTATATTTAAATTTTTATTTATTTATTAAATAATGAATTAAAATTATTAAATTAGTATTATTTGTTTAAATCAAACAATATTTTTTTCATAAAAAGAAAATTTAGGATTATAATTACTATAAATTAAAAATTTTCTAATTATTGCAAATTAATAATAAAATAATGCAAATTTTTTACAAACTAATTCCCCACCTGAAACTCCAGACCATGTTTTTCTCGACAATAATCCTTTAATTTTGGATAACACTGTGCCATCAATGTATTTCTCTCCATTGTCGTATCTGTGAAAAAAATAAGAAACAATTTTTTTTTCAATACAAAATTTAAAAATGACTAGTCAATAAATTATATTAATTATTATTATTACCAGTAAATGTTGAACTCGTAAAAATACGGACAATTTTCGAACTGACTGGCGGCAAGGATTTTAAAGATCCCGCAAAAATTGAATCAATTGTTTTTTCATCCATTTTTTATTTGAAAAAGAAAAATCTTCTGAAAAATAATTTTTTTAAAATATAATTATTTTTTTCTTTAAACACTTTTTAAATTTATATTTTTAAATTAAAAAAATTGTCTATTTTTAAAGACAATTTAAAAAATTATAAATTAAAAACTAAAAAAATTTATTACCTAATGGGAATTAAAGTTAAAAAGAACAAGATTCGAAAGTTTCACATTGAATGAAAAATCGCGGGAAATTTTGTTTGTTGATAAAGATGTTTCTCCCACGAGGAATTCATTGAGACTAACAACATTTTCAATTTTATATGTATATGTAAATACGTATATCTCAATGTTTCTGTAGCTTCAACTTGACTATAGTCAACTTGTGAGTCACATATCACAAAATAACAAAGTCACATTTTAATTGTGAATTATTCTCTTTTTCAATTATAAAAAAAAATTGTTTCAATTAACTGAAGTGACATTTTTTTGAGTGAATTTATATTCAATTGTAGCAAAATAAATAAGAAGTTTCGAAAAATATCACATTGAAGAGGAAATTAAGTGCACAATGAGGTAAACGTTGTTGCTAAGGCTTTGTTTACACAACTACCAGGTACTTTTATATTGATTGCCAAAAAAAGAAATTCCACCAAGAATGATTTAATTTCTAAATGATTTGATTTACGTATTTTTTATTTATTGTACTATAAGTGTAAATAAGAATTTTTCTGCAGAATTTTTATTATGTACCTAAAATTTTCCCAAAAATTTAGAGTAACTATTTTTGAGACAATTCTTGGGTGATCCCAATTCTTTTGTATGTAATTACATATATAATTCTTTCTATACGTATTTATTAAATTTTTTTTTCAAGAAATTGATTTAATTTTTTAGTTTTACAGAGATTTTAAAATTATAACCTCGAAAAAAATAGAAATATTAAATTTACTACAGAAATAAGTCTTACTAAAAGTAGATGATAGTTAATTTTATTATTATTTATCTTAAAATAAAAAAATTGATACATTTTTTACCGATACCTACCTTATCGACAGTAAATAATAGCAGAATTCATAATACTTGTCTTCCAAAAGGCAGAAAAACTACCTTACTTTCGTCAATTGTGCTTAATTTCACTGTTTTCTGTATTTAAATACAGTTTCGTTGCATTTAATTCCGATACCTACCTTACCGACAATCTATAACTGTAAAATTTATAATACTCGGCCCCTAATAGACAAAAAACTAGCTATTTGCCAATAATAGTTCATTTCGCTGCTACCACTTTTCAAATTCTATTTCAAATACCGATACCTACCATACCGACAGTCAATAACTGTTGAATTTTTAATATTTAGCCTCTAACAGATATAAACTTACTTTACTATTCGCCTATTGTAGTAAATTTCTTGTTATCTCTATTTGAATGCAGATTATCTGCATTTAATACCGATACCTACTTTACCGACAGTCAATAATAGTAGAATTCATAATACTTGGCCTCTAAGGACAGAATCTACATTACTATTCGTTGATTGGGACTAATTTCACGGTTTTCTCTCTTTAAATACAGATTCGCTGTATTTAATTCCGATACCTACCTTACCGACGATCAATAACTGTAGAATTTCTAATATTTAGCCTCTAATAGAAAGAAATTTACGTTACTATTAGTCTATTGTGGTTAATTTTATTGTCATCTCTATTTAAATACAGATTACCTACATTCAATACCGATACCTACTTTACCGACAGTCAATAATAGTAGATTTCATAATACTTAGCCTCTAAAACACTAAAATCTGTAGAAAATCCAAGAGCTCCACTTGCCATTGTCCCCAATTACAATTTTACACAGTAAGAAGTTTAGGTTCGGAGAGACTCAGTCGGTAAAACAGTTTTACTGTTACCTATTTGTATAATTGTGAACAATGGCAAGTGGAGCTTTTGGCTACCTATTAAATCTACCTAACAATTAGTTGATTGTGATTAATTTCACTGTTTGCTCTCTTTAAATACAGATTCGCTGCATTTAATTTCGATACCTACCTTACCGACGATCAATAACTGTAGATTTTATAATATTTTAGCTCTAATAGACTGAAATCTACTTAACTATCCGTCGATTGTGGTAAATAGTAAGGTAGTTTTATTTATACTAAATATTGGAGGTTAAATATTACAAATTCGGCAGTTATCGACTGTCGGTAAGGTAGGTATCGATATTGAATGTAGATAATCTGCATTAAAATAGAGGTAACGTTGAAGTTGAAATATCGCCAAATTCGTGACTTACCATTGTTCCCAGTATTACCTTTCTCCAAATACAGATTCGCTACATTCAATACCGATACCTACTTTACCGACTGTAAATAACAATCGAATTTATAGTACTGTTAATTTTACTATTGCATTTTTAAAAGTACAGATTAACTGAAAATTTCGACTTGTACTAATTTTTTGTCTATGAAATAAATGAAATACATTTACCACTGCAAGCTACGTTACCGACAGCCGCTAACAGTACTTTATGTCGACACCTACTTTATCGACAGCCAATAAGCACTAAGGTGTCTAGTTTACCTTCAGTCGATAAGCAGTCAGTGGTATGTCGCGTAAATCCCTACTTGACATTGACTACTAAGATCATGTAGTAACTATTAATTTTTTGTCAATTTCTACTTTATCGACAATCGATAATTAATTTTTACCATTAATAAGCGTAGTGTATATTTATTTGAACAGAATTTGCCAACAATCGGTAAAGTAGATTTCTAACACAATTTTTATGTAGAAAAAAACACATTTTTATCGGTAATTTTTTCCCCCAATAATTCTAGTTCGAGATTAGCCGGCAAGTCATTGGAATTAACGGGCATAATGGCGCCGCCCGAGCCAGTGACCCAAATGAACACTTACAGGTCCTTTGTGACCACATTAGCCGATCCAAATTCAAAGGACGAGGTAAAATTAAAAGCCGCACAAGAGCTATCGGAGAATTTTGAAGTAATAATGTGCTCCTCACAATATCCAGCATTTCTCGATCATATGATGAAAATATTTCTTAAAATCCTCCAAGAAGGTGAACCACATTTTATCTCTGAATATAATATTCAACAGGTTCGTAAATTAATTCTCGAAATGATTCATCGACTGCCAACCAATGAGTGCCTTCGACCATATGTAAAACAAATTCTCAGTTTAGTATTAAAACTCCTTGAAACTGAGAATGAGGAAAATATACTTGTTTGTTTGAGAATTATTATTGAACTTCATAAACAGTATAGGCCAACATTTAATCCTGATATTCAACATTTTCTTCAATTTGTCAAATCAATTTACAGTGAATTACCGAAGAATTTACCGAAAATTTTCGAACCACGACCAACGCTTGTTGTTAATGATTTGTCGGAAATAAATATTGATGCATTACTTAAGGAGACATTTACGATAACTGTGATACAGAGTGAGAAGAAATTACCGGATGGTACGGCAATAACTTATAATTTAATTCCAAAAGCTGTACTGTCGTTAAAAGTTCTGCAGGAATTGCCAATTATTGTTGTATTGATGTATCAGATTTATAAACTTAATGTACATCAGGATGTGTCGGATTTTATTCCATTGATTATGACAACAATTACGCTGCAACCGAGCCCACAGCATAGAGCGTCACCGGGTTTTAATAAGGAGGTGTTTGTCGATTTTATGGGAGCACAAATAAAGACATTGTCGTTTCTTGCCTACATTATAAGAATATATCAGGACGTTGTTTCGCAGCATAGTACAATGATGGTGCAAGGAATGCTGGGACTCTTGACACTCTGTCCAATGGAAGTTGCGCATCTACGAAAGGAACTTCTAATCGCTACGAGACATATTTTAGCCACCGATTTGAAGACAAAGTTCATACCCCACATGGAACATTTATTTAATGAGGAAATTCTCTTGGGCTTCGGTTGGACAACGCACGAATCTCTGAGACCTTTAGCTTACTCAACACTTGCCGATTTGGTCCATCATGTTCGAAAACAACTCCCACTTTCCGATCTGGCTAGAGCCGTTCATCTCTTCAGCAAAAACGTTCACGATCAAAGTCTCCCAACGACAATTCAAACCATGTCCTGTAAATTACTGTTGAACCTCGTCGAATGCATTACTCAACGTTCCGATTTCGAGAACAGTATCCAAGGACGAGAACTTCTAATGCGAATGCTAGAGGTATTCGTCCTTAAATTCAAGATCATCACCAAATTACAAATGCCCGTTTTGTTGAACAAAGCAAAAAGTGCGAACGCAGGACCGGAGATAAAAATCGAAGACGTAAAACCCGATTTCCAGGATGATCGCGATTGCGGAAAGTCGAAATTCGGTTTCCCCGCGTCACTAGTAGCGAACTATAATGTCGCGGACTATAGGAGTCTCGTGAAAACTTTGGTGTGCGGCGTAAAGACGATAACATGGGGTTGCGCTAATTGTAAATCAATAGAAGCCGTTCAACCCAAACAATTTCAACCCAAGGAAACTTTGGTCTTCATTCGTCTTGTTAAGTGGGCCCTACAGGCTCTTGATATCTACATGATTGGTCCACCAGGTGTGGGAGCGATCGCCCAACCGGCCAGAGTCGCTCAAACCCAAACCGTCCGCTCCAAGGAGGAGAAGGAGGTCCTCGAACACTTTAGCGGCGTATTTTCCATGATGAATCCACAAACATTTCAAGAAATCTTCTCCACAACTATCGATTACATGGTGGAGAGAATATTCAAAAACAGTGCCCTACAAGTGGTGGGGAATTCATTTCTAGCTAATCCGACGACATCACCTATTTTTGCCACCGTACTTGTTGAGTACCTGCTGGAAAGAATGAACGACATGGGATCTAATGTGGAGAGGAGTAATTTGTACTTGAGATTATTTAAACTTGTATTTGGTAGTGTTTCGCTATTTCCAGCGGAAAATGAACATATGCTACGACCGCATCTTCATCAAATAGTGAATCGATCGATGGAACTTGCTATGTCTGCAAAGGAGCCGTACAACTACTTTTTGCTACTTCGAGCACTGTTTAGATCTATTGGTGGTGGATCGCACGATCTTTTGTATCAGGAGTTTTTACCACTGCTTCCTAATTTACTGGAGAGTCTCAATAGACTCCAGTCTGGACTTCATAAACAACATATGAAGGATCTATTCGTCGAATTGTGTCTCACGGTTCCGGTGAGATTGAGTTCGTTGTTACCGTACTTACCAATGTTGATGGATCCCTTAGTTTCGGCACTTAACGGAAGTCACACTCTAGTCAGCCAAGGTTTAAGAACACTGGAATTGTGTGTCGATAATCTCCAACCGGATTTTCTGTACGAACACATTCAACCGGTTCGTGCCGATCTGATGCAGGCCTTGTGGCGAACTTTGCGTAATCCCACCGATCAAGTGGCTCATGTCGCTTTTCGAGTACTCGGCAAATTCGGCGGTGGTAACCGTAAAATGATGATAGAACCACAAAAATTGGAGTACAACGATCGTGATACGAATTCACCGACAATTGTCGCGTATTTCCAGGAGCCGTCGAAACCTATTGATTTTCCAGTTGAGCGGGTGATTGAAACGGCTTTCACGGCATTGAAGTCGAACACAACGGATTCGTTCTACAGAAAACAGTGTTGGGAGGTGATTAATTGTTATCTTGCAGCGTCACTAAGATTGGATGATGACAAAGCTACGCTGTATAAATTGTTCATGCATCCGCATTTCAAGGAGGGGAAAATACCGCATCAGCAGGGTCCGTTTTACAAAATAGGAGACGCGGTCGCTAGGAATGTACAACAAACGGCATTGACGGGACTATTCGTCGCCGCGGCTATCAAGGAACTTAGACCATCGGTTCTTGGGACAATGGTGTCTTACGTTAGGCATTACACGATGATCGCGATTGCACAGCAGGCTGGACCGTTCGCTGTCACCGGAAGACAGGCGCGATTGCACGGTCAGGACCCTCTGGTTCTGATCGACGCCCTTGCGGTCATCATGGGCCACGAGGAGAAGGAACTCTGCAAACCCGGACACCTAGCTCTTATTCTAATTCTAGAAACCGCGACCAACATTCTCGGCTCGAAGGAAAGAGCCTGCCAATTACCATTCATGGAATACCTCGCCGAGAGAATGTGCTCCCTCTGCTATGAAAGAGCTTGGTACGCGAAACTCGGCGGATGCATCGCCATCAAATTCCTCTTCGAACGAATGGCGACAAAATGGGTCCTCAACCATCTATTCATCTTCCTCAAAGCCCTCATGTTCGTCATGATGGATCTCACCGGCGAAGTCTCCAATGGCGCAATCGACATGGCTAAAGCCAACCTCGAAAAAATGCTCCGCGTTTGCGTCAATCCAGGAATTCAGGAGCTGAACCAAGAACTCAAGGAAGCGCAAAACAAGAGCCTCTATGAAGTAACCCACGAACTGGTTCGTCAGGTCACGTCCCCCCACACTCTGGTGAGGGAACAAGCCATGTCCTCCCTAAAACTCCTCGCCGACGTGCAAAACAAAACCGTCACCGAAGTAATGGAACCGCACAAAGAAGTCCTCGCCGATATGATCCCACCAAAGAAACACCTCCTTAGGCATCAACCCGCAAACGCCCAGATCGGACTAATGGACGGAAATACCTTCTGTACGACATTAACACCCCGACTATTCACCATAGATCTCAACGTTATGGAGCACAAAGTCTTCTTCCAGGAACTCCACAATCTAAGCGAAGCCGAAGATACCCTTCTGAGCAAGCTCCCCTGTTACAAATCCGTCACAAATTTTATCCCCCTGAAGAAATCCGCCCTTCGCGCCCTCGCTGCTTGTCACTACATCACCGCTTACCGCGAGAAAATATTCTCCATCCTCTACAAAGCTCTAGAAAAACCCAACGCTGAACTCCAAGCCGCCGCTTTCGAATGCATGCAGAAATTCATCGCCGGTTTTCAAATCGATATGGAATTGGTTCATTCAATAATGCGACCAATGCTCCTAACACTCGGCGATCATCGCAACTTAAGTTTGAACTGCGCGAAAAGACTCTCGTACCTAACTCAACTATTCCCGAGTACGTTCAGCATCACCCTTTGTGAACAATTGCTTCAGCATTTAAAAAAGTTACTGGAAAATCTCAACCAAGCGCACAAGGGTGTATCCAAATCGGGCGAAAACGAACAGAAGATCGCCACAATTATAGGGATCTTCCATCAGATTCCGGCCGCGACACCAAAGTTTATTGACGCACTCTGTAGACTTGTGTTACAAACCGAAAAATCATTACTCGTCGAAGCTTCTAGTCCATTTCGAGTACCACTAATGAGATTCCTGCTGCGTTATCCATCCGAGACGTTGAACCTCTTCCTACAGGATAACAACATCAAAGATCAACAGTGGAGTCGTTTTCTCGAATTTTTGCTGAAGCATAAAGAGGGTAAACCATTCCGCGACGTTCTACACGGGAGTACGAATCGACTAATAACGATGCTTTTGGCCCAGACGCAGATAATAACAACTTTGAGTACCGCCGAAAAGGGTGAACTACAACATCAAGCTATAAGAATTGTTTCAATACTGATAAAATTCGACGAACAGTGGTTACCAACCCAAACGCAATTGGTAGCAGCAATGAAGAAAATTTGGTGCAATGATGATTATCAATCGCTTCATAAGAAGGTGGACAGTGTTGATTTCTGTCACTGGAAGGAACCGAAATTAGTCGTGAAAATTCTACTCCATTACTTTAAACACGATCCAAATAATGTCGATCTACTTTTTCAATTACTACGCGCATTTTGTGATCGCTTCATTCCTGATTTTCAATTTCTTCGTGACTTTTTAGAGAATACGGTAGCGCAAGACTATACCGTCGAATGGAAGAGAACTGCCTTCTTCCGCTTTGTGGATCATTTCCCAACGAATAATATGTCACAGGAATTAAAGGCGAAAGTAATGCAGTTCATCATAATACCATGTTTCGCGACTAGTTTCGAGAGAGGTGAGGGTTTGAAATTAGTTGGGAGTGCACCGATGCCATATCAGGATAATCCAAATAATGTTGTTTCGGCATTCATCACAAAAATTATTGATCCGGAAAATTTATTTGGTTCGGCAGATTGTGTGAGAATTTCTTTATTACAATTCTCGTGTTTATTGGTTGAACAGGCTTCACAACATATTCATGATGCAACGAACAAACGACAGAATGATAAATTGAGGAAATTGATGACATTCGCTTGGCCTTGTTTATTGGGGAAGAATTGTGTTGATCCAGCGACACGTTATCATGGTCATTTGTTGTTGAGTCATATTATTGCGAAATTCGCAATTCACAAGAGAATTGTACTTCAGGTGTTTCATAGTCTGTTGAAGGCGCACGCAGTTGAGGCGCGAAGTGTTGTACGGCAGGCTTTGGAAATTTTAACACCGGCAATGCCTGTGAGAATGGAGGATGGTAATACGATGCTCACCCATTGGACGAAGAAGATTATTGTCGAGGAGGGGCACTCCATGCAGCAGTTGTTCCACATCCTGCAACTTGTTGTGCGGCACTATAAGGTATGTAAATTATTTCTAATTGTCGAATTTGTCTCAATTGGTTTGAAAGATTTAGTTTCAAGGGAAGAATTAGAAGAAGCTTTAGGGGGGTTGAAAAGATAAATCCAGTTGATGATAATTTAGTCCGAATTGCGTGCGGAAATCCAGGTATGATTCTTTTTTGATCGAATTACGTCCTAGTAGACTTTATTGTTCATAGACATCATGAAAACAATTATATTCTTTCAAATCTAATGCCAGAAGGTTTATTGCTAAAGGGTCCCCAAAGTAATTCAGGTTTTATGTCTGGAATCGAAAATTTGCATTAGGTTCCCCATTTATTGTCATTACCGAAACGAACTCTATACGCAATTCGTGTTCATTCCTCTTCACAAATGAAATATTCACAAACCGCAATTTCTCTCCCATAGGTTTATTATCCAGTTCGTCATCATTTGGTCCAACATATGGTGAATTCGATCCAACGTCTGGGCTTCAGTCCAACCGCGTCTATCGAACATAGGCGACTCGCGGTTGAACTCGCGGAAGTGATAATCAAATGGGAATTGCATAGAATTAAGGACGAGGCGGAGAATCAGGAAACGGGCGGTACGGGAACAATGATAGTGCCAATGAAACGTTTATCCATTGACGAAGCTAGTGTATCGAAACGATTAGCTCAGGGTGTTAATTCCCCGGTGCCGACCGTTGCCCCAAAAATAGAACCCGGAGCAACAAAACCCATCGAACGTGCCCATGCGGACGCGATTCTTAATTTCCTCCTACGATTGGCGTGCCAGGTGAATGACACCACGACAACAACAGCGCAGGGTAATCCCGGTGAACAATTATCGCGACGTTGTGTTAACTTGTTAAAAATGGCCCTAAAACCGGACGTTTGGCCACAGTCGTGTGATCTCAAATTAGCGTGGTTAGACAAAGTGTTCGCGAGTGTCGATAATACGCAGCCGAATTTCGGGAATATTTGCACAGCCCTGGAATTATTGACCTTCCTCCTGGGTGTCATGAAACGCGAACAAGTTTTAGCGGGTTTCAAACCATTGCAACGTGGATTGGGTGCTTGTATAGCGAGCACAAATACCAAAGTGATACGATTAGTTCATGGACTTTTATCGAGATTGATGACAATTTTCCCCACTGAACCTACTGCTTCGACAGTTGCTAGTAAATACGAGGAACTCGATACACTTTACAGTACTGTTGGGAAATTCGTAGCTGATGGTTTGAATACTTATGACAAAAATGCAACAGCAACGCCGAGTTCATTGTTTGGAACTTTGATGATGTTAAAGGCGGCTTGCACGAATAATCAGAATTACATCGATAGGCTAATTACTCCATTTATGAAAGTTCTGCACCGAATGGCCAAGGATCATTTACATCCGACTCCGACCGAAACAAATCAGATTGGTAGCGAACTTTTGATTTTGAGTTTAGATCTTGTGAAGAATCGTGTAGGAGTAATGGGTGTAGAAATGCGGAAATCGTTTATCGGATCAATACTCGTGGGTCTCATTGAAAAGACCCAAGATATCAAGGTTATGAAAGCAATAACAAAAATGCTTGAAGAATGGATGAAGAATAAGAATCCGATAGCTATGAACCAGACTCCAAGTTTGAGGGAGAAATCGATTTTACTTGTGAAGATGATGCAGTATGTGGAGAAACGTTTTCCGGATGATTTAGAACTTAATGGACAGTTCCTCGAATTGGTGAACTTTGTCTATAGGGACGATACTCTTAAGTCTTCGGAACTAACGTCGAAACTAGAACCCGCATTCCTTTGCGGTTTGAGATGCATTCAGCCACATATTCGTGCAAAGTTCTTCGAGGTTTTTGATGGTTCTATGAAACGACGTCTACATGATCGGTTACTTTATATTATCTGTAGTCAAAGTTGGGACGCGATGGGTCCTCACTATTGGATCAAGCAGTGTATTGAGCTTTTGATCGTCACCGCGAATTCGACGACTCATATCCAAATGTCGAATCAAGATATCCTGTTACCAAGTGCAACGGCATTGATAAATATGTCCGACGGTGAGGAGCAGAAGAATTTCCTGATGTACACGAGTGTTAAGGAGGAACCATTGGACATTAACGACGATGTCAAGGACGATCTTATGGATTTAGATTTGTCTAATGTGGAAACAGGAACGGAGGAAATTGAAGCTGGAAGGAAATCGTCATTGGCTCAACTAATTGCAAAGCAGGGAGATTTTCTCGAAGGGGCGAAAAAGATTCGGACTGAGGAATTATTGAACGCGGCGGCACAACTTTGTCATATGGACACAAACCTTGCGGAGCAGGTCTGGTTAGATACGTTCCCACGTTTGTGGGCCATACTCGATGAACATCAACAAAATACCCTAATTGCGGAAATGGTTCCCTTTATCTGCAGCGGCACTCATGTGATCCAGAAAGACTGTCATCCGAGCGCGATCGCAACTTTTGTTGAAGCACTCGCGCACTGTAATCCCCCGGTACCAATGAGACCCGCAGTGATGAAATATCTTGGGAAATCGCACAATCTCTGGCACAGGATGACACTCAGCCTGGAGCAAATGGCCTTTGACAATGGTAACAATCAGTTTAAAATCAAAAGAGAATCGGACTGTTATGACTTCGAACCGGATAACAGTCCCCATACGGAGATTCTCGATTCCCTGTCAGACATGTATTCCCTATTGTGTGAAGAAGATATGTGGTCTGGTTTATGGCAGAAGCACGCCCATTACAAGGAGACACTACAAGCGACCGCTTTGGAACAACAAGGATTTTTCGAACAAGCCCAAGGAGCGTACGATCTAGCAATGTCGAAATTTAAACAGGATTTCGTCACCACTCCAGCGCCTTTCAAAATCCAAAGAGAGTCGATACTTTGGGAGCAACGTTGGATCCGTTGCGCGAAGGAACTAAACCAATGGGATTTACTGCTCGAATATGGAACCCGAAAGACCGAGAAGAATCCATTTTTAATTCTGGAGAGTTCCTGGCGAATACCGAATTGGCCCCTGATGAAAGAGGCACTAGCCCAGGTGGAGCAAAACTGCCCCAAGGAAATGGCATGGAAGGTGAATCTCTACAGAGGTTTTTTGGTGATCTGCCATAATGATGATCAACATCTAAGTGCTGTCGAAAGATACGTAGAGTTAGCGTCCGGTCTGTGTATGCGAGAGTGGCGACGTCTTCCCCACATTGTCAGTCACATTCATCTCCCGCTTTTGCAAGCCGCCCAACAGATTATGGAGTTGCAGGAAGCGATGCAAATCCACCAAGGCCTAATTCACGGACGTAGTAATTCGGTTCACGATATGAAGGCAATAGTGAAGACTTGGCGTAATCGTCTACCGGTAATTGCCGACGATCTAAGTCATTGGTCCGATATATTCACTTGGCGTCAGCATCACTATACGTTCGTGTCGAATCACTATGATTCGCAACCCGAACAAACGACGAATCATTCCATGTTGGGTGTTCATGCCTCCGCGCAGGCAATCATCCACTTTGGTAAAATCGCCCGTAAACATAATCTGTGCGGAGTGTGTTTGGATTCCCTCTCGCGAATTTATACAATCCCGAGTGTACCGATCGTCGACTGTTTTCAAAAGATTCGACAACAGGTGAAGTGTTACCTCCAGATGGCGTCAATAACCGGTAAAAACGAACTTCAAGAGGGTTTGGAAGTAATCGAATCCACGAATCTAAAGTACTTCACCAAGGAAATGACGGCTGAATTCTATTCCCTAAAGGGAATGTTGTTAGCCCAATTGGGACGATCCGACGACGCTAATAAGGCATTCTCCGCCGCGGTTCAACTATCAGACACTTCGATAAAAGCCTGGGCTTTATGGGGCGATTATCTAGAGCATATCTTCACCAGGGACGCGAGACAAATACCAATAGGAGTATCCGCGATAACTTGTTTCCTCCACGCCAGTCGTCATCAAAACGAATCCAAGTCCCGCAAGAATTTAGCAAAAGTCCTATGGTTACTAACCTATGACGACGATAAATCGTCACTAATGGAAGCAGTGGACAAATACGCCGTGGGTGTACCTCCCATTCAATGGCTGCCCTGGATTCCGCAACTGTTGATGTGTCTTGTACGACACGAGGGCAACGTGATTCTAAATCTCTTGAGCCAAGTTGGTCGAATGTTTCCCCAAGCTGTTTATTTCTCCATTCGAACACTCTACCTAACATTGAAGATAGAACAACGTGAACGCTATAAGAGCGCGGAACTTGCCGCAGGTAAGGCGCAAGACGGCGCCGAAGGTAGAGCAAACGTTCAACAGCAAGGAGCACCAGAAACAGGACCAATTAGAGCAACACTACCAATGTGGCGTTGTTCGAAAATTATGCACATGCAACGTGATATTCATCCAACAATTCTGTCGAGTTTAGAGGGTATTGTCGATCAAATGGTATGGTTCCGTGAAACGTGGTACGAGGAAGTTTTACGACAATTAAGACAAGGTTTGACAAAATGTTACGCGATTGCTTTTGAAAATCGTGGAGCTGTTAGTGAGGCGACAATAACGCCTCATACATTGAATTTTGTCAAGAAATTAGTATCGACATTTGGAATTGGAATTGAGAATATTTCGTCGTCACAGAATGTGAATAATAGCTTTGGCTCAGCGGCATCAGAGTCGCTTGCTCGACGGGCACAGGCAACTGTTCAGGATCCAGTGTTTCAACGAATGAAAGGACAGTTCACGAGTGACTTTGATTTCACTGTTCCCGGCGCGAGGCTTTTGCATAATCTCATCAATAAATTGAAGAAATGGATTAAAATTTTGGAGGCCAAGACGAAATTGCTGCCAAAGTGAGTTTTATTGTCGATATTAGTTATTTATTCTTTTCATCTCTTAGTAAATGCTTTTATTTCTTTTTTCGATTTTTTTAAATCTTTTGTTGTTTGAATTTGTAATGATTCTGAAACTGAATTTTGACTTTGTTATATTCCTCAATTCCTAAAGATCCTAAACTAACGTTACATTTCAGATCGTTCCTAATTGAGGAAAAGTGCCGTTTTCTCAGTAATTTTAGTCTGAAGACGGCGGAGGTCGAACTGCCAGGGGAATTTCTACTTCCAAAGGTAATTTTTAAAAATTCTTTATGTTCTTTGTTCTATGTCGACTCGATTATCTCCGAAAGTATTTAATATAGAGTCACGGCCCTAGAGACTTTTTTGTTCCTTTTTTTATGGTGAACAATTTTGTCTCTAGGTTGCTTTCTCGGTCGGTAACCGTTTTTGATAGTTTCGCTAAAAAATATTTTATATCTACGTTTAGGAAGCAGGCTATGTCGGGTCGATTATCTCAAAAAGTATTTAATATAGAGTCATGGCCCTAGAGACTTTTTTGTTCCTTTTTTATGGTGAACAATTTTGTCTCTAGGTTGCTTTCTCGGTCGGTAACCGTTTTTGACAGTTTCGCTAAAAAATACTTTATATCTACGTTTAGGAAGCAGGCTATGTCGGGTAGATTATCTCCGAAAGTATTTAATATGGAGTCATGCCCCTAGAGACTTTTTTGTTCCATAATTTATAGAGAACAATTTTGTCTCTAGGCAGCTTTTTCTGTAGGTTACAGTTTTCGAGATTTTTGATAAAAACGACTACGTGCGCTTTTAGGGAAGCAAACGGTCTATGTCGATTCGATTATCTTCAAAAGTATTTAATATGGAGTCATGTTCCTAGAGATTTTATTGTACTTTACTTTATGCAGAACAATTTTGTGTCCAGCCAGTTTTCTCTATCGTTAAATGTTTTCGAGATGTTTGCTAAAAAAGACTACATCCGAGTTTAGTGAAGCGAACTGTCTATGTCGACTCAAATATTTCTAATAGTATTTAATATGAAGTCACATCTCCAGAGACTTTTTTCTTCCATAATTCATAAAGAACAATTTTGTCTCTAGACAGCTTTCTTTATATGTTAACGGTTTCGAGATTTTTGCTAAAAAAGACTTTATATCCGTGTTAAGGGAGCCAACAGTCTATGTCGGTTCGATTATCTCCGAAAGTATTTAATATGGAGTCACGTCCCCAGAGACTTTTTTGTTCCTTACTTTATGGTGAACAATTTTGTCTCTAGGCACTTTTTCTCGGTCGGTAACCGTTTTTGATATTTTTGCTAAAAAATACTTTATATCCACGTTTAGGAAGCAGGCTATGTCGGGTTGATTATCTCTGAAAGTATTTAATATGTAGTCACGTCCCCAGAGACTTTTTTGTTCCTTATTTTATGGAGAACAATGTTGTTTCTAGCCAGCTTCCTCTACCGGCAACAGTTTTTCAAATTTTTGCTAAATAATAATTTACATCCACGTTTAGGTAGCGTTCGCTCTATGTCGGGTCGATTATCTCAAAAAGTATTTAATATAGAGTCACGGCCCTAGAGACTTTTTTGTTCTTTTTTTATGCTGAACAATTTTGTCTGTAGGTTGCTTTCTCGGTCGGTAACCGTTTTTGATAGTTTCGCTAAAAAATACTTTATATCTACGTTTAGGAAGCAGGCTATGTCGGGTCGATTATCTCAAAAAGTATTTAATATGGAGTCACGTCGCCAGAGACTTTTTTGTTCCTTACTTTATGGAGAACAATGTTGTCTCTAGCCAGCTTCCTCTATCGGTAACCGTTTTTGAGATTTTCGACAAAAAAGCGATATCCACATTTGGGGATGCAAACCGAGCAATTAAAAACCTTTTTCTTTCTCGCCTATCTAGCACTCGCACTATTACGTAAGAATAGCGAGATTCATGCCAAGAGTGGAGGTAGTTCAGAGGCACAACACGGCCGCTAGACGATTGAGAATTCGCGGTCACAATGGACGTCTCTATCCCTATTTGGTGGTGAACGACGCTGGCCTGGGCGATGCAAGACGCGAGGAACGCGTTCTACAATTGCTACGAATGCTGAACCACTATCTCACAAGGCAAAAGGAAACTTCCCGGAGATTTTTGCATTTCACCGTTCCAAGAGTGGTTGCCGTCTCGCCGCAAATGCGACTAGTCGAAGATAATCCCGCGTCAGTTTCCTTGCTCGACATCTATAAGCAGGGTTGCACGAAAATGGGAATCGAACACGATGCGCCGATTGCACGCTATTATGATAGATTGGCAACGGTGCAAGCGCGTGGTACCCAAGCGAGTCATCAAGTGCTGCGCGACATTTTGCGCGAAGTACAAACAACAATGGTGCCACGAACATTGCTGAGGGATTGGGCATTGAAGACTTTTCCTGCAGCTACGGATTATTGGACCTTTAGAAAAATGGTACGTTCACTCTTTCGTTGGTTACTTGTAAAGTTATGTGAGAAGAAGAAATTCTAATCGTATTAGAATGAGAAGTTCTTTTGTTTGCTAATTTTTGTACTTTACAGTTTACGCTGCAACTTTCGTTGGCGTGTTTCGCGGAGTATGTTTTACACTTGACGAGACTGAATCCGGACATGATGTACGTCCATCAGGACTCGGGGCTTATTAATGTGGCCTACTTCAAGTTTGACGTGGACGACAATAAAGGCGAATTGGACGCTAATCGTCCGGTTCCATTCCGATTGACGCCCAATATCTTGGAATTCTTGACAAATACAGGTTAATATTTATCGAATATTTATATTCACTACTTTTATTTTTCTTATCTGCGTGTTTTGAAACGAGATTTAAATTACAAACACTCTCTCCACTTGAGAACGCCAAGTACGCCACTAGGTGGCGACGAATCTGATTTTATCAACCCAACTGCCATCTAGCGGTGACCTTGGCTTATAAATTCGCTAATAGTTGAAATAAAAATATTAATTTTAATAATAATTTCATTTAATTAATTTAAAAAATTTAATAAAACTTCTTTAAAGCGATTCAATTATTTTCAAAAAATTGTTGAAATTATTATTATTTATTTTCAATTTTGAATACAAATCTTAATATAATTCCAAAAGAGAATTTTAATGAAATACTTCGCAAATATTCAATTATTTTCATAAATATTAAAATTTTCCACGAAAATTCAATTATTTTCATCAATAATAAAATTTTTCAGGAGAATTCAATTGTTTAAAAAAAATTTGATTAAAATTAAAGCAAGAATTGAATTATTTTCGTAGATGATAAAATTGTTCACAAAATTTCAATTATTTACAAAGAATTGAATAAAATTATTCGCAAGAATTCATTAAGTTTCATAAATAATAAAAATTTTCACAGAAAATCAATTATTTAAAAAAATTTGAATAAAATTCTTCACAAGAATTCAATTATTTTCAAAAAAAAATATAATTTTTCTCAAGAATTCAATTATTTTGAAAATATTTAAATAAAATTCTTCGTAAGAATTGAATTATTTTCGTAGCTAATAAAATTCTTTACATGAATTCAATTATTTTCATTAATAATAAATTTTTTCACGAGAATTCAATTATTTAGAAAAATAATAAATAAGATTCTTCTCAAGAATTCAATTATTTTCTCAAATTATAAAATTCTCCACAATTCAAGTATTTAAATAAATTTTCATAAAATTCTTCCCAAGAATTCAATTATTTCCATCAATTATAATTGGAATAAAATTCTTCACAGGAATTCAATTATTTAAAAAAAATTGGAATACAATTCTTCACCAAAATTCAATTATTTTCATTAATAATAAAATTTTTTTACCAGAATTCAATTATTTAGAAAAAAATTAAATAAAATTTTTCTCAAGAATTCAATTATTTTGAAAAGAATTAAATAAAATTCTGCTCAAGAATTCAATTATTTTCCCAAATTATAAAATTCTTTACTAGAATTCAATTATTTAAATAAATTTTCATAATAATCTTCACATGATTTCAATTATTTTCCTAAAAAATATAATTTTTCACGAGAATTCAATTATTTTGAAAAAAAATTCTTCGCAAGAATTCAATTATTTCTTCAAATATTAAAATTCTTCACAGCATTTCAATAATTTAGAAAAAAAATTGAATACCTTCACCGGAATTAATTTTTTTTTCATCAATAATAAAATTTTTCTCTAGAATTCAATGATTTAAATATAGTTTGAATAAAACTCTTCACAAAAATTCAATTATTTCTGTCAAGATTAATTACTTTTTTTAAGAGAATTCAATTATTTAGAAAAAATTTTAAATAAAATTCTTTTCGCAAGAATTGAATTATTTTCGTAAATATTAAAACTCTTGGCAAGAAATTCAATTCTTTTCATAAATAATAAAATTCTTCTTAGAAATTCAAGAATTTTTTAAAATTTAGATAAAATACTTTTATAAGAATTAAAGTTTTAGAACTATTCAATTGTTTAATAACTTATTTGATTTTTATATTTAAATAATTGAATTTTAGTTTGAATTTTATATTTTTATTTAAAATTTAAATTTTAATTGTTGTAAGACTGCAATAATGTTGAAAATTTTAATTTAAAAAAATTATTAATTTATTATTTATTCCTAAAGAAATGATTAAAGTTTTAAATATTTTTTTTTTTAAAACTTCAACAACAAAAAATTGAAGTCAAATTTATCAAATTATATTTTTCGATAGCTACTTTTTTCACTCTTAATGAGTGAAAAAACTTTTTTCTTATTTTCTACTTTTTTCAAATTAATTATCGAATGTGAAGCCTGTAATTATTTATTTATTATTATTTTTCTTTTTACAACACAATAAAGAAAAATGAGTAGAAAATAAAAATAATTTTCTTTATTTTTAAATTCGAAATAGAAATAAAATTGTTTAAAAATTTTTTTTTTAATATATAGAAAATTCTAAATAAAAGGAAATAATAATTTTTATTTTCAAACAGGTGTTTCGGGTCCATTGACGGCGTGCGCAATAGCGACAGCGCGATGCCTCGTTCAACCTTCATTCAAGGTTCACGCAATTTTAAGGGCAATATTGCGCGACGAGGTGATCGCCGATCACAATAAGAAGCAGGACGATCCTGAGAATGCAGCGCAAACGCCAACCGACATGGAGGGTGAACTGTTAATTACAATGGTGACAAGAGCTGTCACGGCAATTATATCAAGACTGAATTCGTTGGCTAATTTTGATGGCACTGACAGTAAAGTCAGTACATTGGTTGCCGCTGCCAATAGTCACGACAATCTCTGCCGAATGGATCCATCCTGGCATCCCTGGCTGTAAATTTATATTCCAAATTATCAATTTTAATCATTCATCTGGAGAGAAACGAGAAAAGCAAAATATCCGGTAAATTAACAAAAAAATAATTTTTTTTTAAATTTCTTTTCCTTTGATTCTGTTTTTTTCATTGAAAATAATTTTTCTAAAGGGAGGAGAGGATTTTTTTCTCGAACAAAAACTAAAAACAATATTTTATTCCTTGAAGTTGAAAGTTTGTCTAGAAAATGTGAATCGATTTTTTTGGATTGATTTTGTAAAGAAAATATTAAAAAAGAAAACCGTTTTCTCCTCCCATTTGAAAATTATCATTTTTCTTCTTTTTATTTAAGAAGAAAAATTTAATTTTCATTTTCAAATTAAAGTGGAAAGAAAATTATCCGAATATAATAATTTAATAAAAATAGTGATAAATTTTCCTTTTTCTTGAAGTGACTGTACATTTTTGAAAATGTATTTTTTTTCTTGCTATTTTTCTCTAAAAATGTAAAAAAAAATTTCCGCTGCTATATAAAGAAAACTTGTAAATATTGTAATTTTTTTCTCTCTTTCTTCATAATTTGGCGAAACGAAATTCGATTGTACAGACGGAAAGTAAAATGAAAAAAGTTGCGTTTTAATGAAAGAAAGAAAGAAAGAAAGAAAAAAACAAGTAGCGGATCTTAAACAAAAAATTAATTTATCCGTAAACTTAAAAATTAATTTTAAATACAATTCGTATAATTAAATTAGAAAACAAAAAAAAGTGATAAAATAATTGGTTTAATATTAGAAAATTAAATAAATTAATAATTAATTTCTATGAATAAGAAAAGAAATAAATTTTTTTTTCACAAATTCAGAATAATTTTTTTATTTTTCTTCTGTCTACTAATGTGTGTACGGAGTTTGAAAATTCTGTATAAATTATATGATCGTAAATTATTTAAGAGAACAAAAGGAAAAAAAAACAATTTAGATTTTAAGATATATACAATTTATTGTAGAAAAAGTATCGTAAATTATATAAAAGACGATAAGTGTAGAATAAAAAATTTTTTCTAAAAAAAAAGATCGTTTAATGAATTATTAATTAAATTAATTAATTTTAAATTAAATTAGTTAATTTTTAATTAAAATAAATAAGTAATTTTCAGTTTTACATAAACAATTGAAATTCTATTTTAACAAAAAACAAACTTTAACGCAATTCTTTAAAAGAATTCAATTATTTTTAAAATTAACAAAATTCTTTTCAGAAATTCAATTATTTTCAAAAATTGTAAAAAAAAATTCTCGTCAATATTTCAACTATTTTTATAAATAAGTAGCAAAATTATTAGAAAAAATTCAATTGTTTTTGGAAATTTTAATAAAATTCATTGAAAATTCCAATTATTTTCATAAATAACTATATTCATCAGAAGAATTCAATTATTTTGAAAATTAATAAAATTCTTCGCAGAAATTCAATTATTTTAAAAACATTTTTAAAAAATTGTCAATATTTCAATTATCTTTATAAGTAAATAGCAAAATTCTTCTATAAAATTCAATTATTTTTAGAAATTTTAATAAAATCCATTGCAAAATTCAATTATTTTCAGGAACTTTAATAAAATCCATTGCAAAATTCAATTATTTTTATAAATAACAATATTCATCACAAGAATTAAAATATTTTGAAAATTATAAAAAATTCTTATCAGAAATTCAATTATTAAAAAAAAATTAATAAAAATTGTCAATATTTCAATTATCTTTATTAATAAATAGCAAAATTCTTAGACAAAATTCAATTATATTTAGAAATTTTAATAAAATTCATTGCGAATTTCAATTATTTTTGTAAAAAAGAATATTCATCACAAAAATTCAATTATTTTGAAAAATAATTAAATTCTTCGTAGAAATTTAATTATTTTAAATAAATTGTCAACATTTCAATTATTTTTAGGATTTTTAATAAAATTCATTTGAAAAATGCAATTATTTTCATGAATAACAATATTCATCAGAAGAATTTAATTATTTTAAAAATTAATTAAATTCTTCTGAGTAATTCAATTATTTAAAAAAAAAACTAAAATAATTTCTCAATATTTAAATTATTTTTATAAATAAATAGCAAATTTCTTCTACAAAATTCAATTATTTTCAGGAATTTTAATGAATAAATTTCTGTTTTACAAAAACAATTGAAATTGCATCACAATTTTTTTATTCTGTTTATTAATATTTTACTTCTTTTCAACAGTTTTTTAGTTTTTATTTTTTGAAATTTTTTCTTTAATTTATTTTAAAATTTTCTATTTATTTATTATTTTAATATTTTATTTAAATTTACTTTATTTTATGTTTTTTGATTGTTTTTTTGTTTTATTATTGTTTTATTTTTATTACTTTCTTCAATCTGTTTATTATTATTTTATTAATATATTTATTATTATTATTACTTTATTATTTTTTGTTCACTTTACTTTTTAAAAAATTTTTATTATTTACTTTTTAGCTTTAATTAAGTTTATCACTTTTATTCTTATTAATATTTATTTTTATTATTAATATTGCTTTTTAGTAATTAATATTCATTTTTATCATTTATTTTAATTTTAATTTTTTATTCTGTAAAATAATTTTTTTCTTACCATTTTGGAAATTATTTTTATGTAGGTATTTATTTACACGGGCCGTAAATTTTTGTAATTTTTTTTCTTTCCCACAAATTTATATAATGTTCATTTGTTTTTTTTTTAAATTATTTTTCAATGAAAATAACCAAAAAATTTTAAGTTTCAGGATAAAAAGATATTTTTCTTTTTTTTTGGCAAAATGTCGAAAATTTTACAGAATAAAAAATTGTTTCCAATTATCATGGGAAATGTGAGAAATTTCTACTGTAAAATAAAACCGCCAATTGTTGGTCCACATCCAAGAGAAGTAAGTTTTTTTTCAAATATTTTTCTCTCTAAAAAAAAATAATAAATTTCAATAATTTTTTTCTTTTACAATTAATTAATTAATTTTTTTTTGCTTTTTTCTTTTCAAGTCTCTTCCCTTCAATCAAAGTAATTTCAATAATTTTACCATTGGATTCGCATTATTTATAATACCACAATTTTATTTGACATTCTATGCAATTCATTTTCTCAAGAAAAAGGATTAATATGTGAGGCGAGGAAAAAAAATCCGGATGTGATTAGTATTTTTGAAAATTAATTTTTCTCCTATTTTACTTCATTAGATTGAAAATAAAATAAAAATCAAATAAAATTTAAAAAAAAAACTAAATTCTAATTTATTATTTTTTTCGCCTTTCAGTATTTTTAATTATTATAATTTTTATATTAAATTTTTACTAACAAAAATTACAATAATAAAAAATTATTTATTATTTCTAATTATTTATTAAAATTTTTATTAAATTTTCACTAAACAAAATTACAATAATCGAAAATTATTTCTAATTATTTATTAAAATTTTTATTTTATAATTTTTATTAAATTTTCACTAATAAAAATTACAATAATCAAAAATTATTTACTATTTCTAATTATTTATTAAAATATTTTAGTACTTTTTCTCTAATTTGACTGAAAGAGAATTTAAATTTAAGCGCCACTCTCTGACCAATAGAAAATCGTCTTTCTTTTTGGACAAAAAATCTTATTGGTCGTTCGTCGCCATGGTCGCCATTTTGAAACTTCACGAAGAGAAGATTAGATGGGAACTCGCCTTGACATTGTGTAAACAATATTTTGAAGTTTATATTACTAGCGCAGTCGACGGCCGCAAGCGGCCGTCTCCTTCGCTCTTATGCTATTGCTCAATTCAGTTCACTGCCTGATTTTCAATTATAATTTCTTTTTCTCAATTTAATTCGCTGCTAGATTTTCAATCATAATTTTTTATGATATTTTATTTGTATGTTTCTGTTATGTTCAATGTAAAGACATAAAAGAGCTTATTGTGGACATAGCCTAAGGGCGCTTGCACACTTCCAAAATTTTGGGCGAGCAGCGAATTTTCATGGCCTTGAAACTCATATTACTAAATATGATTAGCTCTACAAAAAGCTGCGTGAAAATGTACTTTGTCAGAGCCAATCATATTTAATAATATGAGTTTCAAGGCCATGAAAAGTCGCTGCTAGCCCAAAATTTTGGAAGTGTGCAAGCGCCTTTAGAGACTCGATAACAGCAAGAATAAATAGCGCCAGCGAACCAGGCTCGTTTACCATATAAATACAAAGCGTAAAGGCGCTTGCACAGCTCTATTGCCTGCTTGCAGGTTGTCATTGTCCAAATAAGAGTAAGAGAGTCAGAAAATTCAAGTAAAATGTTTTTCTCTCTTGCTCTCATTGCGCCTGCCTGAGCAGGCAGTAGAGCTGTGCGAACGCCTTTAAACAGAAAGCTGAATTACATGAGAGTGAAAAATATAATTCTGTCGACACTCTCTTTTACTCACAAAATTCTTCTTTTGGTTTTACGCTTTCTGCTTAGGGTGCATTTATTTGTCAGATTCTAAGTAATTGCACATTCTGCTTATAAATTTAAATACTTTGAATTAGTCAAAATTCGTTATTTTTTCATTTGTATATTAAATTTATACTCTATTTGAGCACTGTCAGAATCAACGTGACAATGATTAAAGTAATCAAATATCACGTCATTCTCATCATTCAGTGCTTAAGAAATAAAAAGGACAGTCTGGTAAAGGCTATTATTCTTCGTAAAAGACAAATTCAGTTTTAGGACAATTAGTCAATCGTACCATTTAATTTTTTATTAAAAAATTTTTATTTCTAGAAGGCTGAAGCTAAATTAATCATAGATTTCTTTAAAAACAAAATTTTTAACAATATTTGATTGCCGTTGATCTCCTAAGTATATTCTTACTGAGTCCCATGAACGAACACGTGATAACGCAACATAAAATTGACCATGATTAAAAACGTCTCGTCTGAGATCTATTCCAATTTTTTCAAAAGTTTGACCCTGAGATTTGTTGATTGTCATTGCGAAAGCTATTTTTATTGGAAATTGTCTGCGTCCAAACTGGAAAGGGTACCGATCATCACTGTATAAAGTTATTCGATTTATGAAAACAATTTTACCAAATTTATCTCCGTCAGTTAAAATTTTACATTTTAATAAATGATTTTGTAATTCTAAAATTTGGAGTCGTGTTCCATTACATAATCCTTCATTAATTGAAAGATTTCTAATTAACATGACAACTGTATTAACTCTTAATCTTAATTCATGTGATGGTAAATTTGTCGGATTCAACGTTTCTAAGTATTCTGGTAAGAGAGCTTCCCTAATTTCATCATTATCACAGTCTTTTACAGTATTAACACTGGTATAAATTTTTTCACTTGAAGCATCTAATAGCTCAACGACTGATTTGTTTATATTATCAACGTCAACATTTCTAGCAGATAGTATTGCCATTTTTGCCAATTTATCAAATTCTTTGTTTTTAATTATGTTTCCATAAACGTCTTCTGCAATATTGGTATTAGGAGGAGCAATACAATCCATTGGTAATTCTAAATCATTATCATTGAGGTTAGCTACTCCATCTCCAACCTCTAATAAAAACTTTGAAAATTCTTTTTCATGTAGCAAGGCACGCATGTTTTCTGTTAAAGAAAATTGAGAAAAGGATGACCACAAACTGCTAAATTTAATACAAAGATTCACTAACTCACTGCGAATTGCATTTTGTTTAACTGGTAATAATTGTCGAAAATCGCCTCCAAGTATCATTATCTTCCCTCCGAAAGGCTTATTACTATTCATTATGTCTTTCAAATTTCGATCGACCAGTTTTAGAGCATGTCTTGGAGCCATGGGTGCTTCATCCCAAAAAAAGACATCGATACTTCTTAAATAATCTGCATCTTTGGATTGTACCTTAATAGTTGGAGATGAGTCTCTGTAAATTGCAATTGGTAGCTTAAAAGTTTTGTGTACAGTTTTACCTTGAGGAAGTAACTACCTTATTACCTTATTAGTAAATGCCATAGTACAAACTTTTTTTCTTTGACTTTGGAGTAAGTAGTATAAAGTTGTGTAAACAAATGTTTTTCCAGATCCTCCAGGCCCATCAATGAAAAAACATCGACATTTATTATCATCTGTTTGTTCATTATCTATTGTGTCTAAAACAATATCGACAATTTCTTTCTGTTTTTCATTAAGTTTTTCATATTGTTGAGTCCCAACAGCTTGATATTGTTGAAACATCATTTCAGATTCAATATCTTCTTCAGTTTCTGATATTTGTGGCATTGTAGGAAAATTTGTAATACTTGAATTCTCGGCAGCAAGCAATGTATTTATATGAATATATGCATTTCTTTGCGCAAAACTTTCAGGCATTGTTCTTAAATAATCATGAGATAATGCTTCTTTAAATTCTTCCCATAATTCTTCAGGATGTATAGGTTGGCAGTGTATTAAAATACGCACAAATAATGAATAACTTTAATATTCAATTTTTTTAGATAAAAAAATATTCAATTTTTTTTTAGATAAAAAATACAATATTTAATTATTCTTTACCATTATAATAAATTATATTCTTGACCATTATTTATTTGACTGAAAATTAATAAATAAATATAATTTGAATTTTAGTAGTTTGAATAATATTCCATTTTCTATATATTTAATTAATTATTCTTTTTTTATTAATATTATTCTTTTTTTATTAATATTAATTAATTATTCTTTTTTTTATTAATAATCGTTTTGAGTAGATGTTAACATTTTGATGCCTTATAGTTATCGTGTGCCGCCTGGAAATATTGATTTATTTTCTCTCTCACTTAAAAAAAAAGAAAGATACAGTTTAAATTCGAAAGTTAGCGCCAAAAAAAATTGTCCAACCGCAGTGCCATCTACAACATGACTTTTTTCTTGCTAACATGACTTTTTTCTTGCTATAGCATGCGTTTCTCATGTTTATGTTCAATGCTTTTCAATTCGAGTGTCATCGATTGTTTCGATATTCGATACTCTCCATGACTTCATGCTTTTTTTTTAGTAGGAAATTCCGCGGGCAGGAATGACACGTGCGTGTGAAGTAAATGTTTTGATGTTGATTATCATATTTATATGTTGCAAAAGTTTGTAGTTTATTTTAAATTATAAATTATATATGTGAATTATATTAAAAAATTGTCATTTATAAAGTATTACCAAAGTGTAGAAAATGGATCCAGATGATGATTTTGAGTTTAATGAGGTTAGTATTATATTTATATGTAATTAATATGTATATTATAAGTATAATAAATTTTAGGATTTAGAAGTATTGCAAACATAAAATTTATTTTCTTCCAAAAGAAAAAAACTGAAGAATGATTTTGATTTTATGACTAAAAAGTTGAAATACTAAAAAGTGATTTTTATTTTAATGTTATTTTAACATTTTCTTATTATTAATTCATTATAACGACAATAATTCAATGACTAATAAGAAATTATAACGAATTTTAAACTATACTTTTAATGAAAATGATTGAGTATGTAATGAAAATTGAACGAACATAACCTCAAAAACTAAAAAGAAGCAACATATTGTTTGGAATTATTAATATTTTAATTATTTAATTACAAAATTTTTTTATTTTCAAATATGAATTTTTGAATAATTTTAAATTTAAAAATTAAAAAAATTCAATTATTATCTAATTTACTGATTAATTATTCTTGATTATTAATTTAAAAAAATTTAATAAAATTCCACACAAGAATTCAATCATTTTCATAATTAATAACATTCTTCGTAATAAGAATTCAATTATTTTTATAAATAGTAGTAAAATTTTTTGCAAAAAAATTAAATTATTTTTAAACAAAAATTTAATAAAATTTCACGAATTAATACAATTATTTTCTAAAATTTTAATAAATCCTTCGAAACAATTCAATTATATTTATAAATAGTAAAATTCTATGTAAAAATTCAATTATTTTCAAAAAAATTTCACAAAAGAATTCAATTTTTTTCGTAATACGTTATAAATTTGTTCAAAACAATTTATTTTCTAAAAATTTTCAAAAGAATTTTTTTCTAAAATTTTAATAAATCCTCCGATAAAATTCAATTATTTTAAAAAAATTTTTAAATAATTTTTTTTTATTGTAAAATCTTTGCAAAAATTCAATTATTTTCTAAAATTTTAATGAATTTTTCAAAAAAATTCAATTATATTTATAAATATGTAGTAAAATTCTTTGCGAAAATTCAATTATTTAAAAAAAAAATTTCTTCAAAGAATTCAATTTTCTTTTAATTTTTAATAATATTTTTCGAAAAAATTCAATTATTTTCTAAAATTTTAATAAATAAATAAATAAATAAATTATTTTGAAAATTAATAAAATTATTCGCAGAAATTCAATTATTTAAAAAAAATTTTTTTTAAATTGTCAACATTTCAATTATTTTTATAAATAACAATATTCATCACAAGAATTCAATTATTTTTAAAATTAATAAAATTATTCGCAGAAATTCAATTATTTTAAAAACATTTTTAAAAAATTCTCAACATTTCAATTATTTTTATAAGTAAATAGCTAAATTCTTCTATAAAATTCAATTATTTTTAGGAATTTTAATGAAATCCATTGCAAAATTCAATTATTTTCAGGAACTTTAATAAAATCCATTGCAAATTTCAATTATTTTCTTAAATAATAAGAAGAATTCATCACAAGAATTTAATTATTTAAAAAATTAATAAAAATTCTTCGCAGAAATTCAATTATTTAAAAAAAAATTTTTTTAAATTGTCAACATTTAAATTATTTTTTATAAATAACAATATTCATCACAAGAATTCAATCGTTTTAAAAATTAATAAAATTCTTCTCAGAAATTCAATTATTTTTAAAAAATCTAAAAAAAATGGTCAACTTTTCAATTATCTTTATAATTATTATTTAACACATTTTAAATTGAAAATATTTGTAAAATTTTGTTTAAAATTACTTAGTTTAATTAATTTAATAATAAATATTATATAATATTATATAATTACTCCATATTTAATTAAAATAAATTACTGAGTATTATTATTATTTTTGTTCTTTTCATTATTATTTTCTTTTTCTACACAAAAATTAAAATTTCTAAAATGATTTTCCTATTTTACAGGATTTTCTCGACGACTTTATTCCACGAGATGAGCCACGAGATGAATTATTAAATTCAGAAAATTCTTCAAAACGACAAAAAATTGATTCTGAAAATTGTGTCGTATCTTCAATTTCATTTCGTCTAAATGATGATGATGACGACGATGATAAAAATGAAATTTCTACTACCAATGAGAATAAAAATAAAAAATCAACTAATAATTCACGACTTACAAAAATTCTTCAAATTTGTCAGAAGAAGAAAAATTCGTCACTAAAGGAAAATGAACACTCACAGTCGGAAAATTCGCGTGAATTAAATTTTCACGATAATTCTTCGAATAATTTATCATTAAATTTGTCGACAAATTCTCACATTGAAAATCAAAGAAGTCGCGTGAGTTTTCTCATCGATGACAATAACGACGACGAGGGAGAAAAAAATCGAGAAGATGAAGAAGAAGAAGAAAAAAGGGAAGAGGGAAGAAATGATAATAAAATTTACAATGAAAAAACGAATATTCGGGCAAATTTTTTGAAAAGTATTTTGAGTCGAAAAAAACGGAAAATCGACGAAATCGAGCAAAATGAGAAAAATGAGGAAAATGAGGAAAACGAAGAGAAAAGGAAAGAAAAGGGAAAAGAAAAAAGAGACGAAGAAGAAGAAGAAAAAAGAGATGAAGAAGATGAAGAAGAAATAGAAGAATTTGAAGGAAATGAAGGAAAAAAAGGAGAAAAAAATGAAAAAACGAATAAAGCAGGAAATATTGAGCAAAAGGAAAACAAAATTCAAAATCGTCAAAATTTAATAAACAGTATTTTAAAAAATCGTGGGAAAAAGCCCGAAATCGAAAGTGACAACGACGAGACAAAAGCAAGAAGAAATGTCAGTTTTTCCAACGACTCAACAACAACAGAAAACAAAAATCAAAAATACAAACAACTAAAATTAAATTTCCCCCAAACTAATGAATCGACAAAAAATCCTTTAAATTCTCCATCAATAATTAATAATTCCCACAAAGGATATCGAAGCAGAAAAACAATAAATTCCTCACACAATAAATCGAGAACAAATTTAAATAATTCCAAATCTGATAAAAACGTGATAAATCGTCGTTTCCCGGGACCAGCTGGCCTACTACCGCCAAATATGGATTTCACCAATTTTCCCATGGCCTATTTAAAAACATTCGACGAAAGTGAAACAACCGTTGAGCGTCTCAATGAAACGAGAATAACAAATTTTTGCTCACAAAATACAAAAAATCGTTTCACAAGTGGCGCGTGGCAAATGATGATTGACGATTTGCCCGTGGATTTTTTCCAGGCACTCGACTTGGCGACAATTAAGCGTCAAGCAAAAAAGGGACACTACAAAATGAAGCGGACAAAATTTTTCGCTGCCCTCGTTCATCAAATGGATTCGAATACAATTATTAATCCAATTGTTGTGCTGAAGGATTCGAGTGATGAAATGGAGGCGAGTATTCATAGGAGTATTATTTCGAAATATCCAAATGCAATTGATGTGGGAGTTGTTTTGTTGCTCAACGATGTGACGATAATAACGTCGAAATTTTATAATATGGCTTTGGTGCATACGAGGGACGTGGTGGCGATTTATAACGAGAAGGAGAGAATTGTTACGACTGAATTGATGGAGAAAATACTCAGGGAGCAGGAGGGGAGTAATTTTGATGATTCGAGGGACACTTGCAATGAAGAGAGGACAATTAGAGAGAAAAGACTTGAGAAAGTGCAACAAGAGCGAGAAGAGAGAACTGAAGGTAATAATACTTCTTTTTTATTCATTACTCAAATATTAACTAATTTCTTCGCAGGAGTCTATTTTTAATCATTAAATTGAAATAATTAGACTGAAATAATTATATTAAAGTCCAACTTTAATTAGCAATAAAATTTAATTGAAATTCCTCGAAATTACATTATTTACAAAAATTCGTCACATTAATTCAATTACTTAAATAAACAATAAATTTTCTCTCAAGAATTCAATTATTTAAAAAAAAATTTTCACAGAACTTCAATTTTTTCAATTATTTTCATAAATAATAAAATTCTTCTCGGGAATTCAATTATTTTTACAAATTTTAGTAAAATTCTTAACAACTATTCAATTATTTTTATAAATAACAATATTCATCACAAGAATTCAACTATTTTTAAAATTAATAAAATTCTTCTGAGAAATTCAAGAATTTTTAAATAAAATTCATTGCAAAATTCAATTATTTTCATAAATAACAATATTCATCACAAGAATTCAATTATTTGTAAAAAATATATTGAAAATTCAATTATTTTCAATTTTTAGTATATTTCATAAAATTTCGTAAAATAATTAAATTATTTTAAAAAAAAAATTTATAAAATTCATCCAAAATTCAATTATTTTTGTAAATAATAAAATTTCCATGCAGGAATTCAATTAATTTAAATGAAAAACATTTTTAAAATAATTTCGAAAAAATCAATTATTTAACAAAATTCTGATTTCATGGAAATTCAATTTTGTACAAAATTTTTTTGATAAAATTCCAAGTGAGAATTCAATTAATTTTATATATTTTAATAAAATTATTCAAAAGAAATCAATTATTCATCACAAGAACACAACATTTCAATTATCTTAGAAATAAATAGCAAAACTCTTCTATAAAATTCAATTATTTTCAGAAATTTTAATAAAATCCATTGTAAAATTAAATTATTTTTATAAATAACAATATTCATCACAAGAATTCAATTATTTTCAAAATTAATAAAATTCTTCGCAGAAATTCAATTATTTTTCAAAAATCTAAAAAAAAAATTGTCAACATTTCAATTATCTTTATAAGTAAATAACAAAATTCTTCTATAAAATTCAATTATTTTCAAAAATTTTTAATAAAAATCATTTCAATTATTTTCAGAAATTTTAATAAAATCCATTTCAATTATTTTTATAAATAACAATATTCATCACAAGAATTCAATTACTTTCAAAATTAAAAAAATTATTTGCAGAAATTCAATTATTTTTAGAAATTTTAACGAAATCCATTACAAAATTGAATTATTTTTATAAATAACAATATTCATCACAAGAATTCAATTATTTTCTAAATTAATAAAATTATTCGCAGAAATTCAATTATTTAAATAAATTTTCATAAATATTCTTCACATGAATTCTATTATTTTTATAAATAATATAATTTTTCAGAAGAATTTAATTACTTAGAGGAAAATTTAATAAAATTCTTCTCATTTCAATTTTTTTCCCAAATTATAAAATTCTTCACGAGAATTTATTTATTTAAATAAATTTTAATATAAATATTCACATGAATTCAATTATTTTCGTAAAAAATATAATTTTTCACAAGAATTCAATTATTTAAAAAAATTGAAATAAATTTCTGCACAATAATTCAATTATTTTAAAAAGATTTAGAAAAAATTGTCCTCAACATATCAATTATCTTAATAAATAAATATCAAAATTCTTCTTAGGAATTCAATTATTTTTGAAAATTTTAATAAAATTCTTAGCAACTATTCAATTATTTTTACATAAATAATAAAATTCATCGCAGGATTTCAATTATTTTTAATACAATGTTTCAGGAAATGCTCAAAACATGTAGTTATTCTTAAAAATTTAATTTTAATTTCTCGAAAAAATCAATTATATTTTATTACAAAAATGTTTTTCTAAATTTCTTTAGAAGAATTAAATTTTATTTACAAAAATATTAGAATTTTTCACAGGAATTCAATTATTTTCAAATATTTAAATAAAATTATTCGAAAGATATAAATTATTTTAAATACAATTTTAATTATATTTTTTTGAAATAATTCAATTATTCTTTTAGATTTTATTAAAATTCTTCCCAAGAATTCAATTATTTACATAAATAGTTCTTCGAAAGAATTCAATTCTTAAAGATATATAACAAAATTATTCCCGAAAATTTTTCATAATTATTAATTATTTATTTTGAAATTGTTTTAATTTCAATTCTGTTAAAATTAGTTTTAATTTTAAAAACTTTAACGCAATTCTTTGTAGAAATTCAACTATTTTAATAAATATCAAAATTCTTTCAAGAAATTCAATTTTTTTTTTAAAATTATCTTTATAAATTGTATATCAAAATTCTTCGCCGAAATTTAATTATATTCAAGAATTTTAATAAAATACATTTGAAAAATTCAATTATTTTCATAAATAACAATATTCATCACAAGAATTCAATTACTTTGAAAATTAATAAAAATTCTTCACAGAAATTCAATTATTTTCAAAAAAACTAAAAAAAAATTGCCGTAACATTTCAATTATCTTTTCAAGTGAATGGCAAAATTTTTTGACAAAATTCAATTATTTTCAGGAATTTTAATAATATTTATTGTAAAATTCTTCTTCAGGAATTCAATTAATTTTGTAAATTTTAATGAAATTCTTTGCAACTATTTAATTATTTTCATAAATAATAAAATTCATCCTAGGATTTTGATTATTTTTAATACAATTTTACAGAAATTGCTCAAAAAATGAAAATATTCTTAAAAATTTAATTTTAATTTCTCGAAAAAATCAATTATTTACAGAAATATCAGAATTTTTCACATGAATTTAATTATTTTCGTAAAAATATAATTCTTCAAAACAATTCAATTATTAAAGATAAATAACAAAATTATTCCCGAAAATTCAATTATTTTCAGGCATTTTAATAAAATTCTTCACAAAATTGAATTATTTCCATAAATAACAATATTCATCACAAACATTCAATTATTATTTTTAAAAGTAATAAATTTTTTCTTTAAATTCATTCAATTATTTTGAAAAAATTTTAATAGAATTCTTCGTAAAATTTAATTATTTTTCAAAAATTTTCGCAATTGAATGATTCAATGATTTCCAAAAAGTCTCGTACAAAAAATAAAAAAACTTTGGTTTTTTTTTCTATTTTCAGAATTGTCAGCAATTGATTCAACGAAAGATAATAACAATGAAAAGTCAACAACAATAAGTGCATCACGTGAAAATGTAATTAATCCAAAGCAAATTCTTCACGATAATAAGGATAATGAATTTTTATCGCAATTAAATTTAGATGAAATATCTGTCTCTAATATTAATGATCCAAGAATTGTTGCCAGTTCAACTTTAATTGGCAATGAAATTCATTTGGAAAATGATTCAGGAGAATGTTCAACTCAAATGGAAATTAGCAATGAAAATTCTCAGGAGCAAATTAATACGGGAAAATCGACTGTGATTTTGGATGAGGGAAATTTTACTGATTTATTGGAATCTGAGGAGGAAGCCGATGAATCTTCTTCACCGAAAAGGTATTTTGAAGAAAAATATTCCTTTATTGTTTGAGATTAATTATTTTTTACTTTTTTTCTATTCAATTCTATTTATTTTCTCCTTTATTCTTTTTCAGAAATTATTAATTATTACAAATAATTAATTTAAAGAGGAATTTTATTTAAAAATTCTAGAAAATAATAATTTGTCTTTTTATTAATTTTTATTTATATTTTTAATATTTTCTTCATCTATTAATTTTTTACACTTTTTTTTATTTCTTCATCCATTTATTTATTTATTTACTTCTTGCTTAATTTATCTTTTTATTAATTTATTTATTTAGTTATTTATATATTTATTTATCTATTTATTTACATATTTATTTATTTAGTTATTTATCTATCTATTTATTTATTTATTTATTTATTTATCTATCTATTTATCTATTTATCTATTTGTCTATTTATTTAGACATTATTTCTATCATTTATTTTTTTTCAGAGGCGAAAATAATGAAAAAATTGTCGAAAAGAAAATTGAAGAAAACGCTCCGGGACCTTCAAAGTTGCAAAGTTACTTGAAACAATTTCGCCATAGCGAGGAATTGACACAACCGGAAGTTGTTATAGAGAATAAGAAAAATAACGAAATGGAAAAAAATCTGGAAAATTTAAACTTTTCGAGTTTACCTTCTTCTGATGATGAATTAATGGACAATAATATCCCCAATGAATGTGACAAGTAAGTTTTTATCTTTCTATTTAATGTTATTTTATACATTTTTTATATTTTCGTTTACATTAAATTTTTTTAAAAAATTTTCATCAAAATTTCAATTATCTTTAGAAATAATTAAATTCTTATCCGAAATTAAATTATTTTCAAAAATTTTTCTCAATTCAATAATTTTCAATATCTACTATTTTCATAAAATTTCCCAAAAGAATTCAATTGTTAAAAAAAAAATCTCAAAATTCTACACAAACTTTTAATTATTTTCAAAAAATAATACAAATTTCACTGGAATTTCATTATTTACAAATTTTTTTTATAAATTTCTTCGCAATCATTCAATTATTTTCATAAATAATAAAATTTTTACGGGGATTCAATTATTTTCGTAAATAATGAAATTCTTTTTAGGAATTCGTCAAAAGAATTCAGTTATATTAAAAATTTATAGATAAAATTCTTTATGAGAATTCAATTTTAAGAAACATGGAATTATTCACTAAATTGTTATTTTTGTATTTAAATAATTGAATTCTAGTAGAATTTTCTCATAAACTTTGATTTAAAAATGGATTTCAGTTGAAATTTAAAATAATAATTAAATTTTAAAAGCATTAGAGCGTAAATTTTTAGAAATAATTGAATTTTGAATAGGTTTTAGATTAAAATCTTTGAAAATTTGAATTTTTCATATTTTTAACTAACAATTCTGTGAAATTAATTTTTTTTTTTGAGAAACTTTAACTGCGGATTTTTTTTAAAAATTATTTAAAGTTTTTATTTTCTAATATATATTTAATTGAAGAATTTACGAATAATTGAAAATTTGTAAAATTGAATTGTAAACAAATGAATTTAAAAATTCTCAAAGAAGAACATTTTCAAAAATTATTAAAAATAATGGATTTATAGAAGATGTTTAGTTAAAAACATGAAAAAAATTCAATTTTATAAAAGTTGCAAATTATTGCAAAAATTCAATTATTTTCAAAAGTGATAATATTCTTCGCAAAAATTAAATATTGTTCAAAAGTAATAAAATTCTTCTGAGGGATTCAATTATTTTCAGAAAAAATAAAACTTATTGCAGATTTTCAATTATTTTTAATATAATTTTAATCAAATTTCTCGAAAAATGTAATTATTCTTTAAAATTTTATTAAAATTCGTTAAATATCTCATCAAGAATTCAATTATCTTTATAAATAGAAAAATTTTTCGCCAAAAATTCAATTATTTTCAAAAATTTAAATAAAATTCTTTGCAAAATTTCAATTATTTTCATAAGTATTCAAATTCATCCTAAGAATTCAATTCTTTTGAAAAGTAATAAAATACTTTGCAGAAATTAAATTATTTTCAAATTTTTTTTTTAAATTCTCGTCAAGAATCAAATTATCTTTATAAATAGATAGCGAAATTCTTCTCAAGAATTAAATTATTGTCAAAAATGGTAATAAACTTCTTGTCAAAATTTCAATTATTTAAACAAAATTTAATAAAATTCTTCGCATGAATTCAATTATTTTCATAAAATATTATTTAAATTCTTCTCAGGAATTCAAGTATTTTGAAAAATTTTAATAAAATTCTTCAAAGAGTTTTCAATTATTTCCAAAAATTGTTATAACATTTTTTAATATAATAAATTTTAGTAAAATTTTAATTAAATTCCTTTAAAGAAATTATTGAATAAATGATTTACTTGCATTTTATTTGTGTTTAAATAATTGAATTCTTGTAGAATTTTTCAATAAAAATTGATTTAAGAATTAATTTTACTTAAAATTTTAGATAATAATTGAATATTAAAAGCAATATAGCGTGAATTTTTAAAAATAATTGAATTTTGAAATTAATTTTTTTGAAAAAGTTTAATTGGATTTTTTAAATATTATTTTAAGTTTTTATTTCCTAATATTTATTTAGTTGAAGAATTTACGAATAATTGAAATTTCGTAAAATTAAATATTGTAAAGAAATGGATTTGAAAATTGTCAAAGAACTTTTTCGAAAATTTAAAAAAGTAATCGTAGAATTTTAGTTAAAAATTCTTGTAAATAATAATTGAATTGAAAATGATTTTTGTCAGTAATTGGTTCGTAAATGGTCCCTAATTTTTCATTTTTGGTCCGTAATGCCCGTATTTTTAAATACTTTCACTGGTTCGAGCCCTGAATTTACATGAAATTAATTATTCTTCATCATTCAATAATTAATAATTAATATTTTTTTTCTCTTTTGCTATATTCTATTCTAGGCGTTAAAAATTTATTTCTTATAATAATTTGTGATTTTATTTTTCACTCAGCGGGACGACAAATGAAATAGAAACACCAGTGGAAAATACACAAGGAGTGAGAAATAATTTGAGAAATTTTTTCAATGATGACGAGGACGATGAATTTTTATCGCAAGTGAATATTGATGATTTGTGAATTGGGAGAGGAGAGAAAAAAAAGAACTTCTTATCTTGCCAAGCTGAAATTTTTGTCACAATTCAAAAGGTGATTAAGATATTTATAATTTTATTAATTACCATATTTTCTATTCTACTTTAATTATTTTATAATTTTAGTCTACTATACGCAAGAATAAGTTTATTTTTGTTAAATATTTATTTTTCACTCGTGAAATTAGGAAAATGTTTTTGTTTTTATTTAATTACTTTATTTTTCTGTTAATCATTCGAAAGACACTGTTGATAAATAATATAATTATTTTGTCTGTCTTTCGAAAAGAAATTATCTCACAAAAGTATTACTGTTTTTTTACAAGGAATTATTTAGTTAATTATTTAAAAAAGTAGAAACTCTAATGAAAAATTAAAAGTATTTAAAGAAATAGGCGGAAAAAATATATAATATTATTAAAGAAACATTATTTGAAAAAACGAAAATTTATTTATTTATTTTATATCAACGGACTTACAAAACAAATAAAAATAATAGTCTGTTAGCATTTTGAAGTTAGTTGTTTTTATTTGCTTTTTCTGTTTCCTAACTTTTTTTTGTGATTTTTCTTTTTAAATAAGGTTTTGAAATAAAAATCGTAATTTAATTTAACATTCAAAAATATAAAAATAATTACTTAAATTATTGTAGAAAAAATTATTTTTATTACTGGAAAATAAGACTAATGATTATAATAATTTATAAAAAATTTATTGAGGGAGTATTTTTTGTTAAAAGTTTTCTAGATTCAAAATTTGATAGAAACAACAATTAATATTCCAAGCACGTTTCATGTGTGACATTGAATTTCCTGAATCGATTTGACGGATTCAAATCGCTTTCAATTTATTAGACTAATCGTCTTTTTCCTTTTTTAATTTAAAGCATCCTTCATTTCTTCTTCAAGTCTTAATTAACTATTATTAGATCCTTTAAACTGTGTATTTTTCTATTTTTTCTCTTTTCAAATAATTAATAGTCATTGTTTTATAAAATAAAATAAAATTGAAACGAAATAAAAATGAAACAGTATTTTTCTATTTTAGTTCTTTTTAATAATTATAATTAAATCATTGAAATCAATAATTAAAATGAATTAAAATAAAATAAATATTTTTATGTTATTATAATAACAAATACAAAAAAATTAAAAAAAATTAAAAAATTTCTTTTTAAATTTAAAAAGAATAAAAAAAAATAAATATGAATAAATAAAAAATAAAATAAATGAATAACAAATAAAAAAATTAAGAATAAAAATAGTAATAGAAATTGTAATAAAAATAATAACAAATAATAATTAAATAAATAATATTTTAAAAAATTAATATTTTTTTACAGTTAATGATAATAAATCAATTCATTAATTTGTTAATAATTCTTTTCGTTTGCTAATTTTTTTTTAATTGAAAGAAAAATGTAACTTGATGAAAGCAGACTGAATGTACGGAATCAATTAATTCGAATTGTATAAATTATTCAAAGGCCTTCGATTCTAACGCGTTAATTACCAACCAAAGAATGTCACTTTTATCAATCAAAATCTACTTTTTCTTTTTTTATTTCTTTTTATTTTATCCTTTTTTTTCCTTTAACTATTTATGTTTCGTTTATTTTTTGTAATTGTCATTCATTTCATCTTTATTTTGTCATTTTATTTTTTTTTTTGCAAAAATTATTTTTCTATAAAAAAAAAAAATAATAATAATAATATATTTATTTATTCGTTATTACAATAATAATAATAATAATAATAATAAATTAATTAATTTCTTCGTAGGAAAAATTACCAAAAATTATTTTTTTAATAGAAAAAACTGAAAGGAGGTATATAGCAGAATTTAATTATAAAATATGTTAAAAAAAATACCGAAATTATAATTTTTTATTTATTTATTTAAAAAAATTCTTTCGAAAAGAGAAATTCTCTCTGTTTTTTATAAGTATGCAATTTTTTTTTTTTTTTTTTTTGAATAGATAAATATTCTATAAACAGTAAATAGTATAGAGGAAAAATTTAGTGAAAATAAAATAATGGAACAAAATGTTCTAACATTAGGAAATAAATAAAAATAAATAACCTTAATTATTTATTATAGTTTTCTTTTTTTATCTTTATTTTTTGTCTCTGTTTATATTTATTTGTTTTGTATATTTTTTTGTTTATATTGATTTATTTTTTGTTTATTTTATTTAATTATTTGTTTTTCTTATTTATTTGTTTACTTCTTTTGTTTTGTTTGTTTATAAGTTTTTTGTTTTGTTTTTTTAGTTTGTTTGTTTATTTGTTTTTCTTATTTATTTGTTTATTTATTAATTTTTTGTTTATTTGTTTTATTTATTTGTTTATTTATTTCTTTTTTTATTCTCTATTTACTTATTTGTTTCTTTAATTATATACTATTTTTTGTTTGTTTGTTAATTTGTTTATCATTTTGTTTGTTTATTGTTTGTTTTTTTTCTTCTTTTTTATTTATTTCTTTATAACTTATTTCATTTTTTTTTCTTTTATCTAATATTCATTTATTTTTATTTTTCATCAAATATTTCCGCAAATATAAAAATAACGATTTCAATTTATTCTAATGAGGGGGAGTAGAAAAAAATGATAAATTAACATTAATTATTGATTTTATTGCGCGGGGTGTAATCATCTTTTACGCTACGGTACAAGTCGAAGGTTGAAATCACTGTAAAAACGTTTTCATTTTCAACCTTGAAGAACCAAAAAAGAAATAGAGAAATATGCACCATTTTTCTTTATAATCTAGAAAGAAATATATACGAAATTATTTCCTGATAATTTAATAAAAAAATTAATTAATTAAATGAATAAAAAAATTATAAATAAACAAATAGATAAACAAATAGTAAAGCAAACCAATAAACAAATAATAAATAATTAAAAAATAAATAAAATAATTAATAAACAAACAGATAAACAAATAGATAAACAAACAGATAAATAAGTAATAAATAATTAGATAAACAAATAGTTAAGCAAACCAATAAACAAATAATAAATAATTAAAAAATAAATAATAAATAAATAGATAAACAAATAAATAAACAAAGAAACAGATAAATAAGTAATAATAATAATTAAAAAAAATTAATTACATTAATTATAATTTGTTTATTATAATTTATTTATTATAATATAAAATGTACATTTAAATAAAAAAAGAATGTTCAAAGTTTAAACTAAGGACAAAAAAATAATTAGTAAATCATTATATGTTCAATACTTCATTTTAAAAAGACGGAGCGAAAAAAATTTATTGTTCCATTTCAATTACGTAATTTAGAAAACAAATTATTGAATTTTTTTTAAACAATTATTTAAATTTAAATTAATGTGAGCAAGTGGAATTGAAAAAATCCTTCAATCTTACAATAATTTAATTTTTTTTATTATACACGTTATTACATAAAGTCTTAAGATCTTGAATATATATAGTGAATGAAGTAGACATATTTTTAAACAAAAAAAAAAAGAACGAGAAAAAAATATTACATGTTTGTATAACTGTCAATTTTTACACTTAGTAATAGTTTACGTGATTGTTTCAAACATTTTCTACGCCCCCTGTCTTTTTTCCTTGTGTTATGCTTTTAATTTTAAAAAAATCAATTTTAAAAACAATTAAACAGAAGACTTTAAAAAAAAATAATTAAAAAAATTACGCTACAATTATTAACTCATTTTTCGAAAATATTTTTTTGGAACTTTAAATCTGAACGAAGATTAAAAAAAAAACTAAAAAATTAACTCTTTAAGTTTCTTTAAATAAAACTAATTAAAAATATATAATTTATGTTAATTATTCAGTTCAATTTAGAATTTTTTTAATGAAATTATTTAATAAATTATTTTAATAAATGTATAAATATAAAATTTAGTTAAATATTTTTTTTTAAATTCGAAAATTTTCAAACAGTCTTTTAGTGTTTAGGAGAAAAAAAAATAATAAATAGACTTTTTTTTTGTTTATCGAAAATCTTATCATGACTGTACCTACAATTTTTCCTTATTATCAAGTTGATAATTAAATAATCCTACATCTTTTTAAAATGAAATAAATTCGTTTCTCAATATATTTTTTTTTTGAATCTGCGCAATAACCTTGACATTGACTTTTATTTGAACGGAATTTTTTTTTATTCTATCATTATTTCTATTTATTTGCATATCGTTATTTACTATTTAAAATTTAATATTTAAAAATCTTGTTCGTCGCGAGCTTCGAGTAAAATTGCAAAAATTTTCTCCTACCGTTGTTGCGATAGTCGAATTTAATTAATATTTTTAATTAAAAAGTTAGAAACGTTAGGCGCGCAAAATTTTTGATACGGTCCTGACGACCAATACGCTAGTTCTGCGCACGCGTCGCCCCTCCAGTCAGCGGTAACTAGTCCCCCCACTCCCGCGCCTTTTGTGAGGTATATATAAGCCGGCGACTAGCACTTGTGCGGCAGACAAGCGCTGGACGCAGAAATGCCAACAACTTGTTCCCATACGCGAATGCGCTACAAAAATTCTTTTATTGCAAAAACGCTTTAATAAAGCGTCGAAATGTTTAGTAATACAAATTAATATTATTAATTAGTATTTTCAATTAATTAAATTTTATATATTTTTTAAATTTGTCGATGTGACTTATTACATTTTCATACTTTTGTAATATAAAAATATGTGACGCGCTCTGAAGAAAGGTACCTAAGAAGCAAACGAATTATAGTTTATGTTTGTATCAGACTTATTGTGATTAAAATTTTATTTTTAATTATAAAAATTGGAATCAGGGTTTATGGAATATTTTTGATGTAATAAAGACTTGAAGATCAATAATTATTAATATTAATTGTTTCTCTTTTTGTGTTTTTACTCCAAAAAATTATAAACATAACCTAAATTTTTTTGCTTTTTAGGTACCTTTCCTGGGAGTGCGTCACATATATATTATAGGTAATATAAAATATTAATAATGTATTTATA